ACGTAATGAAATGACAATTCAACTTCTGGTTAAAAACAGGTACATTTAGTGGTGGGATTAATTATTTTATTGTTATCATTATTATTTATTTCTGGTAATGAAACCAAGGATTCCTCAAAAGTGCCCTAGGTACTGTACTGCTGTGTGGGGCCGGCGTGTGGTAAGCCTAGCGTGTGGGTATCCCTTTGTTTTATGCAAACGCAGATCCACGAACGCCTTATCAGTGGTTTTAATGGATAAACAAACAATGCAATTAGTCGTAACTAGTCGACTAGTCGCACTATTTATTGATAGTCACCGCGAATTTCAATAGTCGCCCAGGCCTACACTGTAGTGTGCAAGCCTGAAGAAACCTGTAGAGAGGAGACAATGAGGAGAAATTACAGTTCTAGAGGTGGGAGGAAAGCCCCAGAAGAATATTCCGGGAAAACCCCACGGAATCAGGCAGGGACTGAAAACCCAATCCACATATTGGCCCGGGCAGGATTCGAACCCAGGTCACAGCGGTGGAAGGCGAGGAAAGTACCCCTTCACCAACCTGACTCCCAACATTTAGATTTTTTTAAATTCGGTTTGAATTCACCTATTTGGGTCGGATTTTTGAAACCGGATATTCGAAACCAACCCTAATTAATCCAAAATTAAGCCCTCCACCTTTTTTTAGCACAGGCTAAAGAAAACAACTGGAACATCTCCCAAGAAGACTCTGATATCTCCCACCACTAGTTAAAATTCATTGGGTGAGGGGGGGGGGAGCTGCTATGAACAGACAAAAGCATTCATCTGATAAGTAATAGGCCTAATGGAACAAGCAGCAACATACATGTAGTACATGTACCTGTATTTGGATCAAAGAGGAAATCCATTGAATTAGGCTTTGGTAAAAAAAAAGTGTTGAAATGAAATTCTTCTCTTTTCATCCTGTCCACTGAACCACATTCACCACAGGTCAATCTAATTCCATTATTTAAAAATATACCATTGAAAATCATTCACAACTTCAATACAATTCCTCCAAACGGAACTTCCTCATCATTTTAGTGTATTCACCTTTTGTGTCCAAACTAACACACTAAAGGTACAGATTCTTTATTATGGGGAAGTATTTTGAGAATTGTGCAGTTTTACTCTACTTAGGGTGTTTGCATCAAATGTCAAATTTCCTGATACTACTTACAATGTACACAAATATGTGGGACTCTCCCTAGCATAAATTTCAGCATTCAGTGTACCGTGACAATTCTGGGGCAAAACACACTGGTACAAGTACCGGTATAATGGGAGCATATTTATAGGTCATTTTCAACACTTTTCCTTTTTGAAATGTACATGTACATCCATTGGAACATACACTACCGGTATAAAAAGATAAACTAAGTACCGGTACAATAGCGGTACATGTACATACATGCATGGTGTACATAAATGAACTACATGTAAGCTTTTTGGTACAGTACACACATTTTGGGGTGTTTTTTTTTCAATCATATTTTGCATGTTCATAAATTGTTTTTTATTTGTTTAGGATAAGGCCAAAAAAATTGTTCTGCTTCCGATTATGGCATTTGAATATAGGGTAGGTAGGTAGGGAATTTGGGGGTTTTTTGAAATTTTTTTGTGTATGAAAAATGCGGAGGTGTCTGCGTGTAGTCAAGAGTAAAAAGTAGTAATTGATGGTTTGGGTGGTTTTTTTTCTCAGTTTTCACAAGAAAAAATTAGGGTAGGGGCTGTCAGAATAGGGTAGGGAGGGAAACCGGAAGCAGACTTTTTTTTTGTTTTTGGCCCAACTATGTTTCATTTTCATATTTTTCATAGTGTTTTAAATTTGCTTTCCTGTTATAAATTGATATGAAACTGTTTATTACCACACGGGGAAAAAGAATCATGAAGAATGAAGTTTTGAACAAAGGGCGAGGTTCTCACAATTGAAAGGAACTTTAAAACTCCGTCTTTTACACTTTTTCCAGTTGCAGCACCATCCTTGACTTTTCTCAGCGTAATCATGAACCTGATCAAAGACAGCCAGCGCCTGGCTCAGAGTCTCTAGAGGACGTACTCTACAGTACCCGCGAATGTCATTTGCGATATTATCACTTTTCTGCCCAATAAATCTTCGCATTACTAAAACCTTCACGTCAAACGATTGTTCTTGAAAAAATATCCAACTTCCCCTTTCGCTTTTCTTTCTCAAACAAATTCACTTTTCTCCCTGAAGAATATGTGTGGAAAGTCAAAAAGGAAAATGGATATTAGTTACTACATACATGTACGGTACATTACAGATATGAATGTAATTTACCGGTTTTTATTTTTAAATTTTTTTTGTACCAGTTTTTTTGTACTTTCAAAAGAAGAGCAATCAGATATATCTGAGTACTTTTCTTTTGCAAGGACAAAAAAATCTCATTGGAACAGGACTTGAACTCTGACCTCTAATTTGTCACACTTGTGTACTACCAAATGAGAGCTCTTGCCAAATACATACACTGCTGTTTTATTTGTCAATTCGAGACACTGCACTCTTAAAGGGAATGTACATCATTGGTTTTTGATGTAATTTAAGGAAATGAACTATTTGAGGGGTTAGTATATATTAAATATTGTTACACTGACATTTTTGAAGTTTTGTGTTCGAAAAGATTGGAAAAACCAAGAAAAACAAAAATGTTTAAGTAGTCTGGTTCCCTGACTCCACAAAAGATAAAATGGATCAATTTATAGATGATGGAAAATTGTAAGGCACGGGAACCAGTCTAGCTGGCCTGCACCCATTCATGAAACATGTAACCAATAGCAAACAAAATTTGGACTGACAAAATGGTTAATTTGAAGCAGTAGTTGAAAAATAGTTAGGTTTTTCCAACGCTGGTCGGCCGACCACCGTTGGAAATGTATACAAAAATACCATTTTCTTGAAAATTACTTCACACCAGGTGCCATAATTTTACAAAATGCTTGAGACTATCATTTACCAACATCCTAGTAAGGTATTTCGTAAAAACTTGGTAGTTTTATTTTTCGATGTTTGCAAATGTTGTATATTCCCTTTAAGTCATGTTACTTAAAGCAGGGTAGTTAGGCATTTGTAAACCTAAAACAACTAGTTACGTATGTGTAACTACATTGTAAGTACAGTAATAGATCATCTGATGCAAATTACGCAATGCACAATGTGCTCATACTGTCACCTACATGACCTAAATCTACTCTCTTAAAAATACAAGGTTTTTAATCAATTTAAATGTTTCAAAGATACGTGTAGGAGTTTCTGTTTCTGTTTCTGGGCAATTCCATGCAAAAGTGGACATGGATGGAAAGTGGAAACTGTATAAAAACTTCAAAACTACAAGCATCGAAACATCACATGTGGTGTCAAATTAACGGGGCCAACAAAATCTTTCATTTGAGTGGTGTGGATTTTGTTTGGGTAGTCATTTTGGCGCCTTGTTTTACAAAAAAAATGCTTAACATGCAAAATGTGACTGTTATTGAGAGTTTTTGTGTTTAAGGCAGAGAGAAAGGTTCATATATTATAAGAAAAGAGTTTCATTATTTTGCAGTTCATCAAAATCAGATTTTATGCCATGTTAGAAACCAGGAAGAGGAAGTAACGTGAGTGATGTAACATGAGTGACGGTACCTCCCTGTACTCTAATGTCCCTTGCATCTAAATTATACACTTATTTGATTCAAAATGGGTTTCTATATCTGGCTATGGGTTGAATGAAAGGTAAAATAATGTTACTTCTGTGTTGCAGGCTGCAGTTTGAGAAGACTTTAACAACAAACTTGCAGGACAATTTTCCATGTCCTTTTTTTTGTAACTGGTGAGTGACGACCAACAAAACACGTTTTCAAAAACTGAATGAATGGATTGAATTTTTCTTTCCATTTTTGAGTACCCCTTACCCCAAGGTTGTTGTATGACTGGTTGGATTCAGCTTGATCAAATACTTTTGAAGCAGTGAGAGGTCAAAGTAGCCTCATGGCATATAAATGTAACGTGAGCGACGGTGCAATTGCCCTTCTGCACATGTAAATACAGTCTACACATACATTGTAGTACTTAACAATACATACATGTAAGTGTACATACATTTGTGTAGGAAAATCCAAATATTTCATCTTTGCAGCTTGTTCTTGCAAGCCAGCTTCAAACATGGAAGAACAAAAGCTTGTGCAACAACAATGCAAAGAACTATTTGTGACATGGAACATGTATACATAAATCAGGCATTTTTGGTAAAATATAGACCTTGCTCTTTCAAACGCCACATTGTTACATTGGATATTCCAAAGCGAAGTTATTTTGAAGTTGGACTGTCCGAAAGGTCACACTAATTTTGTGTCAATTCATAACAAAGCCTTAAACACAGCGTCATGCCAGTCTCTTAAAGTGTTTTTTTTAAACCCTCAGTTTGGGCATATTTCATTTTAGTTGTGTAATCCCAGTAACAGTTAGAAATTACAGGACAGAGTTTCGAAGCTGAAACTGTCATTCGCAGAGAGTTAAAAAAACCAAAACTTTAGCAAGTCCCGATGTTGACGTCCCAATGTTGAAATCCCAAACGAAAGGTTCCAACAAACTTATGGTTGAGTTGTAGCCATGCATGACACTACTCACGGCATGAGATAAGAACAACTCCCTTTGCCAGTAGACAGGTCTCCACCGCACTGTTTTCCACCAGTCTTCCCCATGCTAGAAAAGTCTACACTAGTCCTAGTAGGCCTAGTATCGTCCACCAATGATCCGTTTGTCTCATCAGGACACTGGTCAGTCTTGTGATGTCCAATAGTTAGGACACTGTCCACCTCCCCATGACGAGAATGAATAATCGACTCGATACCTACACAGTCAGCTATCCACCACAACCCCCCTATGAACTGCATCATGGTTGACAGGAAGAAGGAAGGGGGAAAGTGGAGGAAATCAGATTAAAATTCCAGGGGGAAATGACAGAAGGAACAGATGATGACTGACTAGGTGAGCGCTGACTTACGGTTTGTCGTCAAGTTTGACTGCGTCTCTGTGAGGGGTTTCGTCCCAACGCGTTACCCAGTCATTGCCGTGCCTGCTCATACTTGATGGCCGTGTCGTCCCTCACCTGTCAACATTGGGATCCTCCGAAAGGAGTTCTGGGAAAACATTAAGAGGAAGAATTCATTGAGGAAGGTATTAATTTCAAGTGATTCATTCTGGTTTGTCATGTGACACCTACATGTAGATATATGATACCTGTGAAAAGTTGAAAACCATAGGGAAAGATTTCCATACCTGGACATCACTTGTCACCCTGTGCACAAACCCTATGAGGCTGGTCTGAAAAATTTCTAAGTGTTTTCTCAGTAAATGCTTCCTATATTTTCCCGGATAAATCTAATTTTTTAGGACAAACATGTAGTACCATTTTCTGATGACTACAGGTCACTTCAGGGAAAGTTATTAGTGACCAGGTATGGGAATCTTTCCAAACAGAGTGTATCTACACGTACGGATGTTTGGTAAAAGTTGTGAAAACAATTCACATGGAAGTATTGTTTTTAAATGCCAGCAGCTGTCTTCGAGCTGCAGCCATGGGAAAAATTCGCCTACCCAATCACCACTTTTTTTCAATCAATTTTCTAGCGCCAAAAGTTAGATCTTTTATGGTTATTCCCTCCACTTTCCCTCCTCTACTCTCACCCTCTCCTTTCCTTAATTTCTATTTATCAATCAGTCACTCACTTCTTCGAGATTCGAACCTCGGACGCTTGCTTGATACACGAGACTCTTAACCGCTAGTCCGCGCACGATCGCTGTTGCAATGATCAATCTTTGGACGTATTTGAAGTATCCATTGAAATAAACTAAATATTCATGAGAAAATAAATATTCATAATGACGTATTGCACTATCATGCGACGTCATGGTTATCGATGTCATGCGTATAACGTACCGCTGTTCCAGACACTTCAATCAGTTTTGACCGGCTGCTTCAACTCAGATCTGCACTACATGTGCATGCAAAATGTGCTCTAAAAACACATTTTTACTAATTTTTTTCGCATGTCCACTGTTTCCTGGATTCCTCTTGGTTGAAATCACAAGGTGAGGTGAAAATTTGGATGTTTGGCAGCAGGTAAGTGGTGATCGGTTGGCCGAATTTTCCCCAGCCATGGATTGAAAGATCCCTGGTTCGAATCCTCCAATGCCCATTTTTCATCGAGTATTTTTCTTCTCCAAATTTATAGTTGGGAATTTTTTAATTTCAGGGAAAAGTCTAATGAAGAGTCCGAGAACCTAAGTGCCTCGCAGTGATTCCATCAAAACTACTGACACAAGTTCTCAGAGCCCACTCACAGCAAATTAGCATTAGGAAGTATAATGCCGGTCACGCCAAAATATCCACTACGTAAACTGAAATATTTATGTGTTTGATATTTGATGGAAAAAATAAAGTACAGTTTAGACTTCACAACTGACATTGTGTGGACAAACATGAATATGATAAAAAGCTAACTTTCAGCTTTCTCAAGCCCAAATTCAGATATTTTTTACAAGAGACACCATGATGATACTGCATCCTTTTTGACATTACGGAAAAAATGTTGCATCCTGACGACACTTTTTTCTTCATATATTTAATAATAATATCATCTCAATGACGGTCATTCATTGCAAAAACGATGATAAAAATTAAGATATGAATCTGGGACTGGGAAACATTTCCAATTTTGTTAGGAAATACTTGGAAAATTTTCTTGACTTCTCCATAGACTTTGTACACAATCGTGGAAGTGGCGTCAGGTTGCAATATATTTTCCGACATTAGGCCTATTATTTAAATTTCAATTTAAAAAAAAATTATAATTAAAACAAATTTATTTGCAATTCATAATTTACCTTTTTTAATAGGCCTACCAACAATATCATTATCAAAAGTGAACGTGATTTTTATTACTAATTACTAGTAATTACAAAATAAAACAACATGATTTCATTGCGTAAGTATTAATGGACAAACTAAGACTAGATACTTACAGGTACTTACAGGTCCTCTTCTGATGAAAGGCCTTGTGTGGCCTCTAGGATCAGATCTTCATAAATACTAGATTTGAGTTCTGTTGTGCGCAAGCCTAGTGTGGAGGTGGATACTGGGGTGTCTATGTCATATTTAAAGGGGTGTGAAGCCCACATCTTATCCAATCTGCCCTCAAAGGACTTTGTACTAGGAGCTGAAACCACAACTTCTGGTAGGCTATTCCATGTGTCAGTACATCGATGCACAAAGGAGTACTTTCTGACATCCAACCTTGTCCGGACCTTGTTTATCTTATACTGATGGCCTCTGGTCACACTGGAGCTTAGGGGGATGAAATTGGAGACGTCGTTGTCATACTTTCCACTAAGTATTTTATACATTTCTATCATATCTCCTCGTATGCGCCGATAGGCCAAGGTTGGTAGTTTGAGATGTTTTAGCCTTCCCTCGTATGACATGTCCTTGAGACCTGGGATAAGTTTGGTTGCACGTCGCTGTACATTCTCCATTTCGGTTATATGTTTCTTGTGACGTGGTGCCCAGACTTGGTTGGCATACTCGAGATGAGGTCTTACCAGAGCTTTATACAACAACAGGAAACTATCCTCATCCAAATGGTCGTACGTTCTTCTAATTAGACCCATGATTGAATTTGCTTTATTTATCTTTGTAGACATGTGACTTCCAAAGGATAGTTTATTGTCGATGATGACCCCAATGTCCTTTTCTTCCTTGACTTGCTTCAGTGGGTGTCTGTTCTCTCCCATGGTATATTGTTGATCTTCTACTTTGGTTTTTCCGATCCTCATAGTGCTACATTTATCTGGGTTGAATTTAAGCAGTGAATCCTCTGTCCATCCCACCAGGCGGTTTATGTCATCCTGGAGTTTGTCGCAATCCTCCTCGGTTAAGATACATTTAAATATCTTGGTGTCGTCTGCAAATAGGTAGACTGCTGAGTCTTCTATCACACTTGGTAGAGAGTTGATGTATACGACGAACAAGATTGGCCCTAAAACCGACCCCTGGGGTATTCCACTCAGGACATCGTACCATTCGGAGTATGCACCATTTACTGCCACTCGTTGTTTCCTATTACTGAGAAAGGCCTCAATCCACTTTAGAATTGGCCCTTGAATACCGTAGTATTGCAGTTTATCAATAAGACGTCTATGGGGGACCTTATCAAAAGCCTTCATGAAATCACAATATACCACATCGATTGCTCCACCAATATCCAGGATCTCTGTCCACTCATTTAGTAAGGTGATAAGTTGCAAAACGGTTGATCTGCCACTGATAAACCCATACTGTTTGGAGCTGAAGAGATTGTTGTCCTTCATGTAATCCACAAGTGAGTTCCGTATAAGAGTTTCCATGACTTTACAGACCACACTGGTAAGGCTTATTGGTCTATAGTTGCCTGCCACTTTTCTGCTACCCTTCTTGTGGATGGCTGTGATGTTGGCCCTCTTCCAATCATCGGGTAGGATCCCTGTTTGTACTGAAGTGTTGAAGATAATCGCCAGAGGTTTACTGCATACTTCTCGTAACTCGTATAACTCCCTTGGATGAATTTTATCTGGTCCTGGCGACTTAGATGTTTTTAGTTTATCCAACACATTGTACACAGATTCCACACTTATATCAGATTCCAGTTCATGGGCCATGTTGACTGACTCCGGTAAGTTCCAGTGACCATCTGGTTCTCGCGTAAATACTGAAGTAAAGTAGTTACCCAACACTTCCGCCTTTTCCCCATCAGTTTCGGTGTAGTCACTTCCTTTTTCATCACCAGATTTGGATAGGTTGGGTATCCCTGCACGGACTTTTGTTTTCGCTCCAACGTAGCTCCAAAACTTTTTAGGGTTCCTTTTAACCTGCCTTGCCAGGTTCTTTTCATACTCCTTTTTAGCTTTTCTAGTACACTTTCTCACTTGGTTCCGTAATTTGCAGTACTCTTGGTAGACTTCACCACTCTTGGAGTCGATGAATTTTTTCCAAAGTCTGTTTTTCTTTTTAATCTTGCCCAACGTTTTCCTATCCAAGGGTATTGTACCCCGTTTAGAACTAGTTCTTATGATCCTTTTAGGAATGCATTCCTCCTCAGCTTCGTGGAACCTTCGGGTGAATTTTTCCCATTGAGAATTCACATCGTTACTACAATCCTTAAACTCCTTCTCCCAGTTTATGTTTAACAGTTCCTTCATTTTGTCGTAATTCCCTTTGTCGTAACAAAGTCTAACTTTCGGTGCCGTATCTCTATCTGATGAACACTTGAAATCTATCGTCAACACTGCATGGTCGCTCTTCCCTAGTGGTGCCTCACAATCTACCGAGTTGATCATATCATGTCCATTCGTAAACACCAAATCCAATAGGGAGGGAGTTTGTGTGCCCCTACCTCTAGTTGGTACCTCAACATGTTGTGTCAGGTAACAATCCCTAACAGCTTCCACAAATTTGAATTCCTTATCCTCCTCATTTGTATTTGTACTGTATGTAGACCAGTCAATTCCAGGGTAATTAAAATCACCTGTGATCAGAACTCGTGAGTAGTTTCTGTTGGTAATTACTTTAAGAAACTCATTAATGTCATTGTTATTATCATTGCTTGAGTTTGGACTTCTGTACAAAGAGCAAAAAAGAAACAAATCTCCTTTCTCCAACTTAACTTCAACACCCTGTGCTTCTTTAACATTAAACTGGTGCAAATCAATAAAGTTGTGCTGAATAGAGCTATGTACATATAGTAACATTCCTCTGCCGATGTCCTCCTTCAGATTCAGTGGTTCCATGTTGTATCCCGGTATACCATACTGAGATAAATACAGCTCGTATCTATAGTTCTTTGGCTTAACTTCAGATATGGCAACAATGTCAGGAGGATTTACTTCAATCCTAGCAACCAGTTCTTGAAATTTGTATTGTGTGAGAACATCGGCATTAGTAGACCATACAATTAAATTGCATTTGTGGTGTGCTCCATCTGTTTTGATGTGCTTTGCGACCCCTCTGCGGTTTTCTTCCTTACTGGTATTTTTAGCACCTTCCTTTCCCAGGGGGAGCCCCTCACGACGAAGAGAAAATTTGGATCGTCATTTCCATCATTCTTGTCCTTGGCCTCTGCTTGAAGCTTTCTATCAGCCTCTCTTTCCTGTCTTGTCATATCTTGCCTGACACTTATTTTATTGTATGACGCCTCTGCGTTGCCCAATTTATACAGGTTTCTCATGACTTTGATTTTTTCTTCCTCCTTCTGGAAGGACACTAATACTGGTCTTGGTTTAGAGGTTTCACTTATGCTTTCTTCATTTGGAAGTTTCTTGCCGAGTCTCTTAACTGTAACCGATGTGTCATCTTCGTGAGTATCTGTGGTGATTTTGCAAAGTTTCTTGGCATGCATTACATCCTGGTTATTGCATTCCTCTTTGTAAATACTGGTACTCTCGGGGAGATTGAAGATTATAATGTTCTTCTTCCTTGCTAATCTGTCATTCACGTTGGTGAAAATGTTATTCATCACGGCTTCTTGATTGGCAGTAGGCCTACTTGATGGTGGCACAGGGTTTAGAGTACTCTCATATGCATCCTGAGGACAGCTGATCTTAGATTTGATATCATCAATTTCAGACTGCATCTCACTAAGTTTAGAGTTTACTTCTGCTCTGAATTCATTAATGAATGTGTTGCATCGATCCTCTATTTCTTTCTCCTCTTTAATGCACCGCATTGCTTTGACCACACATTTATCACAGAACCATGGAAAATCGGGTCTGTCACCTAGACTCTTGTATGTAGCTTCCGAAATTTTCAGACACTTCAAACATCTCTTGTTATCACAATAATCACATTGCAGTAACTTACTCTTCTTGTCAGTAAAGCTTGCCTTACAGGTATCACAATCCCACATATCCTCATTCAGATCTGGTGCCTTAGTAGTAGTTGTTTTCTTTGATCGACCTCTTGGTTTGCTGCTGACGTTTGACGTTGCAGAAGAAGCAGCGCCGCCAGCGGTCAGCTGACTATGCCCGCCATCTTTGATTGCCGTTGAAGTTGCCATAGTTTATCTATCAAAAATCTTCTTCCATGTGGGAAAATAACTTCTCAGATTAGGTGGGAGACATGTCGATATCCTACCACGGAAGATTCAGCAAAATTCCTTGTAGTTTGACCACGTAGAACACTCACAACTTAAAATTTTGCTGCTAATTTTGTACCGCTCGGAAAAGACGGTCCACCCCGCTCGCGCCTGCGCACAAACATCTTACTAGACACGTCTTACTAGATAATTAGTAAGACGTGTGCATTGAGCAAAGTGCACAAAATGCATAGCCTAGGGAAAAAAAATATGCTGACAAGCGGTTGGGGCGGCCAGCGGTATATAAATTATAATGTGTCACTGTCAGTGTCATGTCACCGACTTGACAAAGAGTAAAACTAGTAAAAGACATGATACATTTCTCATCAACATATCCACTTAAATCTAAACAAATCATATGGAATAAGACACTTACATCAATCTTCGCACCTGGAGTTCCAAGAATTTGCTGATAAATTCACAGTCACACCGCAAACGAACTGAGTCACTAAGGAAGAGCCCGGGAACTTAGAGGAGAAAAATTATGCGGTACAACTTCCGCGTTCCAGACAGAAGTGGCTTTTGTACACGAGTTTCCTCGTCCCCCAAAAAACTCTTGGGATATGTGATTTGAGTAAACAATTTGGTAACGAGGTTGAAAGCATCTGGCATCTTGACTACACCTCCATGATTACTGAGCGAAAAAAACCTGGAGATAACCTAGGTACCATTCTATGTGTATACTTTCAGCCTTTTTGTTTTACGACGGAAATGTTAAGACAAATTGTGTTTTTTTCCCATTGTTCTACAGACAGATGACTGAGGTAACGAAACAATGTGTTCGTTTATTTACAGTGAATCGGTAGACATAAATCACAATGTTATTAATTAGTCTGACAATCAGAAAATTTGCATGACAAGTGGAAAAAGTATTACTTTCGCCTCGGCCAAAAAATTCTGGCCACCACAAAAGAATTATTTGTTTGTCACGACTCACGAAGCCTTTTTCTCTCGGGTAGATATTTCATCTTCATCAAAAATTCCATCTTCAGTGATTGGAAGAATGGAAAGGGGACTAACCTCCATATGTTGTTGTTAAGAAAATTTCCTCTGGATTTTGCCCTTTTTTATATTTTAATTTTTATAATTTTCTCCACCATTTAATTTAAATTAAAACGACTGGTGCCATCACAGTATCATTACAACTTAAAACCAAATGTTGCAAATCTATATAACATTTGCGCCTATCAATAGCCACTGCGTAGTGCGTACATTCTTTTTCCTCATATTTTCACTACAAATTGAAAAATCAACCTATAAATGCCTGGTTCTCGGACTTGACTTCCCTTTAAAAAAAATCCTTCAAAAAAATTAAATCAAACCTTACTTCAATAAAAAGTCAGATTTGATACAAAATAATAAAACAATAAAAATAAGAAAATTACTTTTGGGAAATGAAAAGAAAAAGTTTTCACCAAGATTTGAACATTGTTACCGGTTACCGGTGCGCTTCAATTGATGCAGGAATTTAAAAATCTCTTATAGATTCACAATGAATTCCATATAGTCGTTGAAAAATTAATTACATGGGCCCAAGGCCTATATGCAGAGTTGTAATGACTGGAGTCAATGACTCGACTGGAGTCCAACTCGAGTCACAATTTTTGGTGACTCGACTTGACTCGAGTCACAGCGAGCAAATTATGACTGGACTCGAGTCAACTCCAGTCCTTCTTCAGAAGACTCGACTTGACTCGAGCGAAGGGTATTAAGACTCGAGTCCCAAAAATATATCTTGTGCTATCATAGATGAATAAAGACCCTAGACCTGTTCCAATTCCTCCATGCTCTGTGCAAACACTCTATTGAAAATCAATATTCTTCTTTTTCGCAGCTACCTAATGACGTATAGGTGAGAATCAAGTCCGGAGCTATGGACCAATCCAACGTACCCTATCCTGTTAGTATCAGCGTCTGTACGCATAACGTCTCATCATGCACAATCACCAGTCCCTCATCGGTCATTGGCTTTCAACTCCCAGCCAACTCCAATCCGGTGGCCGCCTCGGACAGTAAAGTTCCGATATCAGCGGCCATTCCAGCCATGTTGACTACATCGTTGGATTACAGTGGTGGTCATCAGCCAACCATCGTCCATGTTCCACCGTCTATGATGGCTGTTGATAGAGTCTTGAATTCACTGAGTGATCAAGATCAAGCCAGCTCCGACCTTGAAGTCCAGTCAGTCATGTGTCCAGGTATACAACAACATTTATGCAAACTATTAACAAACGTCATGTACATGTAACAGATTACCTAGTGGTCATTCATGGATGTTACCCTTATAAGAGAATAAATGCACATATTTTATTCCCATTCATCAATACCTTTCGGTCAAAAAGTCAAGAAAAGTCAAAAATTCACAATTTTCCAAGCATTTTGTTCAACAATTTTACCTCATGATTTGTGAAACACCCCTCTTGCCATGTCTATGACATGTGCCTTGTGGGCGTAGTGCGAAAAATCTCCTTTTATGGAGATTGGCGATGGCTTAAAAACCAAGGTAAAAAAAACTACACAAAAAAAAACATTAAAAAAAACAATTATTTAAATAATTTCTTCACCCCAAAATAACCTACATAAAGAGCTTATTTCATTGACTATAATGTTGTTTAAGATTTGAATATATGTTTGACTGCAGAAACCAGAAATTTACTGCCAACACTGAAGCCAGTTTGTCCAAGCAGGTCTTCATCTTCAAGTAAATCCAGTAAATCCAGCTACTCTCCGCTTAGGGTGAGATTTACATATTCATAGATCACTTTTATCTGTTGATGTTCCATTCTTGGGGTTTCTTGGGGTGTCGCAAATTATGGAAATATTATTACTATGGAAAAATTTTGTCAAAAACTGACAAAAAGTGACCAAACATTCCATCTTATGAAACTGACATGTGTTTTCTATGTAAGGATCATCTTTTTAAACATTTGTACTAAAAAAATTGTTAAAATAGTCGTTTATACATGCAATATACATGTTGTCCTATTTAAGTACATGTCAAATCCTTTCTTTTTAAACAATGACAAAGACAAGCTTTAGTCCAAGTTTAGATTAAAGAGTCACATCTGGTTTTTAACAGTTTATGCCATTGGATTACTAGACAATTGGCATTCTTAGATTTTAATTGATTCAGGAAGGTTTTTTCAAAAATGCCTACAGAGGCAGTTTGGGATAAAGGGATACCCAGTTGTGTGAGCAATTCTTGATATCTAAACTTGCTTTAAATATGAAAGGTCTTGATGCTTTGTTCATTTCAGTTGCAGGTATCAATGACTAATACAAAACGAGGTAACGTCCAGAGTGTCACACCTACATGTTTGTATAGTGAGTATGACATCTTGCTTACTCGCTTTAAAGGGAATGTACAACATTTGCTTTTGTTACAATTTTCAGAAATAAATGGATTTGGAGGATTAGAATGTTATAGCAGATATTGTTACACTGACTTGTTTCACGTTTTGGGCTTGTAGATGCTGGAAAAACCAAGAAAACCAATCTTGTAGTCTGGTTCCCTAACCCCACTTAAGATGAAACGGAGCAGTTTGTAGACTTTGGGGAATTGTAAGGTCAGAGAATCAGTCTGACAGGCTTGTACCCCTTCACATGTGTGTGATCAATTGCAAAGAAAATGTGTAATAACTAAATATGAAAAATTAGGAGCAGCTTTTGAAAATAAACCAGTTTTCTCCAACGCTGGTCGGCCGACCAGCATTGGAAAAATACAATTTTTCTTTCAAATGTCAGCTTACCAGGAGCCACAATTTTACAGGATGCTTTAGACTGTCATTCATTAACAATCCAGTTAGGTATCTCGTGATAATTTGATCATTTCGTTTTTTGATGTTTGCAAATGTTGTATCTTCCCTTTAACTTTAGAACACTCGTTGGCTAGCTGGCTGGCAAGCTGGCTTGCTGGCTGGCTGCCTCCCCGGCTAGTTGGCTGCCTGGTTGGCTGGCTGACTGACTTGCTTGCTGGCCTACTCCCCAGCTGGCCTGGCTTGCTGGTTGGTAGGCTGGTTGACTGGGCTGGCTGGCAGTGTCAGGCTGGCTGGCAGGTTTGCTGGCTGGCTGGCTCACTCCCCTGCTACCAGTATGGCTGGCTGGCTGACAGGCTGGTTTGCTGTCCTGGCTGGTTGGCTGGCTCCCCAGCAGGCTCACTGTTGACCAGCTGTCTGACTGGCTGGCTCCCCGACTGGCTTACCGAGCTTGTTTGCTTGCTGGTTGGCTGGCTTGCTGGTTTACCGACTTGCTGGGTGACTGGTTAGTTTTCAGGCTTGCTTGCTTGTTGGCTGGTTGGCTTCAAGGCTGGATTGCTGCTTGCTGGCTGATTTACCATCCATACCTAAAGATGTTTGAAACTAACTGAATTTTCCAGTGTCTTGCCGCTTATGAAATAAAATGGCAGCCTACTCATACCTACCCACGCATTTTTCACCCAGATTACAGCGTGCATCAGCTGGCTGCCCAAGGTGAGATTGCCACCCTTGAAGAAAAGTTCCAAGAAGACATTGACATTGATGAACTCGACTCCATCGGCCGGACCCCCTTGATGTGGGCATGTGCCCATCAGCAGACAGATATCGTCCAGCATCTTCTTACTCACGGTGCTGATGTGACCAAGGAGAGTCTAGATGGTGAGACAGCACTAGCGTTTGCTAGCAGTGCGGGCAGCATCGATATCGTCCGTACACTGCTCACTGAGGGAGCCGATGTTAACAAAGCCGATTGGGTGAGGACTGATCGAAATTTGGAATAAAGTTTACAGTTTGTTTTGGAATGTCAGAAATGAGACTGTCTTGTTCTTGAATACCCCCTTCTACAGCGTGTCCCAATAAACATTGTGCATGAAGAAATCGCTGATTTTCTCAAAAGTTGGTCAGACTAGCTAATCAAATTTATAGCATTTTCAAGCCTATGGTCTTGTTTATAACTGGTGAAAAAATCAAGAAAATCCAATGATGCAAACCAGAGATATCTTTGATTTGGTGAGGCCATGTATTTTTCGACCTGCACAATGTAATTTCCGCACTTAGTATTTGCTTGTATATACGAATTATTGGGTTATTGGTATGTGTTACGCAGTGCTTGAAATATTGCATGGCCTTTTATGATGCATTTGGACAAGGGTGTTCACAGATAACATTCTGGGTACATAACATAATATAATCAAATCTTATACCACTTGGAATGCCTAATATCAAGTGTTTAGTTTTGGACAAAGATTTGAAAAGGACAATGAACATGCAATCTTCTTTGACAGCTGAAATGTATTGTTGTGCAGGAGGAAAAATAATACAGCCTTACACAATCAACGATATCTCTGGTTTGCATTGATGGATTTTCTTGATATTTTCACCAATTATAAACAAGACCATAGGCTTTAAAATAATGTAAAATTTGATTAGCTAGTATTACCACCTTTTTAGCGAATCAGCGACTTTTTCATGCACAATGTTTATTGGGACACGCTGTAAGTCTCTGCCTAATCTTTACCAAAAATCCTCTGTGGGTCAATAATACTTTTTGTTCTGCTGCTTTCTCGTGCCAGAATGAAGGAACGCCGTTGCTGTATGCTGTCTATAACAACCATCCTATCTGTGTTCGTTTGTTATTGGAGGCTGGAGCTGACTTGACTGTGCAGACAGAAGGAGGACACACCCCTGTCAGTCTTGCTGTCGCCATGGGCCATAGAGAGGGTAGGTGATGATTCTATTCCCACTACAGTCGACTCTCATAAATACAGATTCTATTTTATTAAATACAAATTCTTGTTATAGTGAACATAAAGCCTAGGTCACAACTGTGTATTTATGCGCACAATGAATGGAACTGATGCTGCTCTTAATTAATAGAAAATTCTGATGCAACAACCATTTTGGCTTGGTCTCGCTGATTTTGTATTAACAAGAGTTGACTGTATTACTCTGGGCAATAGCAGTTGAAGGTATTGCATTCTGCTCCTACTGTTACCCTGGGTCATTGAGGTGGTTGGGAACACCGATGCCCAAGTCGTAGTTTTGTCCTTCGACAGTCAAATCACAAGTCAATCACAAGCCCATCACATGTCCATCACAATTTCAATCACAAGTCAATTCACAAGTCAACTATCAAGTCAGTCACAAGTCAAATCACAAGTCAATCACAAACCTATTACAAGCCAATCACAACTCCATCACAAGTCCATCACAAGTCAATCACGTGTCCATCACAAGTCAATCACAAGTCAATCGCAAGTCCATAACAAGTCCATCACAAGTCCATCACAAGTCCATCGCAAGTCCATCGCAAGTCCATCGCAAGTCAATCACAAGTCCATCGCAAGTCAATCACAGGTCCATCACAGGTCCATCACATGTCAATCACAAGCCCATCACAAGTCAACTCACAAGTCAAATCGCAAGTCAATCATAAGTCAATCACAAGTCAGTCACAAGTCAATCACAAGTCAAAGCACAGGTCAAATCGCAAGTCAATCACAAGTCAAAGTATACTTCGAATCACAAGCAAAATCACAAGGCAAAACACTAGTCCACACCAAGTCAATTCTCAAGTCAAATCAAAAGTGAAATAACATATCACATTCATGTTACATCACAGTCAAATCACAAGTCAATCACAAGTCAGTTAAAAATAAGATTTCAAGGAATCCTGTCAAAGGTAGGTGGAGATTAACAATAACAAAATAATTCCCTTGTCACAGTTTGTTTTACCAGTCACTTTGTTTTATTCTGAAGGACTAATGATTAATTTGTGATGGAGTTGTGGGAAATTGTGAAAACTTGTGCTGACTTAACTGCAAATCTCTGATTCATTTCCTACTGTTATTCTGCACCTAAGTGTGGAAATTTGATGGAAAATGCTTCTGTGTCCTCAGGTAACAATGTATTTGCAATTTATTGTCCCCCAAAATGAAGTTTTGTTTGTTGTTTGTTACAGTTATATTGCTTTAATTCCTGTTCTTCCAATACAGTGCAACTTACGATTGAGAAACACATGATATCGCTCCTACAAAATGGCTGATAGTGTCACAGAGTACAGCTGAAGATGTAAGAAAAACAACGCCACTGCTTCCTGCTTACCTCTAGCCCTTTCTCCTTCCAACAGCAAAAACATATTTCGTACATGAGATCAACACAGTCTTATAATAGTATACAAATAATGAATATTTGTGAGTACAATGGAAGGAATAGTTTCATGATGTGAAAGATTGACCGTTATTGCCTCGTTGAATGGAACAGTCAATCTTTCACCGAATGTAAATATTCCTTCCACTGCACAAATTAAAAAACATTCATTACTTGTTTTATACAGGGTGAGAAAAAAAAAACCGAAACACAAATGTCAGGACCATTGTTTTAGTGAAGTTCTGCTTGTAGTACTTTCAAAATCTAGGATATGAAAGCCCAATTTATAAACTTTCTTTTAGTACATGAATCATTTAAATCACTCCTGTAATTTTCAAGTTACAGAATTTTAAACACAACCACCGTTTTAAAGTTCTGTCCAAGGATCACAGAAAGGTAAGTGTTCTTTCGGCAAAACGAAAACAAATCACATAGGGATGTGTGTCAATTTTGTTTTCGTTTTGCTGAAAGAACGCATACCTTTTTTGTACATGAGTGATTCGAATGTTTCTTGTGCTAAAAGAAAGCTTATGAATTGGGCTTTCATATTCTAGATTTTGAAAGTGCTACATGCAGAACTTCACTAAAACAACAGTCTCGACATTTGGTTTCGGGGTTTTTTTTTTGCTCACCCTGTATAACACCTCAATAGATCCTTGTCATTTGATATTTTATAGAAAAATAGTTAAGCTTAAATTCAATTGTACTTCATTTCCACAGCCATCCACAACAAATTATAGATCCATCATTATAAGATCAGGGTTCGTGTAGGTCTTGGTCAGTATGGTCGGTCTTGTACAATCAACACGTATAAATGCTGCAATCTCATATCAATAGCGAAGTTCATGCCCGCGGTCGATATCGAGGCGTGCGTGCAACTGAGCGAAATGAACGGAACCAAAATGCATGGTAAATGGAACCAAATTGACAAGGATCTCTTTAGGTGTTATATAAAATGATATGGTGGAGTTCCTTTTCTGGTTCACATGTTTGTTGAATGGTAGAGTTGAGCAGATATTGTTGTAGAAATAATTTCATCCGGTGTAGAAGAGAAACATTGTGTTCATATAAAAGTAATCAAAAACATTTTGAAAATTTGAGACCAAATTCCAAATTAGAGATTGAATTATTTTAAGCAGTTTAATTCTTAACTTTACAGTATTATTAATTGAAAGCATTAAAGTTCTTTGTCATGTTTGTGGTGATTGTCTTGTGCAACTTTTTTGTCAAACAAAGAATTAGTTTTAATTGTAATGATCCAATTGTTTCTGGAGAACGTTTCAGCAGTTTTGACATGTTTAAGTCAAATTGTAGCTGTTCAAGCTTTTTTATTTGTAATTTTTTTACAATAATGTGTGGTGCTCATATAGTGCTTTCCACTTAAAATGGGTCTCAAAGCGCTTCACAATTATTACCCCTGTTCATCAGGCCACGAGGCCATACAATTTATTTTGCATAAATCCTAAATATGTCAATAAATATGTTACGTGGTGTCCCTCTAGGATTTATGCAAATGAGGCACCCTTCCCCAAAAAATGTAGGTGTCGCCCCTTCTAGATATCTTCTCTAGGGCTAGAAGAATCCATCTATCCAAGTTTGGTGCTTTGGACCAATCAGTCACGATCTCGTCAAAAACCGGATCCAAGCAACCTGACCATATAAAAATCTGTGTGTGTGCAAAATAGTGAAAAACTAACCAATCTTTAGAGTTGTTTCCAGTCTTTTGTGTATTGAATTTCTTACTCACTGTGAAGTGTGTACAAAAAACTCAGGGCTTAGATAGAGTTGTGTACGTATTTTGATGAAAACATTGTACATGTACATGTAACTTAATATTAAATTTAGTAGACCGTATGCTCTTACACTGTTAACTGGATCACTGGGAAGAATAAATTCACTGTCTTGATTTTTGTTTATTTTATCCATGAAATCGGGTACATGTACTTCAAAACAATAAAAGACCATAGACCCATCAAAATGTGGTTTATTACAGGGTTGGTTTACATAAAATAAATAATACACTTCGAAACAAACTCTTCAACCTATTTAATTTTTATTTTTTATTTTTAGAGGTGTAAATATAGAAAACAACTGAGTGTATATAATTGATTCCCGGCAATGATGCATAGCTGAAATAAAAGTATTTATTTTCATGAAATGTTTTTTTGTGGTATGATCTATTTTCTCTATTTGTTCGTGTATGGAGTGTTCATTTGTTCGTTGGTGCATTTTGGGGCTTTTCTTTGTACTGGTGTTAGTTTGATATTTGTGGGGGAGGAAGTTGTCCATTTTGAGGGATATTCTGAACACTAAATTAGGGTCCTCATTTTCAGGAGGAGGCATGTACACAATGGGTTTGGCCATAGTTTCAAACAATGAAAAGCTATTGTTGCCTTCTTAGGCCTTTAGCCGGGGGGGGGGGTGTCTCAATGGGCCTCGGCCAGTTTAATTAGGTTGCTGTGAACACATATATTGGATTACACAATATTTTTAGATTTTTATTAGATGCAGTACAAGTGTCCCCAAACCTTACAAAGCCCCAAATCTCATTTATTTATCCAGTTATAATTTATATCCCCTCCCCCATAGTTCAGTAATGTTGCAAATGCTTCATTTTCCATGTCAAACTTGTGGCGATAATTAATATATTCCTTTTGTTTAAAAAAAAAACCTTCAGTTAGGTTCTCTTTTGGTAACTATGTTTATTTATCATAAAACACATTACGTTATGTTAGTGTTAATTTGTTTAGTTAATATTCCACTTTTTGGTAGATTTTTTCCTTCATTTATTTCCGCGGCACATTTTGCGCATTCCATTATTGGCGAGCTTTCCCTTTTTACGTCAATCAATCCACAGCTGATTCGGGCATTTACACATCCTTTCAATTTGTTACGTAAACATCCCTAGTGAAAGAAAGCGATCGAAACAGCGCATTATTCAGGTTGCCCTACCCCAAGTCTGAAATGGAAGCGTCTGCCCGTATCTAGGGCGTTGCATTTCTACACCTGTTTTGTCACGCAGCACCGACCAATCATCGGCCGTTGTTGTCGCGACCTGACGAATCACGTTATTCCCGCGGCTGTTCGAAAGGTACATTACGTGCGCATATTGCATGCGGTCATTTCTCACATTGAACATTGCAGAAGCGTACGGACGGAGATTTAAAACCCCGGCGGAAGAGATTTTACAGAACTTTGGAAAAAAAAGTGCTCGAGATTTATCGAAGAAGAAGCTTGAATTTGTCTCCTCGGAACTCGCATTGGTTACAACATGTCTCTGAGAGTGAGAGGAACAACGGTAAGATTCTTATCTTCGTGAAAAATAAAATGATGATGATGATGAACTTTTCTCTTGTTTCTCGTCTGCGTGCGTGTGCAAAACGTATGGATGGGCTTTTTCTTGGAAATTAACAAAACATTGTTCCGAGTCATTTTAAATTGATAAACCAGTTAATCATAGATGTTTAATATTGCACCTCCAATCTGCATTTATTTCATTTTTTGTGGTAAAAAAAGAAATTATTTGATTAATTTCATATTTTTTCCCCAACATTTCAACAACATGATGAACACCTTCACTCCCTTCAGAAACAACTTCCAAAAATGACATGCATTACAAAAAACATGAAAGAAATTGTGTCCACCCATTCCCAAATATCTAGTTACAAAAACATTTTGATTTACGTTCATGTAATTTTCACTTTATTGACTGAATTTTTCAATGTTTTTATTAACACTAAACAGCGACAGTTTATTCAAGTTTTTCCTGAACAGGCACGACAGGTCGGGGACCAGCGCTAAATCGAGGGACGTCGCAAGATTGATCCACCATGTCCACAGCCACTTACGACGATGACGTCATTCTATTCTCAAGATTTTGAAAAATTTCGAGATTTCCAGGGTGCACCTCCGTCTGGGACTGTTGCTTTATTTAGCGGGTCGTACTAATAATTAGCGTCAACACAAGATAGAAGCGACTACACAGTACACACCGTCAACACTGCCAAAAAGCATTCTAAATTGACAAAAAAAGAATAGAACTGATAAAGTTTAGATTAAAAGAGATTTTCGGTGGGTCAGAGATTACATTTCATTTACGAAAATGGAGGGTTTTTTTCACGCGAAAAAATGATTTCTAAGCAGCACTGCCGTTGTCCACCATCTTGCCTTCGCACGGAGCTTGGACTACACTAGTCCCACTAACTGGGGCGCAAGCCAAACCTAATTTTACTTATAAAAAATATTGGAAAATGTGCTTTCCTGATGCAACGATAGGCCTAGCCCCATAAATGTGGCCTATTTACTGGACTGCCTCCGTAAACATAGGCCACACATCCACATGTACAAAAAACGTGTCGACTTTGCCAAATTTTGATTTTCACATTTAGGCTTACTTTTTACGTTTTTTTTGCTTTAGAAGCATTCTCACCCTCTATATAGGCTAATCAGAAAGTGCTGCCTTTTTCAGATGTCCATTTTTCGTGAAATTTCCAGATACATTTGCACACGTTTGCGTATCAAAATTTCAACATGAAATTTCACAAAAAATAAACATCTGAAAAAGGCAGCACTCTCTGATTAGCCTATATAGAGGGTGAGAATGCTTCTAAAGCAAAAAAAATGTACAAACTAAGCCTAAATGTGAAAATCAAAATTTGGCAAAGTCGACACGTTTTTTGTACATGTGGATGTGTGGCCTATGTTTACGGAGGCAGTCCAGTAAATAGGCCACATTTATGGGGCTACGATAGGCCAAGTTGTTGTGTACAAAAGTCATATAATCATGTAATTTTTCAAAAAGAATTTAAACGTGAAAACGAATAAAAATGACTGGAACTGTTTACTGAATGGAATGACCTGAAATGCTCGAATCAAAAAGTTAGCCGTCTAACGTTGCAATTTTTGGAAAGAATGTTGTACATGTATCCTGACGCTGCTTTTTTCATCATGTAGGCCTATTATCTCAGTGAAGGTCAGTTATTGCAAAAATGGTGAAAAGACGTGAATCTGGGACTGAGGTTTCCAATTTTGTTGGGAAATACTTTGAAAATGGACTCGACTCTCCATAGATTTTGTACACAACCAAAGAAGTGTTGTCTGGATACTACATTGTTTCTCAATTTTTTGACATAGACTTTTGACAAAATGTGGCTAAGATTGTAATGCCATGTCTAACTTAAAACTTTTTAAAAGTTTCTTCCACGATCGGAAATGTTTCTCGTTCAAAAATTCATCTTTCTGAATTTCAATAGTATAGTTGGCCAGGTATCCATCTGGAAACCACCATCTTTGTTTGAAATAAAATAAGCGACCATCATTACAGTATTGGGATACTCATTCGACCGACTATTTAAAGTTTCAAGTCGAAGTAATCCCTTGGGTTTTTTTTAAGAATGATTGCAAGTTCTGAACCTTGTTTCTTTTGCAGAACATCCTTGGCACTGCCAAGCTTGGCATGCTGAACAGTGAAAACACAGACGCCAGAATGAACGGAAAGATGGTGACCAGGGCAACAACAAAGACCATCAAATCGACATTGGGAACAAGAGGCGCCCTGGAGAACATCAGCAATGTAGCAAAGAACAATGTACAAGCTGCAGCTAAGAAGGTATGGGCCCATCATTTAGGCGATATGGCTTCTAAATTGTCTTGTGATTTTTATGAAATTCCAATACTTGTTAAAACATTGTTTTCATTTCAAACTTTTTCAAAGCATATTTCTTTATTTTTGCAGGAGATCAAACAAAAGAGAGGAATGACCAAGTCCAAAGCTACAAGCTCTCTACAGTCGGTCATTGGTCTCCATGTAGAACCTGTGGAAAAGGTAAAATATGTCATATAAAATTTGACATGAAAATGAAAATATAAGAAAGGGTAACGGATGTAGCAAAGAGACGGGCGGGAGTAAAAACATTTGAATCGAAAAACAAAACCAGAAATGGGGCAAAATTGAAAATTTTGGTATTTTCTTTTTAAAAAAATATTAGCCTAAAAGCTGCTAATGGAATTTGGCCACCAATAAAAGTAAAGGAAAACGAAACAAAGAGATTTGGAAGAAAATAAAAAACTATCTCTATTTAGGAACCTATTTAGGTTTCTATTTCCTAACAAACTGACTTGTATTTGACGTCTCCAGGTCCAGTCGCCAGAGCCCATGGACATGAGTGAAGTCAGCAATGCTCTTGAGGCTTTCTCACAGAACATTCTTGAGATGGGCGTCGATGACATTGACAAAGATGACCATGAAAATCCACAGCTGTGCAGCGAATATGTCAATGACATCTACCACTACATGAGACATCTGGAGGTAACTATCATTACATGTATTGGTGTTTTTGAAGTTTGACCTTGTTTAGTTTTTACATCTGCAATACTTATTGAATACTTGCAACTTATCAGCGAGATTTTTCCAGACTTCATGATTTAACCCCCAGAAAATTCCTACGTTGTTCTTGGCCCTCAGCTGCCCCGAACCCTCTGCCTAGTATTTTTGGGGATTTTTGATGCGACAGTTTCAACTCTGTTAAGGGAAAAATGTCTAATCTCAAATTATCTGATGTCTTGTATAAACAATACTCCACAATGACAATGTCCAAAAGTTATTCACTTTTTCTACTAAAATTTCAACTTTTGTCTCTCCAGCGCGAGTTCAAAGTGAGGTCAGACTACATGGCAATGCAAGAGATCACTGATCGTATGAGAACGATCCTGATTGACTGGCTGGTCCAAGTTCATCTCAGATTCCATCTTCTACAGGAAACACTGTTCCTTACCATCCAGATCCTCGACAGATACCTAGAGGTACATATGTCATCCCTGTATACAAACATTGTAGTTATCTCTAAACATAACGCCTTGTAATACAAGTGTTTCTATGGATCCGAGGCTTGTAGGGCTTTGTGCTACAATTTTAATTGTAAAGCAGATGCTTTTTGGTAACTGCAGTGTTTAATAGGGCTCGTTCAATGACGGCCATTTCTGTAGGAGAAATGCAACTGCGTATTTTACGCAATCTAGCATGCATTGCACAGTGTTGAAAATGTTTCAACCACGCGCGCTTGTTGCTCCAAATGTGTTCGAAATACGACGCAACTGATGCGCATTATGCAAGTTGACACTCATAATACCGGTGCACGTAAATGGTCTGTAGGAAATGACGTCATTTGAACGAGACCTATTCTTGAAGTTCCTGAATTATGGCTAAGTTGAAGGAAGACAGTTTTGGCCGAGTTGTTTGTTCACTGACCCCCATCTTGTGCTGTTGCATTTGGACACTAACAGAATATAGATAGCGGTTTAGTTGACGGTTTGAAGCAAACCAAGATAACGTTCAAAAGGAAAGTGAGCATGGGCAATGGACCTGAGACATGATGACGTCACGCTTTGTGAACATGTGCACTTTCCTATGTGGATCTCATCCCAACCTGGCTCCCATACGAAAGCGAAGTTTGTAAACAAAGTGTGATGTCATTATGTGTTGGGTCTATTCCAGCATTACGTAATGTCCACAACAGCTTTTAAGAGCTCATGGAAATAAACCTGAAAATGTGTTTTGCAAATCTTATGCACTTACATCCATCATTTAGTAATGGTCAAGGAGATTAAAGACTAGGAGATTTGGATCATTTCTCTGAATCTTTAATTATATATCATGGTTAATTGGCTGTCACAGACATAACACTTCCCTTCATAACACTGTAATTGCTCACTTGCAAAAGTTCTTGTCAACCATAGAAATTTGATTAGTACTCGCACAAAATTTCATTGACGTGTGCATAGAAACGATGATTTGTTTGAATTGTTTTTTTCCCCACAGGTGCAAGCAGTATCCAAGACCAAACTCCAGCTGGTTGGTGTGACCTCCATGTTGATTGCTGCCAAGTATGAAGAGATGTACCCGCCAGAGATTGGAGACTTTGTCTACATCACGGACAACGCTTACAGCAAGGCACAGATCCGCGCCATGGAGTGTAACATCCTCCGGAAACTAGACTTCAATCTGGGCAAGCCACTCTGCATTCACTTCCTCAGACGTTGCTCAAAGGCTGGTGGGGTAGGTCACATTCTTATTTTGTTTGGGTTGAACTTTTTGAACTTGAAGAATGATTTTAGGGATATGTGCAGCATCTTTCTGCGAAGGCGATTCATACTTAAATGGGGCTTCCCAAGATGACAGTGGAATAAACAAAAAACGTAACTTTTCGATAAATCTAATTTTAACCCCAACCTTCCCAAATTCTCCAAAATGCTCTTTACAAAACGGACAGTTTTGCAGGACTGAGGCTATATGGCAAAAATGTGTGGCTGATTTTGGAGGATGCACCATTTCAAGGTCTTGGGCCGGACCTGGTGTTTATGCTCAGTCGTGCATAAATTTGGGCCAATATTGTACTTGAAATCCTCCGCACTGTTCCAGAATATCACTGGCTCTGCCTCAACATACTGACAGTGATTGCCGAAAGATCTTGCAGGATTGAGGCAGTGGTCACCCCTCGAAGGACCACATTCAAGATATAAAGGAGGATTTTGCAGGATGGAGGTTTCATCCTAGCAAAAGTGCCTAGGGAGTTAGGATTAATCTGCATAAAACACCAAAATGACTGTGAATATATGGATTCGTTTCAAAGACTAAGCTCGAAGAAACAAGCTCATCTCTGAATTCTGGCAACTGTAACCCTCAAGAGTTCATATAAATTGTGCAGAATCTTGTTGAATTGTTAAAGCATGGTTAGGGTTTTAAATTCCAAAGCTATAAGAATGTATCCTTGTGTGGGGGCAATGTTTTGAAGGTTACAACATTTCTATTTTTAATTTTCCTAACAGGTTGATGGTCACAAGCACACGCTGTCCAAGTACATCATGGAGTTGACGTTACCAGAGTACAGCTTTGTCAAGTATGATCCATCAGAGATTGCTGCTGCAGCCCTCTGCTTATCAACCAAGATCCTGGATGAGGATATGGAATGGGTATGCATGCTAATATACCTCGGATTTTCATTACCTATTTTATCCCAAATATCCATAGAAAATTTAGAAAAACTTATGAAGCATGTACTTCTCATTACAATGTACTTGACGACTCGCTAGTTGCAAGTCTGTAGGTGAAAACTTGATGAGGCGTTAAGAGTATTAAAAGGGCGTATTTGCTATATGCCTTAGTTCCGAGTTCGTCAAAACGGCCAAGCAGTGCCAAAAAATCAATCATCTCCCCTGCCATGTCTTTTACACAGGCTAGTCACCAACAGTCAAATCATAGTTCTGTGACTAGCACTGTGACTAGTCAAATTCAGTCAACAGACAAAAGCAGGAAACTGGTGGCATAGCCGTCTTATTAATCACCTACAGTCAATGCACAACTGCATCCAGTTATATAAACAGTCGTAGCCAGTCAATCCTGCTTTATGTAGGCTGGAAGCTCTTAACTGTCAAAAACAGTCACCTGATTGATTTTGAATGAAAGGACAACTTTGTACAGAATGTATGTTTGCATAGTGTTGAGCATTTTACAAAAGCCATGTATTATTTGAGTTCCTCCATTTTTCTTTTCTTCAGAACAAAACCCTGGTTCACTACAGTGCCTACAGTGAAGGCCACCTGGCACCAATTGTGCAGAAGATGGCCGTGCTCCTCAACAACGCACCCAAGTCCAAATTCCAGGTAAGGCGTGCTGAATCAAGACTTGAGTAGTACACAGAACTTGAATTCTAATGTTCATATTTTGGTCATAACAGTTGAGAAAAATAAGCAAAGTGGTGCACGCATCAAAGATGGTAAACTTGTTACCAGGACTTGCAGCTTGCACAGTATTTCATGCAGTTTCTGCCCTCTGAAGTTCATTTGTGTGCTTAGTCACTGGATTGGCATGCTCTTTTCTGTGCGTAATTCTTCAGGGTGAAATTGGGAAAAATCAATAAAATAATCAGCAGAGGGTTTAGAGTTGCCAAATGCCCCAAAGCAACCTTGGGTCTATGATATATGTTTGTATTTACCTGAAGGCATCTCTTAAAATCGACTTTTGATCTATATAAATTTATTGTTAATGAAACCTTTATGCTAAAATCTAAGAAATTCCAGGGAGGGATTTTTAAAAATCCTGATATCCAGAAGAATCCCGACAAATCTCGCCATTGAATTCTAAACTGAAGCCTTTTCTTGCAAACATTGCGCCCGTAGTGGTGCTCATCATACGTTTTAGTAACAAGTTTTAATAATCTCCATCTTTGATTTGTTGTCAGGCTGTCAGGAAGAAGTATGCCAGCAGCAAGTTCATGAGCATCAGCAGCTCCCAAGAACTGAAATCATCGGTAATCACTGATCTTGCTGACGAGAACTGCTGAGCTTCCAATCACTCCAGATGAATGGTCATGTAAATAGTAGTAAATAGTAGTGTATTATAGTCTTTAATTAAATAACACCCCTCCAGAAATTGACAAGCTTCAGCATAATTTAAGCAACTCTAAGAGGTACTCCGATTTTTTTCCCCTTGGTTGTCCTTTTTTTAAGTTAGCAAGTGCAGTTGAATCTATTTTAATCCTGTATAGATAGCAATGCTTGTACTGCCATGGAGGCCAAAGGCATAGATAGAATTTTTCATGAAAGTACAATGTTGTTGAAATCGGGTGGAGTGGGATTATTTGAATGACATGACTTAACATTTTGTGCCAAATGACCAGACGCACTACAGCATGATCTGAAGTTTCCTAAGTAAAAAATTATGGCCTCAATCCTAACATTTTGTAAGCATTGCATGTATAATAGCTTTTGCAAGTGCAATCAGATTTCTGATCGGAGGTTAAATACATAACGTGTCACGAAAGCCCATCTGATCAAGCGTAATTGACTTCTGCAATTTATTATGCTTCTAGAATTTTTACTCGTCCAACTTTTTGTCTGTCGTTTCTGACTTTTGTGCTAAATATCCGAGACCAATTTAATTCTCCAAAGGAAAAAAAAAACATGAGGTTGTTTGTCGTGAAGTTTCCCACACAACTTCAGATGAACAGCTCATCGAGTTGTCATTTGCTTGTTCAAAAGTTAAAAAGAAAACAATCATGTCTTAATGTTTTATTATTTAATATGTAAAATTGAATGATTCTTGTTGCATATTTGTAAATGCTTTTGTCTGTCAGTCTTTGTAAATAAAAGTTAAATGGTAATAATAACACATCTCAGATTCTGTTTTTTCTAGAGTGATGAATATTTTTAACAACTTACCGAGGCAACCTGAACCCGAAAGTCTGTCAAGGACATTTATGCAGTCGAACCTTGATAAGAAGAGCACTGTTAATACAACACCTGCTTATAACAAGGAAAATGTTAGGCGCCAAGTCTTTGTTTTCCATTACTGATAAAACAAGGTACCTGTTATAACAAGGTAATTTGTAAAGGACCTTGTTGTAAATGTGTTCGACTGTATACGGAACACATTAGTAATACGTTTAAACTGCTATTACAGTTTTCACCACTTACAAGTCCCTGTTGAAAAAAGGGTTGTTTTGACCATCTCGGAGTTGGGATTTACAATGTATTTTATCCCACAGGCCCATTCTTGATTAGTCTGAGTATCACCCGTTATCCACGGAGCTCAGTCTCCTAAGTTACATCTGATACATGTACAGTCGAGTCTCGTTAATACAAACTCGTTCGGCCCTAGCCAAATTGTTTGTTATATCAGAATTTTGTATTAAGAGGAACAACAGTCCCATTCATTGTGCACATAAACGCAAAGTCGGGACCAAGGCCTTATGTTTGTTATAACCAGAATTTGGTATTAACTGAGTTTGTACTAAAGAGAGTCGACTACAGTCGACTCTCGTTAGTACAAACTCTGTTAATACAAAATTCTGGTTATAACAAACAAAGCCTTGGTCCCGACTGTGCATTTACATACGCACAATGAATGGGACTGATGTTCCTCTTAATACAAAATTCTGATATAACAAACAATTTGGCTAGGGCCGAACGAGTTTGTATTAACGAGACTCGACTGTACATGTCGACTCTCGTTAGTACAAACTCTGTTAATACAAAATTCTGGTTATAACAAACAAAGCCTTGGTCCCGACTGTGCATTTACATACGCACAATGAATGGGACTGATGTTCCTCTTAATACAAAATTCTGATATAACAAACAATTTGGCTAGGTCCGAACGAGTTTGTTATAACGAGACTCGACTGTTTACTGTTGACTCTCATTATAAAGAGCACTTTTATAAAGAGGTTCTGCTTATAAAGAGCATATTCTTAAGTCCCAAATCTCAGGTTCTCTTTGTGTTTCTTTGTTTCGCTGTCCTTTTATAACAACATTCCTGTTACAAAGAGGTAATTTGGCTAGTCTTATCGACCTTGTTATAACGAGAGTCGACTGTATACCTAAGCATGCAGATTTATGCGATCCCTCGACTTTACTAAATTGTGACGTAATTTCATTGCCAAATCGGGACTAAACGTTTGATTGGTCAATTCAAATGCAGTGTTATGTAATACAACGGTCGGGCGCGTATTGTGTAGCATAATACATTGTACAGCGTATGACCACAGCCTTTGTTTCTGTGTCTAGGTTGATTTTATCAATGTCTATGACGTAACAACTGGTAAATGACCAAAGACCCGAATATAGAAAGCACCTGCTGATTGGTCAAAATCTAGAGGTCAAGATGCGGTTGTCTTGCATAATTAATCAGCGAATCTGCTCAAATATTATAGACCATTACATAGACTAATCTTTGATATCGTTGGTGCAAAAATGTAACTAAATTTTGAGAAATACACATTAGGGTTGTGTTGGCTCGCTAAATTTTAGCATTTCATTAAATTAAAAGATTAAAGTAACCTCAGGAAGGTAATTTACTCAGAATCATGTTCAATAGTTTAAACTATTTATCACGCATGATTTTTGATAAAAGAAACTTTTAAATGAATGAGATAAACATGCCACCTTTTTGCATGAAATGACGCGCTATGTATATTTTTGTCATAACGTAACTCATCGAGAGATGACGTTTTTGCATGAACACACAATGATGCCCCATTACTTTTATAGCACGTAGGGCTTAAATCAGGTGAAGTCACGAAATACATTCATGTACTTTTACTGTATCCCTAAAAACAGCTCAAAATTGAACAGCATACTTGTATTTAGCTTGTCCAACTCAAGTTGTTAATAATTCCCAGTAGCATCTTATTCAGTGTACGCGTTAGTCCCTAGCTGAATATTTCTCATATTTTCCATTTACTTCATGTTTGTTTCTTTGTATTTTCCACATTTCTATTTATGTATTACGAAATAAAAATAATTTGTCTTATTTTCTAATTCTGATAATTTGGTTTCAAGAAAATGCTAAAACAAAATTAAAGGGTGTCACATCAGTACAAAAAAACATGAATTTTGATGACTTTTGAGATACGTTTTTGTAGAAACATGACCGTATGGCATTTTGCATATAAACGTGCTGAGATACGTTTTTGCTTGCACGTTCGGGCTCGTAATCGAGACACGTCCTTATGACTTGAATCAGTTACGTCATAATGACGCAATATTTCTCAGTGAAACTCTCCTGTAATAATCTTTGGGTAAATCTTTATAAAAATTCACAAAAAGCTGAATTTTGACAAATTTGGCAGTTGTTTTTTGCACCGACACAACAATATATCATTCACACAAGCAGAACCCCATTTCTTGTGCGTAAATCTGAATTCTGTGTATACATGTACTTGATTTATATAATTCATGGAAAGGAACTTTATTAAGTTCATCACATCTTGAGAAATGCAAGGTTTCCAATTTTGCTACTGATGAAACCCATTTTATTAATTAAATCTCAAATAAAAATGAAATTTCAAAAACCTCATCAGTTAAAACTTTAAATTTATTTCTGACTTTCAAGTGCAGTTAAAAATGCTCCATTGCAATTAAATTACAATTTACATGTATGTTGTCAAATGGGACAAAATTGTACACATGTAATTCTTAATTAAACCATTTCATGTACGTGTGAATTCAATTGCTCTTCATAATGAAGGAGCATGACTTGTCTTATAACACAAAAATTGGGTACTTAATTTTTGAAGTTTCGTCGGCATTAACGTTAAAGCCCGAGTCCATCATTTGCAGCTATCCAAAAAGTAACTGGAGTAATTATTGTTGAAAAACATACTTGGTTGAAATATAGTAAGGGGACTAAACTCCCTGTGAAATTATTCTTTCTGGCAAGCTGTCATTTTGAAGAAATCAACGAAAGAAGGCCTTTCCAACGGTGCGTCTTAAGAAGCACCGTTGGAAATTTCCGCTAGTAGTTCGTTTTTTTATTCAGTTCGTTTTTTTATTCAAGCATTGACACGACGCACGCGCGGGCGGTTGCTATAATTCGTCGGATCGGTGCGCGACATCGAGTAGCTGCAATTGGCTCAGTGAGAACGTGTCTCGGATGCTGAATTCACGCCCAATTCAAAACATGATTCAGCAACGTTTGATTTGAAATCGAGATCCTAAAATGTTGTTTTTCTCAGAATATATAGCTGAAGCTGAGCTGAAACTTCATCAGGTTTAGTTGTTCAGCACCCTTCTTTAGATTTTGAGCTTTTTTGTTGCTTCAAACGAACAAAATGCACAAATTACAAATGATGGACTGTACCAGAAGCGCACCAGATCAGAAATGCTACACCTGTTTTTTTTACACGTGCATCTAGCTGTGAAAGGAACAAGACGTCCGAAGAAGGTCAGGCTATAAATCAACAGCAAAAGTAAAAAATAAATGAATCCAAGTAAGAGTCAACTTCATGTCTCTGCTGATGTGATGCCACAGTGTTTAAAGGTAGGGTTCATTTGTCATTTGTGCATATTTTTTTATTTGAAGCAACAAAGTGCTCAAAATCTAAAAGACGGGTGCTTAACAACTAACGTGATGAACTGTTAGCTCTATGAATGCTGTATATTCCGAGGAAACAACATTCTAGGATCTCGGTTTGAATTCAAAAATTGCTCAGTAATGTTTTGAATTGTGCCCAAAATCAGCGTCTGGGACACATTCTCATTCAGCCCATTGCAGTTGCATGATGAACCGAGGAATAATATCAACCGCACGCCCGTGTGGTCGTGTCAACGCTTGCATGCACCCATTCAAGCAAGAAAGATAACTGTATCTGAGTATTGACGTGATGTCACAGTCTTGAAAAGGGACACTGTTATCCGGAATGCGCCCTTTTGGCCATGTTACTAATAGTATCTGGAAAGATGTTAAAAACTAGAATACACAAATGTACTGTACAAACATTCACACAACTGCACATGTACCTTGATGAGCGTTTCTTTTAACTTCATCCAATTCTCAAATTGTTGAAAATGCAGTGATTGAGAGTTTCTGATGAGAGTTGGAAGGCACTTCATTATACTGTACACATTCCTTAAGACTCGGTTGAAGTTTGAATTTCACATCTAGGTGGTTCACAATGCAGGTTGGTTGATTCTGTCCTAGTTGCTATAAGCCGGCTCTCCATGATGGTACAGCTCTGTAAATTTAACAAGAAAAAATTCCACGAAGCAGTTAACAAATTGACCTCGAGCGAGCAAACTTGGCAAACCGGCCAACACCGGCAAGATCTGTGTTGATAACCCCGTCTGCACTACTAAGCAGGAGGACTTGGGTTCTTGTCCCACCCGAGGAACCTTGTGAATTTTTCTCGCAAGCTGTCACACAGTATGATTAGTATTCAATGGTTATAACATAATACTGAAGTCTTATATAGCGCACGTATCTACCGACAATTAGGTACTCAAGGTGCTGGTAATTATGTCTATTATCATAGACAGGTATTGAAGTTTATGAGAAATATGAGACCCACTATGTTGCACCTTATAAGGGTTTACAAGGTGCTGCGGCGCATATTGCAGCCACTGCCAGAAACATAGAACAGTATAACTGGGTTGGGCCAGTATCACTCATCCAGTGGTACCACTTATGATAAGTTATTCGTACGTCAACGGGCCAGTATGTTTATTCATGAGAACAGAACAATGATATCAAGAGCATTGTTGTTATTTAGTCAACCCGTTACATTAAAGCATTTTAAAAACGGTTGTCGTCAAGCTACCACACAGTAGCCTAGTGGATAGCGGGATGAGCTATGAACTCGAATACAAAGATCCCTGGTTCGAATCCACGTCGTCGCTGCTCATTTTCATCGGCTATTTTTCTTCTCTGAGTTCATCGTTGAGATAATTTTAATTTAATGGGAAAAAAAGGACAAGAACTTAAGTGTCTTGCAGTGATTCGAAGGAAAACCAAAAATTATCATAGGCAGCACAACTGGAGTTGTGATACTGGCACTACCGTATAACCCAGTACATGATATTTATCTTCAAGCAAACTTGAATCCTTGATCCTGATTGGGCGAACCATGGCAACTGCGCTATTCTAAGATGAGCGCGCCATTCCTGCTGCACGCACTGGTAATGGCATAACCGTTGAGAAGTTTGTGCACATCGTGCGTATTCCATCTTTTCTGAGCATCAAGTTTGCTAGAAGATAAACAGACGCACGACATTATTCTGTGTTCCACTCGCGCTTGCGGGATAACTAATGGTATTAACATTTACACCGCCAACGTGAAACATTCCACAATACAAAAATGAAAACCTCACATTGTCCTAAATATATGGAGGATGTTACTCACCTATGAGGCATATGTAAGACGGGTCCATTAGATGCTGAGGTCGTATCCTTCTTGCGTTCCTTCCAACCTTCAGTTAATCTATAAAGTCTGGATGGATCTCGCTCCACTTGAACCTCAACCTGTGGACAGCATGGCCAAAACTTACATCTCAACATTCAATATCACAGATAAACCTTGGTACAAATTAAAGATATAGTCCATCATTTGTAATTTGTGCATTTTGTTCGTTTGAAGCAACAAAAGTATTCAAAATCTAATGAAGGATACTGAACTACTAACCTGATGAAGTTTCAGCTCAGCTTCAGCTGATTATTCCGAGAAAAACAGCATTCTAGGATCTCAATTTCAAATCAAAAGTTGCTGAATCATGTTTTGAATTGCAGCTATACACCATGTCGCGCACTGAACCGACGAATTAAAGCAACCGCGCGCGCCTGTGCATCGTGCCAATGCTTGCGCTACTAATTTAAATTTTCCTACGGTGCGTCTTAAGACGCACGGTTGGAAAGGCCTTCGTTGATTACTTCAAAATGATAGCTTGCCAGAAAGATTACTTTCACAGGGAGTTTAGTTTCCTTACTATCTTTCAACCAAGTATGTTTTTCAACAATAATACGCCAGTTACTTTTTCAGATGGCTGCAAATGATGGACTATAGCTTTAAGAAACTACATAAAAGACGCTTAGATATAAACAAAAAAAATAACAAAAGTGAACTGCAACTTAATTTCATAACATGACAGCAAGCCTAACCACAGACCATCTCATATTTGTTTATCCAATTTGCGTTATTTTTTAAATGACACATTTGCCCTCCATACCTGACCCTTCAACCTTTCCAGTCTCTTGCTCTTTTTCCTCTGCTCTTCTTCCTTTGCTTTTCCCTTGGCTAGTCTCTCCTCCAGTCTGCGCTGATCTCGCTCTAGGAATCTCACTCTCTCCTCTCGACTCATCGTCTTCTTTTCTTCTTCTTGCACTGCTTTCTTAGACTCCACCTCAAGCCGCTGTATGGCATCTTCCTCTTGTTTCCGCTGGAGGTACTCTTGAACTTGATTCCGAACTTCAAGCTAGCCACATGATTGGAGTCCCAATAATAAACAGTAGAAAATGTCTCCATGTAATAAATGTAATAATAGGTACTTATTAAGTGGGCAAAGTCCCTGAGACTTTTTCAAATTAACATTGGCACCATTTTCTTGCCATAGTCAGGCAGATTGGTGCACAATATGATGGAATTGTTCATTTGATGATAAAGGCATGAAATTTGGCACCCAGTCAGGGTATGTCATGCAAAAGATATTTGGCTATAGGGCCATCGCAGACTTGTCCTTTGAAATAAATATAGAATAACATGCAATGGCCGCCATTTTGAAAAATATGAAAATGTCTTGTTATTCTATGATATTTTTTCAAAGGACAAATCTGTGATGGCCCTACAGCCAAATATCTTTCCCATGACATACTCTGACTGCGTGCCACATTTCATGCCTTTATCATCAAACTGAACAATCTTATCACTAATCTGCTGTACTACCAGTAAAAGGAGCTTACTTCAGCTGATGAAGACAACTACATGTACATGCTATGTGCATGTATCTGCAAGCCAGTTATAACTAGCTGCTCTGTACTAATTATCGGACTGTGCTCCAGACCTGACTTCAAAATTAATTAAAAGAAATTCTAAAATTACAGCATCTCAGTTTTCTCTGTTGGACCTTCTCACATTCCTTTTCTCTGGAGGGTGGGGGAGGTGGAAATGCTGGCCACATCCCTCCTTGATTTGTCAGATCTAACATGATATTATCCTGTACCTGTCTTAGTCGTTCCTTCTCATATTCCTTGGCTCGTCTCATCTCTATCTCTATTTGTTTCTCTTCCTCCTTGGCTTTCATCAGTTCCTTCTGGACCTGTTATCAGTGCAAACAAACATGTTGGAAATTATGTCTTCACAATCCTCCCCGTGATGAACAAATGTCATAGTTTTAAGGAAGGTCCAGCACTCATCATGTCGGCCACAGCCGGGCTCCGATACGACTGCCCCACTCCCTCCGGTCCGCCATAAGGGTGACAAGCTCGCCGACCATCTCCACTCCAGTGTCTTTCTTCAGCATCCCCACATAGGACATAGCTTGCCTACACTGCCTCTTCCTGCCATGTTTCGGCTCCCACAGAACCACCTGGTGAGCCTTGAGCTCAGGGTGGCGCTGACAGTGCCCCGCCAGCTGCATCTGGTGAGCCGCTATTTTGTTAGTTTAATAATGTTGGTTTTAAGTTGCGTTCCCGTGCTCTTCAACAAATGAAATTTGTTTTCTATTAATAAATCAAAACTAAACATGGCCCGATTTTTTTTTAGGCTGATGTCTCATTCAAAAGTTAACAAACTTTTGTATTGCTAGAAAAATAACAATTTAGAAAAGCAATCTATTTTTTCAGGATGAAACTTGCAAATAGCACGGGGAATGCATTTTAAAGTTCAAGTATCGAACCCAGAAATAATGCAGAAAGTTGCAGGGATAAACACAATCTAATTTACCAAGTTTAATTCAGTAGTGATCGTTTACTACATAGCTGATTGCTGAGTGACCTCTCACCTTCCATGCATTCAGTCTGTCTGCCTGTTCCCGTCTCTCTTCTTCTAATCTCCGAGCTCTGGCTCTTGTCTTCTGTTCTTCTTCTTCCTTCTTCTCGTCTTCGTCCACGGCTGCTTGAGTTAAACACTCATCCTTCTGAGCCTTCATCCAAGAAAATGACAAAAAGATGGTGAATTAGTAAAACTAATTGTAACGATACCCAAAGGTTTCTCAAAACAATGGGACTACTCTGAGACTCAGTCAGTCAGTCAGCCAGCGACTCAGTCAAAGGACAAAATGCTGGCCCTTCAGTATCCTCAAAAAAAGATCATTAAGCTTAAAGGGACACTACCTCCTGGAAAGCACCCAATTAGGCTAACAAACGCGTTTTAAACAAAATGGTGTTAATTAGACCATTTAAAAGTAAGATATAGACGTCTACACAACCATCCTTTAAAAATTGGGCGTTTTTTGTGTTATTCTTGGGAGAACGAATTTTGGTGGTCAAAACTTTGACTCTAAAAAATGCTGTTTGGGTGCTACTCGTGATTCGAGTGAGTCGCACATGTCCAACCAATGCATTGCATTCTGTGGACGTGCGAGAAATTGTGTCCATTATGTGTCTCAAACACACAACATGTACTGTATATTTTCCCACACTGAATCGTCTAACATCATGGACACAGAAGCTGGGGCATGAAGGAGACTTCTATTTACAGCTAAACATACCTATGTGTATGCCACAAAATGTCCGCCGTGTCGGAAGAAAACAACAGGTTTTTTTTTCATCTTTTGCGTATGTGTATGCCACCAAATGTCCGCCGTGTCAGAAGTAAGCAACCGAGTTTTTTTTTTCATCTTTTCTCAGGAAAAGTGTGACATTAGGTTAGTTCCCTTTCAACCAGACCTTTGAATTAGGATGAGTAATATAAAACATAAAAATGTTGGCGATTTCAGGACGACGTACCCCTTTAAGCTAGAACAATATCCGCTGATCAGATGGCTTGTTGAACTTAATAAGTTCCTGTTAAGTTTAGAATATAACAATTTAGGCCACCAGTTGGAATGTTCATGCGATAAAGTTCACTGAATGTGTTCATGCCATGTTTTTCAGTGAATTGATAACATACTTCTTAAAATGCCTCCAATCATACAATCCCATCTAAGCTACACACATTGTATGATAAATAATACCAGAGTCTTATGTAGCGCACGTATCTTCCAACAATTAGGTACTCAAGGTGCTGGTAATTATGTCTAATTTTAAAGACAGGTAAATGAAGTTTATGAGAAATATGAGACTCATTATGTAGCACCTTTATAAGAATTTACAAGGTGCTGCGGCGCATATTGCAGCCACTGCCAGAAACACCGGGGCAAACCCCTTCTCTCAGCGATAAGTGTTACTGGGTTCTTTAACGTGCATTACATTACGTCCCATCCGAAGGACGAAGCAATAATGGTAAAGTGCCTTGCTCAAGAGCACAAGCACCATGTTCCACTTCAGGATTCGAACCCATGTACCACGGCACACGAGTTGAACACCGTAACCACTGGACCAAAACACCAATGTCTACTAGGATCAGGATCCTGCTTAATACCTCTTTGACAATCTTCCATTTCTGTATCCCATCTTTCTTTTTCTCCATCAACGTCAGATATTCCTGGTACCAGTTTTCATGCTGCCGTACGTCAGTGATGTTACGACCTGGGATGGAGGTTGCTGCCTCGTCTAAGAAGGCAGACTTGCCCTGAGTTAGAAAAGCAATTACATTTATGTATAAAAATTCAACAAATATATAAGATTTTTTTAAATGGTAAGAACAGTACATGTATAATAGACATTAACTACTGACGCTTCCCCTAAATTTGAAAATAGAACAACAAAATTACAAAAAAAGACGCATTCTGTGTTCTTTCTCCAACTTCCTGAGTTCCATAAATGCTTGCAAATAAATGTTTATGTTTCAGTGATAATAGTTGAACAAAGAAATTGACTGGAGCAGGGGTTTGAACCCGCGACCTCCGGATTGCCGGTGCCCTACCAACTGAGCTATCCGGCCTGAGCTAGTATCATGTTGGGGTTCCCCATTTTGTCAATGTCTTTGTTCAAGGGGCGCTAGTCAGACACCATAAACCCATATATGCCATGTAGCCAGGGATCACGCCCAAAGTCACGATGCTAGCAACATTAGCAATGCTGCAAACCCAGGAAATAGCAAACGGAGATCACTCAAAGCAGTTACGGCTTATTATTATAAATTTTCAAATAAACCACAAAGAGAAACTGACTATGCGCATTATAATAAATTCTTTAAAGTTGAACAAAGAAATTGACGGGAGCGAGATTTGATGATATTTCAGTGATTTTAGATACTGATGATTAATTTTGGTCGTGTATTTGTGATATCTAACCTTGAATTTATTCCTGATTCTTAGGAAAGTGCCGTGATCATATTCATCCCAGCCTCCTCTGTGTCCGCCAGTCTGTAGTAAGAACCTCTGTCATCAAGAAAGCAAAGAAAACAATAACCACAATGTTACTTTGTGTGAAGGTTACAACTGAAAAATGAAAATTGCTGCAAACTGCTTACTGACTGGATTGACCTGAAATGTGCAAATCATAAAAGTTAGACAGTCTGACATTTTTTTATCCTTTCACAAAGATTAAGAAAGATCTTTCTCAAAGTTTAAAGAAGAATCTGTCTCAAAGTTTAAGAAAGGATTTTTCTCAAAGTTTAAGAAACGATCCGTCTCAAAGAGTAAGAAAGGATCTTTCTCAAAGTTTAAGAAAGGACCTGTCTCAAAGATTAAGAAAGGATCTTTCTCAAAGTTTAAGAAACAATCTGTCTCAAAGTTTAAGAAAGGATCCGTCTCAAAGAGTAAGAAAGGATCTTTCTCAAAGTTTAAGAAAGGATCTTTCTCAAAGTTTAAGAAAGGATCCATCTCAAAGAGTAAGAAAGGATCTTTCTCAAAGTTTAAGAAAGGATCCGTCTCAAAAAGTAAGAAAGGATCTTTCTCAAAGTTTAAGAAAGGATCCGTCTCAAAAAGTAAGAAAGGATCTTTCTCAAAGTTTAAGAAAGGACCTGTCTCAAAGATTAAGAAAGGATCTTTCTCAAAGTTTAAGAAACAATCTTTCTCAAAGATTAAGAAAGGATCTCTCTCAAAGATTAAGAAAGGGTCTTTCTAAAAGATTAAGAAAGGATCTTTCTCAAAGATTGAGAAACTACAACTATTTAAATTCCAGAAAAATGATCTACAGGTTTTTTAATAGCGGGTGTGGTGGGGGGAGCTATATTCCTGGAAATTCTTCACACCTCCCTCAACCAGCCCCTACTCCAACCACTAACAATTCAGGAAATCACATCACTAAAAATAACCTCTCAAAATAAACCAAATTTCAGCCCCCAGCCCCCCAAAAGAAAAACTTGGTTTGTTTTGGCAGTATGTTATGACCAGGGTTCGACCCCAACTTTTTGTTCACTAGCCAGTCGGGCTACTGAAACAGACTCTTAACTAGCCTGCGGGCATTTTCACTAGCCCGCATGTTTTTAGTTTCTCATAAACAACAATGTGCATACAAATAAAACGTGTATCCTGAGGCAATCTTGTCAGTGTTTTCAATAAACAGATCGAATAATTTAACCTTAACAGTTAATAAAATTAGACACAGATAAAGATACAGGTTTGCTTTCTGAATTTAATGATTTATTTCTTCCTGTCCTTTCATCTTTGCCGTATCCCAATAATTGTTGACTCGCCAGCCGGGCTACTTAAGGAATAGTTTGACTAGCCCGCCGCCTTTTTGACTAGCATTTGGCTAGCGGGGCTACCGCTTAAGTCGAACCCTGGCTATGACCTCCTTACCTCAAATGCTGCAACCTCAGGTGGTAGATCAGCTATGACGTTCCTTGCTGATGAGACAGTCTTGGGTTTCACTGACTTGGTTTCTATGGTAATAGGTGGTGCCGATGCCCAGGACTCTAAACGTTTCTCCAGGGCCGTCACCTCTTGATTTAGAGTCTGTTCCTCACGCAATAGTTCTTCATAGCTAGGTAATAGTGGGGAAAAAGATCAATACAATGTAATAAGAAAAATGCACAACAGAAAATTTCAGAACCGACGAAGGAATTTTGATGGGAGGCAGTTATAATTAAGGAAGTTAAGGAAGGGTCTGTGAACTTGTTCCCTCTAGGATTACATTATTCAAAAATGGATAATTTCCAAAAGACTATACTTGCAATTCAAGAAAATACTCATGGGAGAGTGTGGCCTAGTGGTTAGGGTAAACTGAGAGTGTGAGCACAATGCTACAAAACCTGCAGTGGGCTTCACTCCAATCTAGAAGGGAAGCAGCCATCAAAATCATGCTATACAAAATATCTATATATAATAATCTCATCGCAATTAATAGATATCAGTACCTGACCCCAATGACAGATACCAGACTTCGAAACTACCATCCGGCAAGATACCAGCTTCTCACAACCCATTCCTCCAAGGACATCCACAAGTTCTCCTTCATGCCTACAGCAGTCCAGCTCTGGAATGCCCTCCCTGCAGACGTCATCACAGTTCCATAGGTGGACGTCTTCAGGGCACACATCTCTGCCAAGTAGCTCCAAGATTGGAGCTTTGTTACTCGCACTTAAATTTTTCTTCTGCACAAGCTTCCCCCTGCTTCACATGCACCTTAAACTTCACCTCAGCGTTAACATCCAGAAGTGGACTTTGCTGAGTACCTGCGTAGATGTAGATGTAGATGTGTAACTCCTGATCAGAGGATCAGGGGTTAGAATCCAGATGCTGGCTGTATGCTGTGTCCTTGGGCAAGCCACTTCATCCCTACTTGCCTCTCTCCACCCAGGAGTACAAATGGGTAACAGCATTAGCTGGGGAGTAACCTGACATGGACAAGCATCCCATCCGGGGGGAACAGACATATTCTCAGTTGTTTCATGCCACTGAAACCGGAGATAAATGCCGGCCCGATGAGCCATGTTGGCTCGTGCCAGACTTTCCTTCCTTCCCCTTCAAGAAATACTTAACTCTACGAGGATGGAGAATAATACTTTTGAGGCAGGAATGAGAATGGCCATCCACTCTCCCATCTCTAAAGATATGCTGAAAAGGTGTTGCAAATTTGTGTTGCAAACTTGTTTGATTTTCTTTCAAAGGAAACAAGTCTTGCTAATTATCAACTACTGTCAGACTTACATTTGTTTTTGCTGTTCTTTGAATTCACTGACGACTGATTCGATCGTCTCCATGATCTCCTTCAATTTCTCAACAACTAGAAACCAAAACAAAAAAGACTGTCTATTATTTTCTTTTATTCTCTTGCAATGAACACAAAAATAGTTTTCAACTTTTCTATTTTTGTGTTCTTTGCTCATAGTGCTCTTTCATTGACTGCAGTTTCACAAATTTACTGTTTTTACAACACGGTCACATGTTCATACATATTTTTGGTATCTGTTTTTTCTTTATGAAAACTAATGAGAATTACAATGCAGCCCACTCACATTCAGGTGTTGGTTTGACATTGTGTAGTTCTCGTTGAAACTTAGTGACACTGCCTCGCATCTTATTCAGCTGTTGACGCAGTTTAGCCTCTGTACAGTCAATTGAGAAAAAAGCATTATTAACGGGACACATGTAGCAATTGATTGTTCTTTTAAATGACTTTGTTACATTTTGCTCGCTTAAAAGCGGAAAAACCTTTGTTTTTGTTCTGATTTATTTTCTTTCTTTTTCTTTTTGTTCCAACCCAAATCCCATCGACTTTGTACATGTTTTATTCAGCCCCCCACTTTTGACATAAAACAAAGTCATAACCCAATGAAACTTAACATGGACAATGACGTTATTGGTAAGACCTATGTAGAAGAGTGGTGTCATGATGACGTCATCATGGGTCACGTGGAGTCATCTTAAAGGTGCATATATTACAGTCCTATATCTTCAGAACTGTAAGTCCGATTGGATTGGAACTTGGAATGTAGGTAGATCTGGATGTGTTATAGGTAAAATTTGAGGTTACGTCGTCATGTCCAAAATCCATATTTAAAGTTATAATGAAAAACTAATTTATGGAAATACAGCATTATTGGATGACAGAATAATTATTGTTTACTTTCAGTTTTTCTGTCCGAGTTCAGCTTGAGTTCTTGTTCTTCCAATGTGCAGAACAGCTTGCGGAAATCACTGCGTTTATTGTACAGATGCACACCCTTCTCCCGATCCAAGTTATTAATCCTGTATAAATGAAAAACTGTTTGTCAAGCTTGAAACATGAATTTCCATGATTACACCATTTCATCCCAGCCTAAAGACAGACAACTTTTTATAAACTTACTTGTCATACCCTGATGGCCTGGGTTCAAATCCCACCTGGTGACACATTTGGGAATTGGTTTTCTTTTAATTAACGCATGAAACAATTGCACAATTTGTTTGGCCATCAGTCATTTGTAAATCTGGATCTGGTAATCTGATGACTAAGTCCAAGTAAAAAATAAATAAAACTATTACCACTCCCCACCAACTTCCTCCTCCCCCCCCCCCTCGACCGGCCCCTTTTGGTGATTTTGTTTTTGTCATACTTATGCAATATTTTTGCAAATATATTGTCAATATGTCTTTTTATTTGCTTCCAACAAAATTGTAGCTATGTAGAAAGGATGACGGCTCCTTTGGACACTTTGTATCAGCAAAAGACTCGATGATGGAAGAATCTATCCGCCATCTTTGAAAATCTGCCATCTTGTCAACAAAAGGGGGGACGCCTCCTTCATTTTTTCAAAAAGCCCAGAAGAAAAATTGTTTTTCTTTTACTCGGCCTAATGACTTTTCATGTATCTAGAAATGTTTGCACTTCCATTTTAAGTTTGCCTATTTTGTTGTACAGTACTGAACCTGAGGGTGAACGTCTTAAAAAAAACAAACAAGAAACTTGCTTGGGTTATTGTAAAATAAGTTAAAGTTTTTACTTACTTTTGTTCCAGTTGTTCAATTTCTCGTAGTGCTTCTACTTTCTTAGCATTCTCTGTCTTAGTCTTCCAAGCCCATGACGATCCGCCTCCTGCCTTCATCTCATCCCCGCCCCCTCCTCTTGTTTTGTCTCCATCTTCTTTGCCTTTTCTTCTTCCACTCTCTTGCCTCCGTTTCGTTGCTAAACCCTTTATTCAAACAAATTTTTTTGAAAGTTTAATTAGTTTGAATTTTCACTTTTTGAATAGAGAGCATTCATAGAGCGCCCTCGGTGGGGGCTAATTGCTTTGAACGCTCATTAAATGATGATGTTATATGCCCGGTCAACACGTTTTCAGCTCTCGTTGGACAAACTGCTTACACGCTGACGTGGGTCAACCCTTCCGTGTGATGGTGTGTGCATGAATCTTTAACTTTTGAACAAGATGTTTTACCTACTGTGATTGAACTGTTAATTAGCTATTGTGTTAAACTTAAAGTTGGGCGCAATCAGTTGATCTGTGTGATCGGATGATCGGCAATGCTTTTCATCAGCAACGATCAGTGGATTGTGAGGGATATCTCGGACTTTAATTAGGCCCACTTACCTTTCTAAAAAAAATCCTCCAAAGCCATTAATTAGAAAGAGAAGGTGCTTGAATAGTGGTGGCAGCACAAATATCAACCAATAGGGCCTACTAATACTACCGTCGTGATTGACTGATACTAGTGCAGTGCATATGCACCGATCATGCACATCGACCGATCATGCCCAACACTTCTACTATTCCTTCACATTCACAAGATTTTGTGGAACGGATTAGCCCCATCCAGCGCCCTTGCATATTATAACGATGCGATCCCAACCCAAGGATTACTGTCACTGAATTTCAATAACAAAACCTGTCCACACTGAGGGCGCTCTAACAAGTTACATTCCTTCCTTCGTCACTACAGTGTTCATTGTGCAAATTAATTCTTGACGATTGAAAAAAAAAATTTTTAAATGACATTCTTGTTTGACCGTTTTGTAAATTAATAATTGTAATAACAACGGCATTTTTAAATGATATGAGTCACAACTGGAAACAAACCTTTGACGCCATATTTAGTGTCTTATCAACAGGGAAAACTGCAAATTGAATGAAAAAAAACCAAGAAATTTCGTTCGGGTTACTGATCCAAATGGTCCAAAAAGCTAGCAGCCGACGACATTCTAAAACAATTTTAACAGGCTTGTTCTGAAATCATTTATTATTCAACAATAAATTTCAATGTATTTAAAATTAAATTGCAAATTTCCAGCATTTTAATTTGTTGCATTGATAAATAGCATTATATAAAGATATTTATTGTTAATAATTCAAAATAAATTTATATTTATTAGATTGCAAAAACTTATATATGTGACAAAGACTTTTGTGTTCATTCAAGCATGATTATTGACGGGGGTCAGACAAGTCGACCGTTGAGACAACTCGACTCGGGACAAGTCGACCGTTGAGACAACTCGACCGTTGAGACAACTCGACCGTATGTGCGATAAATGGAAAGACAAGTCGACCGTTGAGACAAGTCGCCTCGCATGTTTTGGGCCCAGTTTTGGGGAAAGTACCAGGGATTTTGACGGCGCCCATTTGCCGCACCGGTCGACGTGCCCGCGTGCCGGGCCCGGCGAGGCGCACCGGCCGCGCCCGACGCGGCGGCCAACGTATCGGAGCACCCTCTGTACATCGAGTATGCCCGCGCCGCGCCCGTGATCGGTCTTGCCACAGATTTGTGCAACTTTTTCTGCTCCACGTGTATTCATTTCCATTTATAAGTCGAGCAGACTCAACGGTCGAGTTGTCCCGAGTCGAGTTGTCTCAACGGTCGACCTGTCTCAACGGTCGAGTTGTCTCAACGGTCGACTTGTCTCGAGTCGAGTTGTCTCAACGGTCGACTTGTCTGACATTCATTATTGACCCCAAGTTGACCTCGTACACACCTGACACTGGCATAGCAACAGTAATCATCCTTGGACAATCTCGCTGAAAAGAACACAACCTAAATACGTATTTTTATATCCGAGGTAGTCGATAATTGTAGGATTTCTCGGATATTGAGATAGTGAACATTGACTGCAATCATGTCTGTGCTAAATCCGTCAAGAACTATTTATAATTCAGAGGGAAAATGTTTGCTAGAAAACTGGGTCGAGGAGGTAAGTTGTCCATCATGTCCATTGCATTGCATTAATTGCGGGTGTGTGTTTTTTTTTGGGGGGGGGGGGGGGGTTCAGTTTCCTGTCTACAACATGTTTATGTTGGGCGCAATCGGTCGATCTGCACGATGGGTCGATCGCGTTGCACGATGGGTGGATTCTGTAGGCATGGTGGGATATCTCCGAGTCCGGCTTAGTTCCTAAACCTTTTTAAAAACAAATCGTCCAGAGTTGTGAATTTTATTCATGTTATTTAGAGAGCAAAGTTGTTCGACAGGTGGCACTGCAGTGGGATCGACCGATAGCGTCATGATCGACTGGTTCAGCGCAGCATACCGACGGCCACACTAGTGGGGCTAACAAGAACGTAGATCTGTTTTACAAAAATATTCAGACATATTTCAATATTTTTATTTTTAATGATCAAAGTTACAAAGGCCAAAAAAAAAAGTCTCCGGTTTCTGGTATGCGTGCGCGTCACCGTAGCCATGCGCGTCGGCAAAATGAAAAAGTTTTTTTTTCAATGAAAGATGATGTCTCAAAACTGCCAAACTCACTGGTTTGACTGGAATCCTGCTGCTGCACAATTTTAACGTGTTTTTAGATTGGGTTATGCCTTATGGTCGAGAATAAGCTTTATGTGGCTTCTCTGGATTCCCATATATTTGCACTAAGTTTAGTCGGGCACCATTTGCAGTCATCAGCCGACATTTGAAGCAAAAAAATCAGGTAAAAAAAAAAAAGCCGCGTCGCCGCACCACTTTTTGGGCAAGCTCCATACCAGAAACCAGAGACTTTTTTTTGGGGCCAAAGGCCTAGGACTTAGAAAATGATTGTCTGAAATCTAAAGGCTTACATGACATGACACATGTCTGATGAAAAAGTGGTGTAAGGATATTGTACTCTTTCCACAATAACAAGTATTAATTAATATTAAATACAATCTTGTGACTATTGTTTTTTCAGCGTCAAGTGCAGGAGCGAGGCCTGGACAAAGTTCCCAGCAACATGAAATATGAGAATAAATCTCTGCCGTTTAAGGATGGTCACAGTGCAATCCTGTCTACACCAAAATATCAAGATGCAGGCACACCATTATCCACATGCACAGAGTCATACATGCTACCAGAAAAACTCAAAGTCCGAACTGTTGGTAAGAAGAGCCTGAGTTATGCAAATTTTAGCAATCCAAGTTAGGGTTGTCGTTATGCCCCAACTATAGCCATGGTCTCAACAATGGTTCTGGCTATCCCAACTATAGTTGGAATGCACTCGGACATTGAGTGCTGAAAAACATGCAAAACGAAATGAGGTCATCTTTACTCACTCTGTAGCTAGCAAAATTCTCCAAAATTTTCATTGGGCAAAGAAGAGGTCCTCAGTATTTCACCAGCCAAGTTTGAAGACTCAAATCAGTTTTTAAAGAAGAATTTCTTCAATATTTTGCACATGAGAGGGAAGTCAAGTGATTTCAATATGAGGCTTAAGACTAGACTGGTACATGTCCAACCATGGTCCAACTGTTTGAAAAGACTGACCTCTTCATTCATTGTCATTAGTCTGGTGGCTGACTATGGAGAAATGTGTGGAAATAGAGACTAGTACCAGACTTGCCAGTTGATTGATGCAATACTGAAGGGTTGTTAGACTGGTTGTTTCAGGTGCCAGTCTATTTTCTTGTATTGCATGTTTTCAATACCTTAAGTTTTGGGACTCTCGTACACAGTATTGAGAGTCCCAAATTTTCGGACTAGTTAGGATGGTGCTATATTTGTCTCATAACATTTTTTAATTTTTCAAATGCCAAAAGTAAAGCAAGAATACTTTCAAGTAGATTATGGTGTGAGAAAGATGTCAAATTATGCTGAATCTCCTGTCGGTATCTTGTGTTGCAGCTGTTAATGTTCAGTTGGTATGTTGTGTTTTCAATAATATTTGCAGGTTGAATATACCCTAAAGTGATGAACTATTTTACATATCTTTACAATTTGTTTACAGCGATGTTTTTAATCATTGGGAGTACTGTTGAACATTTGCAGTAATTTTCTGATCAAACAAGTACCGCTGGGCGAGTAACTTGATTACTCGAGTACTTGTGAGTAGCTTTTTGCTACTCTTTGTTCTGTTTGTGGTTTTTCATCTACTCAAGTACTCGGCCTGGCGCTAGGTAAAAGCAGGTACTTGGGAGTAGCAATTTAGGGTGTACGGTTCACAGCTTAATACGTCCCCTGCAAACAGGGAATCACTCCCTCCACCTCTCTCTCCCTAGGATTCCATTCGTCAAAAAAAAAGAAAATTCAAGTAAATGACTCAAAACGTCGCACAGTAAGGATATCTCAGTACTGAAGAATGTGGTGTGACTTGCATGCTATTTGCTTGTATTTCCCGTCAAACTAACATACATGTCATTTTTCTGCTTGTAAGAGAATTTGGTTAACTACTCGCGAGTACTCGACTACTCACGAGTAATTTCTTTGCGAGTACTCAGGTAGAAAAATCCATTACTCGCCCAGGCCTACAAACAAATTTGCATTTTTTTTCCCACAGGGAAGAAGAAAGAGTTAATGGAGCGAGCCCTGTATGCCAAAGTTGCCAAGGAAGTTCAGGATGAGATGGATCAGCCACCGCCGATGCCTGAATACCAATCGGTCACGCAGAAAGACTTTGATGTTGAAGGATTCGTCTCAGAGCTCCCGCCTCCGGAGTTAGAACACAACGTTGCCAACGAGCAGCCCGTCACCTTCTGGAGTGAACACAAACAGAAGATTCCTGTAAGTAGAATGTTCATTAAAATTAGAAGACTGCGTAAAAACAGAAAATAGTTTCTTGTCCGGATATTTCTTTTTAAATGAGGGCAGGGCCCCCTTTTTTTCCCCAAGAAGGTGGATTTTCCAAGATGGCGGATGGATTCCTCCATTTTCTCAACTCTTTTGCTGAAACAAAATTGTGTCCAAAGAAGCTGTCACACTTTCTTGCTACAATTTTGTTGGAAACAAATAAAAAGACAACATATTGACAATATATATGTTGCAAATGTATCAATTAAATTTTAAAAAATAATAAGAAAGGCGAGGGGCGGGAAAAAGGAAGCAGGCAGAGAAACTAAACATCCCTACCTATTATCAGCACCCCTGCTCATAATTATTGGAAAGATTGTGGTGATTTCCATCGATACACACTTCCGTGGTTGAGGACTGTTTACCATGACCATTTATTTCACAACATTATTTTAATATACAGTACATTGCTTAACTAAACTTTAAAGCAAACTATAAAGATCAAATCAAATGAACTGAATGAGTTGAACTGAGTTAGGAGTCGAATTAGGAACTGCTCAGCGGGCAGTACTTATATACTGTGGAAACAGGATGTATTTGAAATAAGAAATTCTTCAGAAAGTAAAAGTTGAGTCATGTATTCTCAGAAATAAAGTGACTATAGCTGAGTAACACCTTAAAATATTGGTTAAGTAACTTGGTTGTAACAGAGAAAGCTTCAAGACTTGTATGTGGCTGGGCAGTAATGATCATTTGCTCTGTATAAAACAATTCACACTTTACCATAGGCAGTCACATTGTGTGGGTGTGTATACAAGGAAAACTATGAGTAACGCATTCAGAAGGAAATAATCATTATACAGGAATCATCGTCAAAAAGTTCAAAACTAATATTGAAAACTAAAGAGTGATAACTAACTAAAATTTTAGGCGAATTGATTATTAAGAACTGATAATCTAGAAACGCAATAAGCCTCTCAGCATTACAAAGCCACTCCCTCTGACTCCACCCTAACGCACAGGGTCTATTTGGAAACCAGTTACATAAATACAGGGTGAGGCAAAAAACACGAAACCAAAATGTGGGGACTATTGTCTGAGTGACGTTCTAAATGTAGCACTTTCAAAATCTAGGATATGAAAGCTCAACTCATAAGCTTTCTTTTAGTACAAGAATCATTCAAATCAGTCATGTACTTTTCAAGTTACGGACTTTTAAACACAACCGCTGTTTTTAAAGTTCTGTGCACGGATTACAAAAAGGTAAGTGTTCTTTCAGCAAAACGAAAACAAATCACATAGGGATGTGTGTGAATTTTTTTGGTTTGCTGAAAGAATGCACACATTTTGTGTGATTCGTTTACAGAACTTTAAAACGGTGGTTGTGTTTAAAATTCCGCAACTTGAACAGTACATGAGTGATTTGAATTATTCTTGTCCAAAAATACAACTTATGAATTGGGCTTTCATATCCTAGATTTTGGAAGTGCATCACGCAGAACTTCACTAAAACAATAGTCCCGACATTTGGGTTTCGTGTTTTTTGACTCACCCTGTAAATGTTCCTCTGCACTTTAATTTTATCAAGCCATCATAAACAAACTGAGCTCCACTTATAATCATTTCTTCATCTTACACCATTTAAAGTATTTTGAGAAACTTTGCCCAACCACTGTCCAGTTTTCTATTCAACTCTACCCCACAGATATTCGCCACAATTTGTCTTCAAATAATTTCTTTTGAAAAGTTGACTAGCTTCTGACTAGCTTCCCCTGAACAAAGATATTGACTAATTGGGGAACCACCAACATAGGGCTGGATAGCTGAGTTGGTAAGAGCACCGGAACGGTTATCCGGAGGTCGCAGGTTCAAACCCCGCTCCAGTCAATTCTTTGTTCAACTTTTCAATTGTTATAATTCACCTAGTCAGTTTCCCTTTGTGGTTCATTGGAATAATTTCTTTTGATTAACAAACAAACAAACAATTAGCACTGTGAAATGCTGGGAATGTTGAAAGCATGAATTTTGTCTGATCAGCATTATTTAAGTTTAATTTTTAATAAAAAAAAACAATGTCCATTTTTATTCCATCACAGGGAGTCACACAAATGAAGACGTTAGACACACCGTTCAAGAAGAACACATCCTTCAGTAAACCCATCGACGAATATTTCAACGAAGCACAGCCCTATGACAAGGAAGGTTACCCATGGATGTGATGCTCATGCTGTATAGCTTAGGCCCCCCCCCCCCCAAAAAAAGGCTCCGGTTTCTGGTATGTGCTCGCGTCGCCGTAGCCATGCGCGTCAGCAAAATTGTTAAAAAAAATGTCAATGTAAGGTGATGTCTCAAAACCGCCAAACTAACTGGTTTGACTGGAATCCTGCTGCTGCACAATTTAAACGTGTTTTTAGATGGGGTTACGAACGAGTATAAGCTTAATGTGGCTTCTCTGGGCTTCCATATATTTTGCACAGAATAGTCGGGCACCACTTGCAGACGCTGTTGTATTTTTGTGATTGTGTGTATGGAAGCCAGACGTGTGTGTGTGGAAGTGATGGTCATGTATCTGGAACCTGTAAACGCTTTTTAATTAGCGCAATGTGTAGGGGAGCAGACTAATGACCAGCCTGGCAGCACAGCCATGGTGTCGATGTTGCTGTATGGTCTGGCATTACCGTTTTCACTGATTTTTCTTGACTATCCAAATTTCCCGAAGAGAATGTTTGTGTTAGTCGAGATTGTAAGTGGGTGCAGAATTTTCAAGCCTTATGGCCTTACTCAGGTCACCTCAAGTGCCACCTTGAAGGATATTTTTTAGAGTTTTAAGAGGATTGAAGTGTCATCTGCAACATCAGCCGACATTTGAAGAAGAAAAAAGTCGTAGAAAAAAACAAAAAGCAGCATTGTCGCACCACTTTTGGGGCAAGCTTCATATCAGAAACCGAAGACTTTTTTTTTTTTGGCTTTAGGGATTCAATGTCAAAATTTATTTTAATAGCTTTGGGTAACTTTCAAAATTACAAGGGAATCTTAAATATTTGAGGACAGTTTACTTTCAATATTTTTGTGTACATATTTGTGCGTTGAATTTCTACACGTATTTATCATTGTAACAGGGCAGTTTATCTATTGTCCAGGCTGTGCCAGTGCTGATTTAATTTGATGATTCTTTCGCTTGAAGTTAATGCTAGGATTATAAATTTGCATGAAACTCAAGTTATTGTTTTAGATTAAAGCCATGGCCATGAGAAGTGTACATAATATTTTTAATGGACATTTATTATTTCAGTGTAATTTTTTATTGCATTATACCCACCATTTTATTCATCTTTTATTCATCATCTGGGGCGTAAAAAGGTAATTTTATTGGGGGGTCCAAATTTCTACTCGCACATCCGTGCTAAAAGGTAGAATCGTTTTTGTCTCCGGACGCTTGGTCTCCGTAAAATCAAAAAGTGGGGGGGGGGGCTGGTGCCATGGGGTGATGTTCCAAAAAAGGCACTCTTACAAAAAATGGTTTTGGGGGGATTTTTGGGTTAATGCTGGTGAACAAGGGCATTTGAATCGAAAAGGGCTGTCTTTATAAAATATTTTTTGGGGGAGGGGGGTAAATACATCCCTTTTTCCTCTCTCTCTCCCCGCCCCTCCCCCCCCCCCCCCTCCCCCCGGCTACGCCTATCGTAAAAGGTTTCTTGTACATGCATATCTGTACTGTTCCAGTGGGTGTTGTGATATAGCTTGGTATATTTGGCAAAATACTTGTTCTTTTAAATTAATACAGTCACGTGATGCATTGTAAAGTAGATTTTCCTATTCACCACAGGCAGTTAAATGCTCGAAACCTATCATTTACTTTTGAACTGGAACGATCATTGTTATATTTTCTGGTTAAATGGATATGATGATGATTGATGATGATGGTAATTGTGATTTAGAACTTTAATTGTATATCGCGTGAATTACAGTGTCCGTCCAATTAATTCTTTTATGAATGTCAGTGTTTATCAACGAATAAAATGTTTTATATGCCCTCTTAGTTCTCTGAGTATTCAGTACGATCTTTCCAGTGTTATTTTTTTATTATTCTGATGACAAAATACGGCGTTTGCCTGCGTGTTTAATAACTGAATTTCCTCAGACCCCGTTCATGTACATGTACACGCAGATCCAGAACTAGTTAACACTTGTGACGTCAGTCATCTCCTGATTCTGTTTGTATTCATAAAACAAAAATTGCCTCGTATTTCAAGGTTTTATGCCGAAAGGGCCTACAGTTCAATTTATTTATTTAATTGCTCCAACAATAACTGGGAATTATCATTTAGCCTCAGTGTTTGGATTTTTAGTGCGAATAGACGATGATAGATGAAGCTCAGTACTCTTAATTATGCTAATTTATTGTGACGTTTTCAGAAGTTTTGTGACGTGGACTCGATAAATAATACTCACGCACAGGCACAGCGCGTATCTGTGGACGCGCGTGTCCCTAGATACGTGCGTTTTCATGATGTTTTATGCGCACAGTCACCTTTGAACGCATTATTCGGACCGGACGGATGGAGCCCAAGTTGGCGGTCAGCCGCTGCAGGGCGGTGCCGATAATTTGCCCGTCAATAACGCCCCCACCAACGGCGGGAAAATGAATGTCGGCGATCATAAACCCCTACCACCTCTGCGGTCGAACAAGGTGATGCAGACACCACCGACGGGGGATAACACCAATGGCTCAGTCAGATCGCCAGATGAACACTCAACGCAACATCAGTTGCCGACTGTCGAGGAGCAAATTTCCTCAACCTCATCAGATCCTTCTAAGGTCAGTTCTTCGGGTCTCAAATCTTCCATCAGACATGATGGACCCAAGTCGGGAGATGGGGGAGAGAACGGTCCAGGGCACGTAGTGTTCGATATTGAAAACATGGATGAAGGAAGTAGTGAGGAAAGATCTAGGGAGAACAGTAAAGAATCCATCAAGGCGAGTCTGTCACTTCTTGGGATACCCCAGCCGCGCAAGGAAAGTGACGGTCTGTCCGGCATGAAGAACACGTTCATACGCCGTCGGCTGTGGCAGATGCTGCAGCCGACTGACAACCGGCTCTCCATGAAGCTTTTTGGGAGCAAAAAGGGATTACAGATCGAAAAGAAGAGATTGAAGGCAGCTGGATTTCTCATCGTTCATCCGTGCAGTGCATTCAAGTAAGACTCCCTCTTCCGCTTTTCGCTTTCACAAGTTTTAACTGCACTAGGCCCTACATCCTGCAAGTTCCTGAAGTCCCAAAAAAACAAATCGGTCTACTCAGTCTTCTTGAAATCTGGTTTAAAAACAAATCATGGTAAGCATTATTATAGAGCCTTTTAGAACTCCGTTCTGCACCATCTCCTGTGGACAGGTTTGAATCCCACCAGTAGCATCATTTGGAATTGGATCTCAGTTCAAATTCAATTCAATTCAATTCAATTCAAAACTCACATTTATTTCCATAACAAAATGATAAATACAAGCATAGAATACACGATTAAGTACATAAATCAACAAATTATTTGTCAAAAAGGTGAAAATATAAAAAGGTATGGAGGCATCTTCTGGAAGCCTAGGTTTGTGGCGAGATGCCTTGAACGGACAAACACAAAACAGAAACAAAAACAAATACATTTGTACACACGGACAGTTTGGATCTCCAATACGTTGTCTTTCTCAACAAAAATCTGATAATTCCCAACACATAACTTACATTATGTTCTCTCAAAGAATGATTGTACCATTACATGTACATGTAGTTCACTCTTTTCACTACAAAAAAAATAAGTTTCCGTTGTGAAATACTGTGTCAATTCTTGTTGCAGGTTTTACTGGGATCTAATAATGGTCTTGCTGCTAATAGCCAACTTGGTGACCCTCCCTGTCATCATTGCCTTCTTCTACCAAGAGAAGCTGAGCCAGAGCTGGTCAACTTTCAACTGTGCCTCGGATTCTCTCTTCATCCTTGATGTCATCATCAATCTCAGAACTGGCTACATGGACCTCAACACTGCTGAACAGGTGCAAAATTACAAATTTCAGACCATCAAAATTTAGTGAGTTTTCTGGTGTACATAATCCTCGGGATCACCCGAATTGGAGTTGTGAAGGCGTAAGAGAAAGACGACCGACCTGAAAATAAATTGTGTTTTTTATATATGTTCAGTTTGGAAGGTTTGTTTAGGTTTCCTTTTGTTAAACATTTGAAACTTTCCAAACATGATCGATATCGGTTTCCAGAGAATTATTATCGTTGACCAACGGTTCAAAGTATGGCACCCAGACGCCATGAACGCGTGATGAATGATAATAGACAACTGGGACACACTTACCAATATTTGTTTTGTTTATTCTCGGAAGGTGATACTGGAACCCAAGAAAATTGCAATTCACTACCTGAAGAGTTGGTTCACCGTGGATTTTGTCTCCTCCATCCCCATGGACTGCATCTTTCTAGCCATCGACGGCGGAAATGATAACAAACTTTACGAAGTCTCCAAAGCTTTCCGTATCTTCCGACTGGCCAAGCTTCTTAGTCTTGTTCGGTTGCTGCGTCTTTCGAGGCTGATGCGATTCGTTCGACAATGGGAACAGGTAAAAGGCTGTATTTGTAATTAGCTCACATTCAGATTATGCTTGGTACTGGGAGGTTTGTGGTGGACTTGTGAGGCATTGTGATGAATTCGACTACAACACCGCTGAAACATGCAGTAATGTTGGCTGATGGAGTAATCTACCCGGACTGTCATAGGCCTTCTTGCTTTGATGTGCTCCATACGGAAGACATCCATTGATTTGACAACGTGACCGCTAGTCTTAATAATCATCATTCTTCCTTGACCTGTCAGGTGTTCAACGTAGCAGGTGCCGTGATTCGCATTGTTAACCTCATCGGTATCATGATACTCGTCAGTCATTGGAACGGATGCCTCCAGTTTCTTGTGCCGATGCTGCAGGAATTTCCTCAAGATAGCTGGGTCAGCATCAACGACCTAGAGGTGAGCGTGGTCAAGATTACCAAGAATGATTTGCCATATTTTGATTACTGACGTCATTTATTTATAGAGGAACATAATTCCATTGTCAAGAATGTAAAAACTGACTCCATCGTCGTCGGCTATATTGAAGTCGATATAACGTCGCCATTACCTCTAAACGCAGTTACAAACGAAGCATTCAGTTAACAAAAGTTAACAAAATATAGCAATTTGGTGAATACAAACAATCTTCAAGGCTATAATGCGAACTACATAGCTGAGTAAGATTTGCAACATTCCATCGAAACATAAGGAAGATTGAAGCTCCAAGTTACAAAATGGGTCTTTTCTTTATTCACAATGGCCGATCATCTGTCGGACTTTATGTCCGGCATTTTCAGAGTAAGTTTTTGTTTTGCTTGTGTGTACATCACCGACACCACGAAGTAACACTCATGTACATAGACCTACCAGTAAAAACTAGCAATCGGAGAAAACGGCATCTAAAGTTGAACGCATTCTATACCAACACTTTGCGTCAAAACTGCAGAGTATTTTCAGTTTGGTTTCTCGTTGTGGACACTTGATGTATTGATGTTATTAAATTTGCTGTTTTTGACCCGTTTGTATATTAAAAATACAAGAAATAAGAGGAAAAAAAGGTTAGTGCTAGTTCGTGAAACCAAAAAAAGCTGCGAAACTGTAAATTTTCGTTTTCACGACGTAGCGCCCTTCAATGTATTACAACACCAGTAGAGTGTTACTTCGTGGAAACGGAGATCAGAGCGCGTGATCTCAAACAAGCAGAGTGTTACTTCGTGAAAACGTTTCATGCTCGCACTTGAGCAGAGTGCGCGCCATGCATTACAATGGTAAATGGAACTTGAGTGAAAACGAAAATTGTCGCTTTCGCGCAAAAGTTACCATGGATTATTAGCGTACTTATTAAGCTCTTGAAGCTTTGATACTTTGTGCAATGGTAGGCCTTGATGAATAATGTTTAAAAATGTAACAAACTGAAACCAAAAAAAAATATGGTTTAACACGTGGAGTGTTACTTCGTGGCGTCGGTGACGATATGTCTGTGGGCAAGTTTGTCAGTCAAGTCGTTCTTTTTTGGTCTCACGTTATTTTCGAATCAGCACGCCGGTTGGTGGGAACAGTACACGTGGGCCTTGTTCAAAGCAATGTCGCACATGCTGTGCATCGGCTATGGACGTTTCCCGCCACAAAGTATGACCGATCTCTGGCTCACAATGTTTAGTATGATCATTGGAGCATCCTGCTTCGCGCTCTTCATCGGTCATGCTACCAACCTCATCCAGTCAATGGACTCGTCCAGTAGGCAGTACCGAGAAAAGGTTAGTGGAATGTACCAATCAATATAAAGGGTTAAATATGATAAAATAAGATCAAATCTAACAGCTTTCAATAACCACTTATAGATTCCAAATAATTCTCCAAATTCTACCTCACTTATTTGAAGTTTGTATAAGAAATAAGCATTTTTCCACTCGATATCATTTTTTACGATCTTTTTTCAACGTGTCGTCGTCCAAAAGAATTAATTTGAATAGCCATGTAATTCAATTAATTATTAAATTCTAATTACATTTGTCAATACAGTTGAAACAAGTGGAAGAGTACATGGCCTACCGCAAGTTGCCCAGCGACATGAGGGAACGCATCACTGATTACTATGACTACCGTTACCATGGCAAGATGTTCAACGAGGAGGTTATATTCAGTGAGATCTCGGTCAAACTTAAAGAGGTCTGTGATCAATCTAACTTGAAATACTTGTTTTGTGCACAGTCATATTAAAAGTAAAAGTAATACCAAGCTAAATTACAATAAATAGGCCTATGTATACGTCTTTCTATGTAAACTGAGTTTCATGGATTTAAAGTAGTCAGCATTAGAAATCTACAACAAGCCTCTGTACTGATGACGTCACATTTTGTTTACATGTGCACTTTCCTATGGAGCCAGTGGGGGCCCACGGTCCACTGAGCACCATAGGAAAGCACACACGTAAATAAAGTGCGACGTCATCAGTACAGAGGCTTATTAAACGTCTTCTATTATGATTTACATTTCTTTTGCTTCGACTTAAAAAATATATAGGCCTATATAATCGAAAACACTCAACAAGTGGAAATTCCACAGAGGTTCCAAAACAAACCAAACGGTTGAAACCCTCCTCTTTCCTGCAGGATGTTGCCAACTACAACTGTCGTGACCTGGTCGCCTGCGTTCCCTTCTTCCAAAATGCTGATCCCAACTTCGTCACTCGTGTGGTGGTCCTCCTCATGTTCGAAGTCTTTCAGCCAGGCGACTACATCATCAGGGAAGGCACATTCGGGGATCGGATGTTCTTCATTCAACAAGGCGTGGTGGATGTGATAACGTCAGACGGGGAAATCGCCACCACATTGAGCGATGGATCGTACTTTGGAGGTGCGCATACTTTGAAAAGTTGATTTTAACATAATTATCAAAGCCTGCAGTTATGATTAAATGGCGCTGTTTTACCGTTTTTCAAATCGAATCTCAATTTCGTCATTGTGGCTACGTGAATATACGGACGTTATTTTATTGTACGTTATTATTATTCTAATGTATTTTTCTAAAAGATTTAAATTTTATCGCAGAGCAGAAAACTACGTAATGATGACTTAACATACAAAGTTTGAGATCGGAGATGCGAACAGTCGGTCATTCAATCATAATTTCATAATTATTATTTCATGTTTGTAAAAATATTGAAACTGATTTCATGATCCTTGATTATCATTAAGTGGATTCTCGTCTTTCATAATAATAAAGGGCATTTATATGGCGCTTTTAAACGGGGTATCAAAGCGCTTTACAATTATTATTACCCCTGTTCAATGGGCAAACCATACTGAAACCTTCTCAACTCCCTGGGGAGCATAGACGGCCGGTATAGTAGGCAGCCATTTCAGCGCTCTTGGCCGCAATCAACCTCTCACAGTAACCAACTCTGCCCTCACAGATACCCATCTACTCCTGGGTGGAGAGAAGCAATGAGTGACAAAGCGCCTAGCCCAAGGGCACACACACCATAACCCCAGGCTGGACTCGAACCCACAACCTGCAGAATTACCTGCAGACCACAAATTCAATGCTCCAGACCACTAGGCCATGGCACTCCACAGCCCAGTGGCTTTCATAGCGAATAACAGAAAATATTGTTACCGTTAAATACTTGCCAGAATTCGAATATATGACTTTTAAAAATAATAGTTCTCTCTCTTATTTTGGTCAGAAATCTGTCTTTTGACCGAGGAACGCAGGGTTGCTAGTGTACGGACCGACGGTTATTGCGCTCTCTTCTCACTGGGCGTGGAGAATTTCCACAAGGTAAAAAAAGGGTCTCAGACAAGTGATTGCCTTCCATTCTCCCTCAAGACGCTAACAAAAAGTTCAGAAACGATAGAGACTACCAAAGATACGTCTGGCTTGCTTTGAAAAACCATGCAATGCCTTTGAACAGCATGATTGTGGTAATAACAGATCTTGACTCACTGGAGATGATAAAAAGGCTGATGTATAATAGCTGGCGAAGGAATCCATGCACCATCGTTCTTCCCGTAATCTGAATCACAGTTTAACCTTATTGCTTCCGAGTGAAACTGAACATTAAATACCCCACATTTGATCAAAATTTGTCTACCATTTGCCAGATTATGTCAGTAATGGCTGCCTACATGTTTTGTAATTGGATTTGAATGATGCATTACATAAGTCAAAAGCTCTAATTTGAAATCAATTTCGTACAATTTATCAAACAGGTTCTCAGAGAATTTCCCTCCATGAGAAAAACGATGCAAGAAGTGGCACTAAGACGCCTCAACAAGATCGGGAAGACATCCAAGGTTTTAGTAGCTGCTCTCAGACATCACAACATTGCGTCACAAAGCTCCGCCATGTCATCAAACTTACTCTTCCCGCTTCCCGAGTCGTCTTCATCTGCCTTCGGGTGAGATGTTCAATATAAAACGTATAGCCTTCACTCAAGACGTTTCACGCGGATCAACATGATTAGAATTGTGCTATGCTATTAAGTTGCATTACCTGCAAAACCAAATATTGAATTTACTTTCATTTCACTCGTGCACAAGAAGTTGCGAGAGAATATGCTTGTCCCTTTTTTTTTTGCGAAAATTGCGCCCATAGTATACAAATATTGAATGCTTCGAGTGGTGTAGTAAAACTAGCTTCCCGAGGTGATCCATGGACCATTCTATTTTCCCGAGGCGAAGCCGAGGGAAAATAGAATGGTCCATGGATCACCGAGGGAGGCTAGTTTTACTTCACCACGAGATAAAGCATTCAATATTTGTTTTATAACACTTCACCCACAGATTCTGCTTGATTTTAATATTTTACATTATTTAAATCTGAACACAGTTGAAATAAACTTCAATTTCAATACAAAATTGGTGGAAAATGTATTTCTCTCTTAAAAACTAACCCTTCACGAAATGTTTGAACCCAAGTCTGCGGCGCGCTCTCTTTGGAATAATACGCGCTACGCACATACGCACAACGCGCACACCAGCATGCATTTGCACACAAATACCACGCCGTGGAAATAGTACTTTGGTTGCTAATAGTATAGTACTTTGGGCCTTGCACAGAAAGATAGCAAAATTAGAAAGTAACATGTGACTCGCTCTCGGCCAATCAAGACACAGAATCTGTGGGTGAGGTGTTATAATTTCGGCTGTATCCAGCATGTAATATCTGGAACGTCACGAATCGTGTTATAGACAGTAGTTCTAGTCTTCTAGACAAAACTCGGATTGCACGCAATCTTAATTAAATTTCTGGCGAAAAGACACGAACCCATTTAGAAGGAAATTTAACCAATTTACGTCTATAAGCCAAGGATCCTGTGAGAGAAGGCAATGTCAATTAGTTTTCGATGTGAGAGTCATTTTTCCGGGAAAAAAAAATAGAACCGTGATAATCAAACTCATGTTGCACTCTGGGGGATAATGAACTATGTGCAGAAGTTAGAGGTGGTCACCAGACTTCCCGGCACCAGTCTGAAGTGCAAAGACTTTAAGCATGCAAAACACTTGCGGCGTGATGTCTGACTGGGTAATTGCAACTTCCTCTGATATCAGTGATGCGATATTTTTTTTCTAAGTTTGTCATCATTGAGTTGATGTGACGGGATTTTGTTAACAGTTGCCAAAAGTTATACACTACCTCGGCCGCGTGAACTTTTAAACCCAACCCAGCGTTCAACATGCACAATCTATCAATTGAAAAAATATCATCCTGATTATCATGTATCTGTATATGGCCCTACTGTTTGTAGAGCGTGTTATTGTCCATATTCTCGTTATTTTCCGGATTCTACAAATCAATGCAGATACTTAACAGATAATTATATTTTAGGCTAAAAGAACTGAAATGCTGGAGTTTTCAAGCGGAGGAAAGTTTCGTGCGTGCGCGACATTCATGACTGTCTTGTTCTAATTTAGATTATGTTCCCCCACTTGTCACGATTTTCCTCGGCTAACAAAGCTGAGTGTGCCGAATCTAAATGGATGCTATAGGAAGTCCGAGTGTCCAAAATAGTTAAGCTGAACGTTGTTATTGCAGATTGGAAGTAGGACATTGAAACTAGAACATGAACAAAGCAATCAGATATGTAGGGGAATTTTTAGGAACTGCCGAAAGGACCCAAATACGTTTTGTTTGTGTGTGTGTGTGTGTGTGCATAAATACGTTAAAACGGTTATGAACAGCGCCTCCAGGCGTCAAACCATGTCCCCCCCCCCTTCGATTTTTCCGCAGCCGGCGACTTTTTCAACGCTTCTGATGAGGTCTTTGCCCCTCTCTACAAAAAAAAATCCCAGCAACGCCCATATTTTTTTTCCTTTTTAATAACTTTGTTTCTTTGTTTCAATTTATAAACATAACAGAGAAAGCAAAGGGCAAAGTGAAGATGATTTGGAAGAGGAATCTAGTGAGCGGATACTTCAAGTCAACGAGGGGCCGTCCCATACTCCGAGTCACCCGCCGACAACCTGCCCTTATAGTGCCGTGGATAAATTCCCACTGCCTGTATGATCAATGATGCTACACATCAAAACTGCTGAACTACATTTTTTTGACAATTTACAGTCAGTTAGTATACGATACGATTACAAGGTATCGATTCTTTTACAATTTTAGGTCCGAAACGCCTAGGTCCGTATGTCATATGAAACCAGTTTCGTTTTATAGCTCAGACATTTCTTTAAAATTTGTTTGAAAAGTACGGTTTTTGGTTAAGGTATAGGGCCATTAAAAAAAAACTTCGCAAAGATAATTTGTCCAGCTCCAGAGGATTATTTGAGCTGCTTTAAAAAAATGCAATTTAGTAAATGAACTTAATATTTCGAAAAAGAATTTAAAAAAGGGAAAAGATAGTTCAAACAAAAGCTAAGATACTCGAGATGGGTGCAGCAGGAATACAATATCAGGGAAACTGTCATTCTAAGAAGATGATAGGACTGCCGCTCTTAGATGTCGTATCATGTCTAATTGAAGAACTTCATTTTTATGATTTGGATAATGTAGACAAACAGCACCTTTATGAAACTGCAAATACAATCACTTTTTTATCAAATATTTAGACTTGATATTTTAATTTAAAAAAAAATCAAAAGCAAATCAAACGAACTTCATTCTGAAACAAATAGCCGTCGTGTAAGTAAACTTTTGTACATCCTATACTGCAACACAATCTAGATGTGTGACTGAAAACGGAAGACCTTTTTGTAATAAAGTTGTGACAGCGTTTCTTTTGTGTCATTAGTTCGGCATGCATATCACAAGGGTCACCTAATCTAAACCAATTCCAACGAAAATTCAACTTTACTCCGGAACGCAGACGATCGATATTGACAGCGGACCGCTGCGACGTTTGCACCTGTTGACTGAAAAAAGGCCGACGCTGATTGGTCAAAAGTTAAGCATGTCGCGGACGGGGTGGGGGAGGGGCTACAAAACAAACTGCGCAATGTGCATTGGTATCCCACAATCCTCCTTGTTTTGAAAAAAAGATACAGGACTCAAGATGATTTTTTTTAGCTTGTTGAAATATTTCCTTCGTCGAGGAAATACGGCATTCAGTGTACGCTCGAGCGCTTATTTCCGACCTTTTTTTTTTGGTGGGCAACTGCATGCCCTTGAGCCCCTTTCTCGGCAGCAAAGTTGACTGACCACCAGGACATTAAACTTGTATTAGCGTTGCAGCAGAGTTCCCTTCACCAAAGGATGTGATACCGCTACTTTTAAACGATTCCGAATGACATTGTGGTGACAGACAACACACAGGGGACTCAAACCCAACGGATAAAAGTCCACGAACATGGTGAGAGTTTTCCATTCACGCGTTTTTAAAATAATAATCAAGCGAAGCACAGGCGCTCGTAAAACCCGTGGAAAAAAAGACAACTATTTTATTCGATAGACCCTACATTTAATGCGAATTAGACCTCCAACATCAACGATTCGAGTCAATACTTGCAACCAGGACTTTGTTTTTTCCGGTATTTTTTTTTTTTTTTTTTAAGATTAAACACTTTCAGTAGCCTAATACGAAAATGAAAACGACACCAATAACCGCATCTCCTGTGTGCACAGTTGTTGATTAAACATTTCTTTTTGCTTTTAATTAACTCACCTTTAAAAGAAGCTTATAAATACTTTGAATCAAATATTTAGTTCACTGATCACCAGACATACACAATTTACATACAATTATTTCAAGACTTAACTCCCTAAGGCTAGGTGCTAACACTGAGTTTTTCTTAACTGGTAACGTGTAGGCCTACCACAACCTTAGAATGAGAAAAAAATCTAACTACTCTTAAAAAAACATTAATTTTTTAATCCAAACACAAAACCCGATGCAATATTTTCTAACTATGCACCGCATGAGTACAGTTTGTATCTTTTAATTGTGTATAATAGCTTTTTGCTGAACAAGGATCAATATGTAAACAACTTGACTATTGTGTTAAAAATTATTGCCATAATAAAAATCCAAAGTCGTTTTCTCTTTTAGCTTAATATCAGTGGCATGGTGATTCGCCACTAGACCCGCAGTTTTAAGATCACTTCTTATCTAACTGTTCCTGTCATACTAAAATTGAAATATAAAATAATGTATTTCACACTTAAATCACACAAATTGCTTCATGTACATGTACATACCAATAAGCCACTTGCGTGTAACCTATACCCTTTGGGATTTACATTTGAAAAACGTCTGGTACAATGACTTGCTCAGAATGCTTGGCACATTTTAACTGTGAATTCTCCAGACCAAAGACACTGTTGCTAATCACATGATTCGGGGCAAGCTCTTGCATAGTTACGTAAGAGACGCTCAGCACCAATACATCGTTCACAATGGGTGAGAATGGCACACAGACACCAGACCATGCCGGAGCTGGGGGTTGCTGGCATAAGGCTTGCCCCGAATCACGTGATATAGTAACAGTCTCTTTGGTCGGGAGAATGCTAGGTTAAAACGTGCAAAGCATTGTATTAAGTCAGCGTTCCAGATTTTATTCAAATTTAACACGCAAGTGGCTTATTGAAATAATCCTTTACACACTACACATTTAGATACACAATGAAAATGCTATGAGAGCGAAAATTCGAAAGTGCAGTTACAGAAACAGGTGTATAAGTGTTATGAGGTACATGTATATAGAGAGGTGCAAGATTGGTCATTCATTACATTTTTTTCTTTTCAAAGCGAACACTGTGACAGATCAACATAAAAAAAACCGTGTACCAAACCATAAACAGAGTTGAATATGACATGTTAATTAACATATAACCCTATAACCTTAATTTAATTTGCTAGAAACTAGTGTCGAGGAATCTGCCAAAAAAATATAATGCCGTGGAAGCAAATGACAACTTCCTTTAATGAAAAAAAGGGACATGAAGACCAGAATATCCATGAAAATACTGCAAAACCTGGTTTGCAAAATGACCTCATTCATAAGATAATGAACTCAGGAATAATGACAATAAAGCCGTGCGAGGTCCAAATTCGCGCTAAACATGGCCATTCCAAAAAGGGATTAATAAAAGACTGCTGTGCCGATCCTAATGACTACTTAACTGAATAAAAACAACTTTTTCTTTCATTCTTTGATGACTCCCAGGCCTTTCTTTTCTGGCTAGGAACCTTCCAAAAGTCTCAAAAATCAACCACTGTACCCTACATGAACCCAGTGTCACATGTTCTCAAACTTGAACCAATTCAGCATCTAGCCCCATGTAAAGAAGCAGTGGCTGGGCTCTACTTTCCTCAATCTCGCAAAATCCTTTACAAAAACCTCCTGTTGGAATTGAATAGAGTATAATAAAGATGATAAAGTTATCTGCAAGTTTTATCAGAAAAGTAGCTGGAAAATGTACATAGATGTAAGACGGACTTAGTACATGTATCAGACGAATGATCTACCCTTAAAGAATTTCATAAAAAAAATATAAAGTTGAACAAAGATACTGAATGGCGAGGGGTCTGAACCTGCAACCTCCGGATTACAGTTTCGGTGCTCTATACCAGCAGGGCTATCTAGTACTACATGTTAGAGGTTCCCCAATTTGTCAATATCTCTGTTCAACAACACTAGGCAGAATACATGAAAAAATTCAATAGTTTTTGTAAGTGTACAAACCGTCATAAATCTATTAATGCTAAAGGAATCAGCCAAGGGCCAATGCAATTTAAAAAATAACAAACATATTATTGACATTCATCAATGTACAGTAACATTTTTTAATATGTATCGCTGTAGGAAATCTAATCTATTACTGAAAGTTTTTTTTTTTTTGCTAAGATACATGTACGTTGTTCATGATCAACGTTTTGTGCAGCTACCTGTGCAAAGTTCTACAAATCTTCTAGTAAAGACTGTTATGTACAGAGTGCAAAGTAAGAGTGTGTTTTCAACAGCGATATCTAGAATGCAAAGATTTTAAGAGTCATTTTTATCTTGCAAATTTCTGATTAGTTCTTGTCAATGTACAAGCACCTTATAATTTCATTCTTTCATGATATTTGTCTGGTCTACAAATCAGGGTCTATTATTATCATCGGATCAGGGTCACTTTTATGGAGGCGCAAAGCTTCAACATTTAGCTAAGCACAGAACGTATTTGCTTAGCAGTTACTGGTTACCAGCTAAAAATGTCAATGATGTTTACTGCTTGTGACTGGTACTCGGCAGAGTTTTGCTTATCACACAAAGTTTGCCAAGCAATATTTGTCTGCTTAACAGCTCAGTGAAATAGTGCCCTGGTCTATAATTAATTACATGGTATCCCCTAGCCTAATATGATCTAATTTAGTAAACTACATCATGTTGGCTACATCTTCCACAGGGCATGGCGAAACTTGTCACACAGCAGACACACCTTATTGCCAATTAGAAACCGAATCCATTCGGACACCGGTTACATGAGAATGTCCTTAATTGGAAACCTAAATGAGATGTTAATGAACATTGGGAACATTGAGTTTGTCTTTAGATTGTAGTTCAAGCTAAGGAAGGATGGGGAAAGGAGGTGTGGCCATTTAGAGACATTTGCAGTGAAGGGAGATACAATACATTTAGTGTGGTCCTCATATTCCAGGACACGTTGGAGAATGATTCGGAATTTGGGGATTAAAAAAAAATCATAGATTTGTTAAATAAAGGTGGTTGGCGTATGTACATGTGACCGGTGGGAGAACAGTTTCCTGCACATTAGGTTAACACAGGAAATTGGTTCTTTAAGGAGTTATCGTGTTCCTTCAACTAGTCTAGTATTAAAGAGATTTTTAGCATATGTGATGCGATCAAGCTAAATGAGTCGTTTGTCGACCCTGGTCATTTTTTTAACAGTTTTGAAAAGAGCACAATCTCAGCATTACTGATGTGAAAACCGCATGCTGATGCCATCTTTAGTTAAAAAATGATGGAGGTCTGAACACCAAGAGATGTGATGAAGTGATGTGATGAAGTGGCCCTACTTTGGCCTGAATCTCCAAACATGCCAAATGAAAATTCCCGACAAACGACTCATTTAGCTTGATCGCATCACATATAGCAGCTTTTAGTACAGTAAATGTCGCTGGAGATGGCTAAATGCCAGACACTCTTGTATCACTAAAGGTCTGGTTCCTTGACTCGTACAGAATGTTGTTTAACATAGCAAATGCTTCACATGAACACGCAACTACTCACAATCTCTCACGTGTACTATTTTACACCGTTCAAAATTCTTAAGTCTCACTAATATTAAACACACCTTTTGAATAAAAAAAAATATTATTACTAGTCCCGTCACCACAAACGACAGAAATAGAAAAATTCCTAGCCTATTGTTCAATGTACAAGCTTCACACAATGATGCAATAGAGAAATGTATGGAATAACAACGTATAGTAAAAAAAAGAACAAAATGTGCATATATATATCATCATATGTTATACAACCCTCTACTGCAATTAAATTATGCATACAACACGTCATTTGTTTCAGTGTGCAGAAGTCACGGTTCACTATCTTTGCATGTAAATGGATATTTGTTCGACTCCTGAATTGTGACCTTTGCCATATTTCCGGATGGTGGATTATATGGATATCGTGCGATAAATTTAAAATACATGTAGGCAACAGCTCTGCCATGTGCTCCAATGGAATATTTATAAAAAAAAAACCTGAATCTCGACATGTTATGTGTTAATACTGATAATGAGCGATAACCTGTTACATATAATATGGAACCTCAATATTGAGTTTTGCCCCTATAACATGTATAAAATACATTGGGAAGGGGCAAAGCTTAACATCGGATGACCTTTTAATCGTTTGCACGTCTCATTAATTTTCAGATTATTGCATTTTCACATGTAAGAATTGACCATTTTCAAAAAGTGTTCATAAATACAGCATACATGTACATGTATGTTCCTTTTTCCAACATTCGTTTTTTCCCTTTTAAACATGACTGATCCACAAATGAAAGGCAAATGATTTGGTTCGTGGGAATAAAATCTTCTTTCGAAAATATTCTAGAGAGAGTTGCAAGTATAAGTACCAAATGTGGCCTTCAGGACAAGATTTCATTCAAATTTTCGAATTTATGTTGCAAAAAAGCACAGGGGTTGCAATTTGGTGTTTTATAGTGAGTATTTTTTTTTAGTCTTTTCAGTTTTGAGGATGACAATACATGAACAATCTCCGTAACCACAGATAAAAGCTCTACTGTAAATCTGATTATCTTACTTTTGGGGACAATTGTTGATGTGGGTAAGCAATTACATCATGATCATTGAGATATCTAGAATAATACGAAAACTGTGTTAAATTTAACAGGTTTTTTTTCTTCACATTTTGGTAAGGTTTACAGAGAAAATTTCTGGTGATATTAACCCCCTATATGGAACTAAACCCGCCGCTAGAATTTCAAGGGGTGATTTATTGGTTGGTATTATGATACTGGTTTACCAAAGTCTGCTTTATTGAGGATGTATCTGCTGTGCGCAAGTCTGCTTCGTTGACCACGCCCTTTTGATGAGTCAGGGTTTGCTACTCCTCATGCGCATGTCTCCTTCGCCATCAAGACTTATCTTCTCCTTCTCTTTGATCCTGAAAAATTACACAAAATGTCCCATAAATACTACAAATAGGCCAAAGGAAAAATTGTGTGTTTAAAACTACAGTCCATCATTTGCACCTTATCCAAAAAGTAACTGGTGAAATTACTGTTGAAAAGCATACTTGGCTTAAAGATTGTAAAGGGATAAACTCCCTGTGAAATTATTCTTTCTGGCAAGCTGTTGTTTTGGAGAAAACAATGAAAGAAGGCCATTTCCAACGATGCGTCTAAAGACACATTCTTGGAAATTTCCGTTAGTAGTTTGTTTTTTATTTTTGCAAAGCCCGCGCAAGCATTGACACGATGCACTTGCGCGGTTGCTATAATTCATCAGTTAAGTGCGCGACATCGCGTGGCTGCAATTGGCTGAATGACAATGTGTCCCGGACGCTGAATTCGGGCACAATTCAAAACATGACTCTGCAACTTTTGATTTGAAATTGAGATCCTAGAATATTGGTGTTTTTTTTGTGATATACAGCATTCACTGAGCAAACACCTTATCAGGTTTAAGCACCTGTCTTTAGATTTAAAGTACTTTTGTTGCTTCAAACGAACATAATGCACAAATTACAAATGATGTACTCTATCTTTAAGGTATTGTACTTAGAATTATCCAGGTAGGTAGGATGGTAAATATTTGTATTATGTTACTTTTTTATGTTTGTATATTGGTCTTTTATATTCACTTTAGGACACCTTTAACAAATTTTTAATTAACCGTTTAATTCTTTAATTTACCAATAACACAAAACCTGCATAGGCATTTCAATTTGTGCTCAAATGTGGCAATAACAAGTTTGAGGTCGGCAATTTGGTACTGTAGGTTGGATGGGTTGAGTTATCATATGCATAAATTGTGGCCTTATGCCTTAAAAAAACAAAAGATAAACAGGAACAGTATCACTCACGAAAAAAAACCCACAAATACCGCAGGGTTATATATAACAGGCATGCAACTGGGAAATCACAAAAAAAAGAGGAAATTCAAATTTTTCCCAGACTTTGTACAGTGTTTTTCTATTTTCAATGGCACACATGGGAAGTAAAAAAAGAGGAAATCAGCTGATCCGAGGAAAAGTTGCATGCCTGATATAAATGCGAATGAGGCATTACCAGAATTAACACAAATACACAGAATACTGATATGGTTCCCAAATATCTAAAAGACTTTACTCAATTATCAAAAAGTTGGTAACCCGAATATTTTTTCCCCTTTGAAATGCGAGTCCTGATTTAGAAATTGTAACAAAGTGTGGTATGCACAGCTTCATGTTTTAACAAGGGAAAGGAAATCCTTTACCTTTTTGTAGAATAAAACTTTGAAACAAAATTTAGGGGATTTGCATTCAACAGAATTGCAACTGAGAATTTAGAAAAAAAATGAGGAAACTCCGAACCACACAAGACTTTGTACAGTATTTTTCAATTTGTAATGGCATTCATGAGAAGTCAAAAACGAGGAAATCAGCGGATCTGAGGAAAAGTTGCATGCTTGATTCAAATGCTGAAGAAGAGTGAATAATATTTTGTTATTCACAGAATTTTTGACATTTCATCTGAATTTTGGTGTTAACAAAATGATCCCGACCAAAGAAAAAAGAGGACAAAAATAAGCATTGCGTTGAGTTCAGTGTTTGAGTGTTTCAAATAAGCTATGATGCAGTGTTCCGACACAAACCCATGTATGTCAGACGAAGTCACTATCAAAATATCCCCTACCACACAGAAATATACCAGCAACACCTACATGTACCAATAGAAATACTATCCCTTTGAAATCAAATATATCTTTCCCATTTTTAATGTATGAATAAATATCAATGTGTTATTAATGTAAATTGTATTCACAACTCTGCCACTGGCGGTGAAGAGTGCAATTAAAATAAACAATTTATAATATTAACATCTGTGTCTATGATCACCATCAGGATATTATTACAATGAACAGATGGAATATTCTGTGCTGGTCAGACGTAAGGCTTTACCTTACGAACGTTGTATTGATGCTAAAGTGTTTCAAACAGCTGGATCCATCGGATCATTAGGCATGACCTTTTGTCGTACAGGAAACAACAAACAAACACCCGGGAACATGTAATTTAACACTTGAACTGTTTTTTAACTTGTAAACAGGAAGTTAACAGCTCATTTCCTCCGGATTAAATAACGGGTTGTTGGAATAGGAGTCAGTGACGTCAACGGCAAATACCATGAAAAGTCATTCAAGTTATGATTTAAAATGAACATAAATTATATTCAAACTGTTCATATTGTCAAATTTGTATTAAACATACTATCGTAAAGTACCGGTATCTCCCACTTGGGCGACATTTCAGCATCAAAGTTATACCTTTGGGAGACGTGGAATTACGGAGACATTTCAATGTCTTCCTAATGCCTCAGCTCCTGTTAAGAGGCAAATTTTATTGTCGCAAATACGTAGGCTAGATCGATTGCTCGAGGTCCAATTAGTAAAATTACCAAACATTTGTGGGGGTAAGATAAGGTAAAATCTACTGTTAAACAGCTCTATGAAATTGAGTCGAGGCTCAAACCCCTAACTTTTTGTCATGGGGCTTTCCGGAAGGGGTAAAAATACAAGATGCAAAAGGGGTAAGTTATTGTGTCATAAAGCGTCAGACGATGAAATTAGGGTCAGACATCTGACATTTGTTTTGAACTATACTTGTCCAAACAAATGTCACATGAACGATTGTGAGGCAAAACGAAACAGACCTGGGCGGAGGCCAAAGTGAGAATTTGTGGGTATTAGCAAAGGTACTGTTTGTTGCACTTCAATCGGACATTCCCTTGACAAGTTATGGCTGTTAAAAGTTAGCATTCATCAACATGTCAAAAAAGTGAACAACTGAGAAAAAGGCCTTTAATTAACCTTGAAGTTTTGTAGTCATGAAAATGACAGATTCCAGGTGTTTTACCTTCACTGCACTTTTATTCCAAAAGTTTCATATTATTTCTGTAAAATATGTGCAGAAGTGATCAAAAAATGACAAATACCACCAATAAAAATGAAAATCAAAAAAATCACCCCCATTCGTTTTGTCTTCATTTTTCTCCACTACGGCCTCAGCCCAGTTCTGCCTCATTTTACCAGAACGCCTCACAATTATCAAATGGAAGTGTTCAAACAAATTGTTTTGTACATGTAACAGCTCATACTTCACAGTCCTAATTCATTCTTTGCCAAGCATTAAATGTGTCACTTGCACCCCTTGAAGCATGATTTATAAATATATGTACAGTCGACTCTCGTTCGTACAAACACTGTTAATACAAATTCTGGTTATAGCAAACACAAAGCCTTGGTCCCAACTGTGCATTTGTGTGCACATTGAATGGGACTGATGTTCCTCTCAATACAAAATTCTGATATAACAAACAATTTGGCTAGGTACGGCCGAGTTTGTACTAACGTGAGTCAACTGTATTCCAAGTAACTGAGTGTCAATAAGTCGAGCAGTCAGTGAGTCAGGCGCTTTGGGTCCAGTACAATCAATCCCAAACTGACTGGTTAGAAAAATGAAAACTTACGGTTCAGCAGCTTCGTCCTCTTCATCTTCTTCACCGATGTCGTCTCCTTGAGTGCACTTCTCATGGATGAAGATGATGATAATGAGAAGGATGACTTCACTCATTATACCAATGAAGGGCCACAGGGCAGCTAGACGATCTGGAAAATAAAAACGACAAGTCTACTGAAGCTGGTCCCAGAGTGCACACATTTTGTGTTCATTGATTAAAGGGAATGTTCAACATTTGCTTTGGCTGCAATTTTCAGAAATAAATGGATTTGGAGGATAAGTATGTTAAAGCAAATATTGTTAAAATGACTTGTTTCACGTTTTGGGCTTGTAGGTGCTGGAAAAACCAAGAAAACCAATCGTGTTCTTGCAGTCTGGTTCCCCGACCCCACATATGAAACGGAGCAATTTATAGACTTTTGAGGAATTGTAAGGTCAGAGAATCAGTCTAGCAGACTTGTACACCTGCACAGGTGTGTAATCAATTGCAAAGAAAATGCGAAATAACTAATTATGAACAATTCGGAGCAGTTTTTGAAAAATCGCCAGTTCAAGAAAAAAATTTCCAACGCTGGTCAGCCGACCAGCGTTGGAAAAATACCATTTTTCTTGAACATGTCAGCACACCAGGAGCCATGATTTTACAGGATGCTTTAGACTGTCATTCACTAACAATCCAGCAAGGTATTTCGTGATAATTTTATCATTTCATTTGTGATGTTTGCAAATGTTGTATCTTCCCTTTAAAATGGCTATTCACTGGAGGTCGTTTTAAGAAAGACCTTTTAAAAACAACTTAAAACCTATCCGAGTTTAAGGCTCAAATGAAGCTCATATGCCTTGTAATTTTAAAGCTAACCCCCTTGAGTGATTTACTAGGACCTTTTCTCACTCTTGCAAAATCCAACACAATATGGTAACTCAACACCCAAACTGTTGGACTGATTATGGTGGTACACCTGACCCCATGTAAAGCATGATCAGCTTAGTGCAGTTCTCACTCCAACAGATTCCAACAAAACATGCAGTTGGATTTTGAAGGGTTGGGGTGGTTAGGGTTGAGACGATAAATTTTAAGAAAAGTTTCCAGTATATTTATTAGATCCTCGTAACCACAGAAACAACACTCTTACGTACCTCTCACCCTCAACTGTATGGTATGCTGGACTGTTGTCACACTGCTCACTGCTGTGCATGTGTAGTTGCCAGTGTCGTTAAAGACCACGTTGGTCATATGGAGCACGGAGCCGATATCCCACTTGGATTTCCTGATCTCAAAGCGGCCCCCTTCCTCAACGTCGCTGACGACAGGCACATTGTCGATCTTCCAAGAGAACTCGGGGTTTGGATCCTCCTTGTCAAGAATGGCAATGCACTCAAAGCGAGCACGTTCACCTTCAGTGAACTTGATGGAGTTAGGAGCCTTCAGTCTCAATACACCTGTCAGGAAAATAGTAATGAAATGCCACCGTCAATCAAATGGTTACTTTACATTACATTGTCATTACAAATTGTCTATATCACAATGAGCTGCATGTAAGTCATTTTAGTGCACCATGAAGTGATTAATATTATTTTTTGCTGCACCACCGAGTGATGCATCATGTCACTTTGTGGTGCGGCAACTATCCATGATATTTAACTTTGCGGAGCCATCGACAAAGTATACAAATTAATCACCTTGCAAGAGAAATCATAGAACCTTCTATTCAACAAACACAAATTGGCAGAAACAGGCAACCATGACCACGCAAATTACAATATACCATCAAACAAATTCAAAAAAACAACTGATGATCTAGTTCAAAGAACTGCAATCAAGTGCAATGATTTGTGAAAATAAACCAGAATGAAAATCCTGCTGTTTTCACAACAGTAACCTTGTGTTTTTTCCAAACATATTTTAAAATAAAAACAATTATAACATGTCCTCACTTCATTAAAATTAAAAGAATGGTTGCTATAACATAAGGTCAAACAGAAATGTTTACTTGATTTAAACCATTCAACGTACAAGTACAAGTTTTCACTTACCCCCAACAGTAATATTACCGGAAACCTCTTTGCCTTCATAGAAAGCAGAGCAATAATAAGGACCGCGATCTTTTTTTACGTTAGCCGCCTTGATGGTCATGGTAGAACCCTAAATCAGAAAGATAAGAGTGACAAGAGTGCATAAAGTGTTATTAAGTCAATTCAGAATGTCTGTATCGTATCACAAATGTTTGGTTCGTGAATAACAAACACAGAAAATCCTGTAATTCGGAGATGAAACTGGCATATGGGGAAAAGAAAATCGGAAAATAGACCGAACTGAAATACGTGTCCAAAATCTGGGCCGCCCTGCGGTATGTACATGTACCGTATGTACAATACACTTTATGCTCAATTTCCAGACAGGCCTCTTTTTTTTTCTTTTTTTCTTTTATAAATCCAAACGAAATTACACTTTAAATAATATCAAATATTGTGAACAATCACATATTCGTTGGAAAAGTCAAAAAGACGAATTTCCAATTAGAATCGGAAAAGTTTCATCTCTGATAATTGTAGGGGACTTATATCGCTCAAAACCATAGCGCTCCTTATCATTCGGCTGATTTTAATTTCAAAAAATGAAATACATGTAAGTACGTAGGAAAAACTACAATGACCCTCATTAAATTTTCTGATTAAATATTAATTCTCTATACTAATACAATTTCATTACATGGCAATTATTTTTGTTTCTGGCATTTACGGTTGTTTTTAATTGTCTCGCATCTCTGTCCATCTGTGTATAGACCTTTTTCATGCTGCCAACATTTCAGTCATGTTCCCTGCATCCAATAACAGTACTGAATGATAATGCTTTTTGTGCAAAAAGGAACCAGACTGTTTTCCTTTCAGCCTCGCTTCGTTTACATTGATTTGAATTGGAAAAAATCATGATGACCGCAACATGATAATGGTCTGTCTGTTGGTTGTTCTCTACGAGCATTGCATATTAAAAAAAAACATACTTTGCTTGTGTTTCCAATATTTTTTGCCTTTTGTGCTGCTGTATTTTTCATAGAAGTGTGGAATTACATATTACATATTGAATTGAATTTCATTTTACATAACCTCCAAACAGTGGAAGACACCAACCTCAATTTCAATCTGAGGCAGAGTTTTGGAAGGGAGCTCGGTGGTTCCCTTCTTCCAGGTGACGTTATATGAAGGGTCTCCCTTCACTAAGCAAGTGAACTTCTTATCGGTCTCTCCGTCGATCACACGACTGCCGTTGATTTCCACAACACCCTCTTTAGATACGAAACAAATACAAATATTGGTGTATAGTCCAACGTCAATTCAGTATTGTGTTTTTGTCCTCACCTACTTATACTCAGTGTTGTTAAAGTAATTGCAAGAAAAAATTCACTCGGGTGGGACTCGAACCCACGACCTCCTGCTTACTAGGGCAGACGCCTTACCACTCGATTAGCGAGCTTGCCGGGGTCGGTTGGCTGGTACGAATCTGATTTTGGTTTCTTCAAATTTTGTAGTTATGTTTTTTAAATTTTATTCACAAACATGTATGATTTGAAATGCAAGTCTTAAATACTTGTAAGTTTGCAAAAAAAACTTCTTTTTCACAAGTATCTCCACATGTCCAGTTGTCCTCCAAAGTTAGTACACATGCATACTGTGTTCATGTACATAATGTGCTTTTAGTCACATGACAGTGCTATTAAGTCTCACCATAAGTCACTTCCAAGATACCAGTTGACCGGCCAGTTCCATAGTCGCATTGATAGTGTCCTTCAGAGGCCACCTTTATGTCCAAGATCCTCAGTATATTGTGGATGGTGTCGTTCTCACTTGGTACAGTGGCTACCTCAAACCCGGGGGTATTTGCATTGATTTCAAACAATTCATTGCCCGCGGCATCGTCTTTCTTCCAGGAGATTTCACTGCCTTCTTCAACGGTTGCCATACAGTGGAATTCCACATCGGTGCCTACAATGCCTAGGATCTGAGACGGTGCAACCGACGGTGCTACAAAACAATACAAACAAAAGTATTACATTTTAGAGATTTCTCTCAACATACATGTTGTAAATATGTCAATTAAATTTCATTTCATTGGTTTTACTGGTAAAATAGAAAAAGAAAACACCAAAACAATCATTTGAAAAAGACGGATGGACAGTTTTATGTGTCACCTTGCATGTCTCTTAGGACTTTTTTGTAAGTTTGATTCCATCAGTGTCAATGAAAGTACAAATATTTACTCATGCGCATTGCAAAGAGACAAAGCACTGTTCCCAGTCAGGGCACTCAAGATAAATTGTAAGCCCGCCCCATTCTCCGCCCCCCCCCCCCCCCCCCCCCGCCCCCCCATTTCCAAAGAAAATCCACTTTAAGACAAAAGTTAAAAGATAAACTTCTAGTTAAGAGGTTAGAGATGAGAAAGTCATGCACAGAAGAGAAGTCACATACCAGTACGCGTTCATCTAAATCTAAACATGGAAACAAACAAAAACAGAGCCAAATTCTTCAACTTTAAGTTTTGTACCTTTTTTGGCCTTTCCCATAACCAAACAGGTCCAAATAAAGCTGCTTCTTTTCATTCCCAACATAAAAGTGCTCCCCCCCCCCCCCAAAAAAAAGTTATTAAAATCACTCATAAAATTGTGTATAACAAACAAACTGAAAAGAAACATGTTGGGTATACGGCAATACACAACATTTTTATTAGAAAGACACAAAAAAAGACACACTTTTCAAAATTAGTTATCTGAAAACTATTTTCTGAATAGAAAAAATAACAAATTGAAATTGTACAACTGGGATGCATACATGTACACCAATACTATGGCATCTATCTTACCATCTATATCATCAGGAGGTTCTAAATTAGCAAGAGATAGAAATGAAAGATATGAGCAAGACATCCAATGAATGGATACAATTACATTCATGAAATGCACAGACCACCAACTGCAGAAATGATGAGCTTTTAAACATGTACTTTAATACCCACAACACTTAAGGTATTATCGCTCGGAAAATTCCTAAATGGGCAATGTCACACTAATGTGCCCAAAAGTGTGACATTTGAGAAGACCTAAAGTTTTTTTATGATAAAACTACGATCTTGGTCTCTCAATTTTTGCTGTAAACATTGCAAGCTTCGAACAGATATCCTCACCTGCAAATGATATAACTGGTTTTGTATTTTACAAAAAAAAGTGGATATTGTTTAAAAGTGTTGCGTATGGAACGAAGGACAGACATTATAGATAAAGTCACAAAGTAAGCAAAAAATTTAATGATTCCCTAATGTTGACTTATTTAAAAAGATGTACCCTGGAGGAATGCTATCAGTCAAAACCTAGAAAACTCAGAGTCAATGTGAAGAATAATTTGATTTTTTATAATCAGGATTTATACGTACGAAAAGACTGGACATTTGTCACAAATTGTCTGTCCCTGTTCGTACGTAACCCTAATCAGTAATCGCATCATACATTTGAAGCGGGTGTGAAAACTCTTATATTTTCGCTTGATAACAATGTAAAATGGCTTAATATACAATGTCACTGGAAGTGCCTATAAGAAACTGAATTTGTCCTAGGCACCCTTTTCCTTGCAGTGTGTATTTGGTGGCCCACCTTGATATCAACAAGGACAGACAGGACAAAAACATGAAAAGGCCTTGAATTCCCCCTTTGTGTTGTGCCTTTTCGGTGCATTCTTCGTACTTAAACCCTTTCACTTTGTGACGACCAAAACATTTGCTGCCCCGTCCGGTCCCCGGCCTTAAAAGTTAATGCATGGCCCGGCAGCATGCGCCGGGGAATGACAACATTTTCCCGCTACACGTGACGTGAGAGAGTATGCAACCCACCGTGTGTTGTCTGACTGGAGCGTTACAAATCTTGCTTTTGTGGAAACAGTTGCTGATTTGTTTTGCCCTAAGACTATTAAACAGGTCCCGTTTTACCTCAAAACTTATCAAATTTGTGTGATTACTAGCGAGTAGTTACGTTGAAAGTTCAAGTTTCGATCGTAACTTTCTTCGAAAAATCAAAACCAAAGATCTTGTCCTGTAGCGCCGTAGGAAACGATGCTGACATTTTCATGGGCGAATCCACTAATTTTGCAAGGGGTGATTCAGTCCCCTTTTTTAGTTTTACATCGTTTCTTGAATACATTTCAAGAAAAAATATATATATATATTGAGACGTTGAACAACTTATTATCTAATAAAGAAATATTTCGAACACCATAACAAGTATTAGTCGTCATTTTTCTTTTTTGAATCAGCGGAAATATTGGTAATTATTGTTCCCAAGAAAGAACACCACCCCTTCATTACCACAAATGGTGTGGTCCGCTGGGGAATTAAGCATGCTGCATGGCAGCAGCTGCACTAGTATCACGATGGAGGAATCCTCCATGGTATCACGTACGGCTGGTCGCAAGCGTCTAAGACAGCTTTCACCGTACTTTTTACCACTCGGTTTTGGTTTCGGTTTGTTAATAACTTTATTAATTGATAATTCATTTCAGCAACACATCTCTTCTTGTACCAGTACATTAAATACACATGTGAATCTTATTTTTATTCTTCAAGGCTCGGCGTATAAGCCGCCCTGCGTATAAGCCGCAGTAACCATTTTCATGGGCAAAATGAACTATAAGCCGCGGCTTATATTCCGAAAATTACGGTACATGAAATGCATGCACCACCTGAAGAAAACGGACATGACGGAGAGTCCGCATGAACTTTTCACGTGTGTGCGCTCGGAAAAGTGAGACTTCAACTCTTCGCATTATTATTTTTACATTTCATGCTTCTCATGCATCGCAGTTGCTTGCAATTTTGTTTTGGTGCACTGCCGCTGTTATTTATTATATTATTATTAATAATATCGATATCAAACATTCGTACCGATATATCGTATCGTGAACAAATGTATCGCGATGCACCGATATATCGATGTATCGTTTCAGCTTTAGTCGAGAATGCAATGTGCAGGCTAGGGTAGTAGTGTTGAGAATCAGATAATACCGGTACATCACGGGGAGTTGATTTGCATAATATGCGGCACAATGCTTTAGACATTGTAGGGGCCTCTGTGAATGTACAGTGATAGTAATCCAATGAAAACATAGTCATTCACATACCAGTTTTCATGGGTTGCTACATGTTACCATTCAACACTTCAGACTCAAGAACCATGGAGTTTAAAGGGAATATACAACATTTGCAAACATCGAAAAAAAAAACTACCAAGTTTTTGCGAAATACCTTAATAGGATGTTGGTAAATGACAGCCTGAAGCATCCTGTAAAATTATGGCACCTGGTATACTGTCATTTTCAAGAAAAGTGGTATTTTTGTATCAATTTCCAACGCTGATCGGCCGATCAGCGTTGGAAACAACTGGCTTTTTTTCAAATACTGGCCCCAATTGACCATTGCACTTGTTTGCAATCGATTACAAACCTATGAACAAGTACGAGCCAGCTAGACTGGTTCCCTGACCTTACAATTCCCCAATGTATGTAAACTGCTCTGTTTCTTCTTATATGGAGTCAGGGAACCAGACTACAGGAAAATGATCGTTTTTCTTGGTTTTTATAGCATTTTCGAACCCAAAACCTCCAAAAAGTCAGTGCAACTATATTTGCTTTATATTTCCAACCCCCCAATTCCATCCATTTCTGAAAATTACAGCAAAAGCAAATGATGTATATTCCCTTTAATAAGTCTGGAAGCTAGATGTACATGTGTAAAGCCAATGTAGTCTGCGCCCACCAATAATCTATTGGATTCAACATGTGAAATGTCCTTGAAACAGGGCACTTAACAATGGTCCACTGGCCGAGTACACAGATAGCCCATTTATAACCAACTTGTACCATAAACCTGAACAGCACATGCCCTCAGCGATAGAGAAAAAGTAAGCTTTTGTCCTCCAAGAGTGATTATGAATACCAACTACCGGTACCTATCCAACAAAATTAAAATCGAATGAAAAATTTCAAAATTCCAAGGTAACAGGGAACAAAACACTCACACTTCGGACCCTTAATTAATAGAATGACCCAAATGTACAGGATGCAACATGCCGTTCAAACCCATAACCTACATGTACTGTACTAGTACTTCCTAGGTTTATAAAATACACCGTGCAAGGTGTTTGATGACACCATGTACATAAACAACTACATGAGCGTTTACAATAAAATTGCAACAAGTGTGAAAAATGTCATTACATTTTAAAGGCACCACAATGGTAGCCCTGTGTGTCCAAACAGTAGAACATGTTCATTCATGCAGTGGCGTAGCGAGGGTGGGGTCCACGACCAAAATATAGGGGGGGGGGCGGGCTAAAGGGAGGAGGGGTGTAGCCGCACACCTGCTCAATGCCCTGAACGCTGTATCTGCAAACAGGTGCGCTGTATGTGGACATGGTTTGAACCATCAGTCTCAGACCATTCTCAAACTTAACATTTAACACCCACTCCATGAAATATTTCTCACTACGCCAAATGCATACAGGTACATGTACCATAGTACATGTACATGACACACGTACACTTGTTTATGTTTAATGCCACCTTAATACTTTTGTGTGCATTTCTGTACATGTTTCCAACATGCATTTGTGCTTGTGCATACCCCGTGACCGTGTAGGAGACCTGTTCCCATAAACGCAGAAATACAAATACACAGGTACGTGTTGTTTATGTAAGGAATTACTGACCTCAATTACATGTTGACTGATGTAATGCAAGGCGCCATCTTGTTGGGACAATGCCTTGCCACAGGTACATGTACTACATGTAGTATAGCAGCCACCATTTTGGGGTTTTTGCAAATTTAATGCTGCATTCAAATTAACCTTTCATAATATTACACAGGTTGTTTTGGCATGTTTTTGTCATGATACATCACTTAGACTAGTTTTTGTGATTAGTTGCCAGACATTTTATGATGTATGCACTAAGCCAGAACAATCAATTTAATGAAAATCAAATATCTTTTATGGGAACATGTCTCATTTCCATTATGTAAATTATTTTAACTTACCAGTAGTATTTGGAGAGGGTGTACCTATGTATGGATGTAGATGAAAGCAATTGTATAAATTTACTAGCAAAATATGCATTTTGTCCACCAAAACTTGATTTTATGATTCTGATTTTTTTTTCATAATTGGTGCAACAAATGCTGACCTACTAAAAATTTTGATATCTATTAAAAAGTAAGTGGGCTACATGCATTTGTTACAAGAATGTATACAAAATTTATACAATTAACCCTAACTGCCTTGGCCTATTTGCTAGGATGTAGCTGAATCCTGCAAAATCCTCCTATTGGCCTCACGAAAAAATAGCATAGCCTCAATTCTGCAAATTTCTCCATTATTTCTTGAATATGATCTGTGGAGGGGTGACTGACCACTGCCTGAATCCTGCAAAATCCGGCAGCAGTGGCTGTCAATATGTTGAGGCTTGGCCACTGACATCCTGGAGCAGTACAGAGGATTTCAAGCATAATCCAGGCCTATATTTATGCATGGCTGAGCGAAAACAACACAAGGTCCGGCCCAAGACCTTCACAAAGTGCACCCTATGAAATCAGTAACGCACTTTTGCCATGTAACCTCAATCCTTCAAATTCCTCCACTTTGGCAGAGAATTTTGAAGGATTCAGGGCGGTTAGGTTTAAGTAACAAATGATCAATCCTGGATATTTCAAAGATCGAGCCACTGTACTTTTTAAACAGCATCTGCTCTGAATCAAAAGCATGAGTGGAAACCACCCCCCCCCCCCCAAAAAAAGGAAAGCATTATTATGTGTATTCAAGTTAAAAATATACAGAATCCACGCTTAAATTAATAAATAAATCATCAAAAAGGTATCAATATAAAGATTTTTACAAAAAAATTTAAAACCTATAGGCTGTATACAAAAATGCAGAATTTTTAAAGTTGGGAAAGAATGAAGCGTCTTCTAATGTGTCACTTTGTCCAACATCAACGTTCAACCAACTGAGCTACTTCAAAGTACTAAAAGCGCTCTGGTTGGAAGGGCAGTTATATTTGTGATATAAATTTGCAATGGTATTTTTGCAATGCTGTAATGATAGCAGTTGCAAATCGCGTTACGGATGCCGTTACAGCTATTTTTACACTGGCCAAATACACCCTCATACATTTTTGCACACAAACTTAATTCATTCTACATAGTCAGATACCGTCTTCCCCCTTGAAACTTTTCCATTTCTAAAACATTAACCCTAACTCCCTAGGCCTTTTTGCTAGGATGTAGCCTCAATCCTGCAAAATCCTCCAATTGGCCTCATGGAAAAATAGCATATAGCCTCAATCCTGCAAATTCCTCCGTTATTTCTTGAATATGGTGCATGGAGGGATGACCACTGCCTGAATCCTGCAAAATCCTCCGGCTATGTCTGTCAATAGGCTGAGGCAGAGGCAGTGACATTCTGGAGCAGTGCGGAGGATGTCAAGTATAATCAAGGACTAAATTTATGCACGGCTGAGCATAAACAACACAAGGTCCGGCCCAAGACCTTGACACAGTGCGTACTCCGAAATCAGCAACGCACTTTTGCCATGTAACCTCAATCCTGCAAATTCCTCCAATTTGCAAAAAGGATTTTGGAGGATTCAGGGCAGTTAGGGTTAAAAAAAAAAATTCTTGATTCTCAGCACTTTTGGAGATTAAAAATAACTTAAAAGTCAATTAGGAAAGAATGTAGTAGGCCTATCCTCAAATAACTTGACAGTCGATTTAGAAAGAATGTATACCGTCAACACATCGTCAACACATGATAGTACCGTCAACACACCGTCAACACCCCCAAAACACATTCTAAATTGACAAGATTGGCATAGAACTGTAAAGCATAATCTAAAAGAAAATTTTCATCAGTTTTGGGTGTAACTTCATTCATGGAAAATGGATGTAAAATATAAAAGGGTTATGAAAATAAAATAAAGGGTTATTTCGGCTTCGTTATGATTAGCTTTTGCTGTGTCCAACGACAGACATGACAGACGATCTCGAAGAGGCTGCTGTGTATTTTATTTTTACCCCTTTTTCTTGTATTTTTTTCCAATAACTTTAATTAAAAACTGAATTTCGATATTCAGTTATTTCCTTTGACCAACCCACCCCCAATTTCGAAAAAGATCAAACATTTCTCATAATGGTATTATCCTCGCCTCGCTGCCTGCTGAGGCAACGTGGATGCCAATTTTGGAGCTGGACAGAGAGGCACATTTTCTTGAACAAAAACCTGCAATTAACCTCCTGTTTTTTAAGCAAAAATATTGTTTGTGTCCATACTTTATGGTTTAGTACATTTATTGAATGATCACTGTATGTCTAGATCTGTGCTATAGTGGTTGAATTTTCACGGATTAATTTGCAACCCAAAAAATAATTGTGAGTATCATTGATGCCCCATTACTTCGTCTTTGACATGTGGACAAGCCAGTGCTTTCAAAGATATATTTTTGTCAAGTATTTTGCGTGATTTTTGGCAACTTTTGTGGTGAACTTTGGAAATTGCAACATTGAGAATTCTTCCTTAGTGGGACGCTAGTACGACAGACTAACATCCCAAATGTCAAAAAAGGCATTCTAGCGCCCCAGTTAGTGGGACTAAATTTGTACATGTCATGCGTCGGTTGAGGGCTTCAACATGCAATGACATGTAAAAATTTACTCCTAGAACTATAGTTCTAGGAGTAGTAAAAATTCACTAGGTTGGCAACACATTCGCCTACATATCTCTTGTAAAGACTTTATCAACAAATAGCTGGAGTTACCCAGCCCTGAGTTTTATCATTGGGTTGTCATCTAGGGCTGGAGCGCATTTTTCTCAAAACTTGTAGTATTTGCAAAAAAAAATTGGAAAATGTTCAATTTTGTCCCCGTTACACACTAATTGCAACTGCAACTCACCCCAAACTTGCCTGGAATAACCATTACACAGGTCCTTGAAGTAAAAAACGATCCACGATGAAGATTCAGCCTACAATTGCAGTGAAAACAGGAGGAATAACCGCTAACTTGACAACCTTGCTGGATTGGCCAGGACCGCTATTGGTTTGTGCACAAAAAAAATTGTGTACAATGAATGGCGGTCGATTAACAGGCACAGAGAGCGATCGCTGTCAACTACTCGTTTTGCCGGCTGCGCTGGCTGTTGGCGCATGACGTCACGCGGAAGCGTAACACCCGATGACTGTTTCATGCACTAGTATAAGGTTTACCACTCGCATCACAGCTTTGGTACTGGAACCGCAACCAATAGTGCATAAAACAGTCATCGGGTGTTATGCTTCCGCGTGACGTCATGCGCCAACAGCCAGCGCAGCCGGCAAAACGAGTAGTTGACAGCGATCGCTCTCTGTGCCTGTTAATCGACCGCCATTCATTGTACACAATTTTTTTTGTGCACAAACCAATAGCGGTCCTGGCCAATCCAGCAAGGTTGTCAAGTTAGCGGTTATTCCTCCTGTTTTCACTGCAATTGTAGGCTGAATCTTCATCGTGGATCGTTTTTTACTTCAAGGACCTGTGTAATGGTTATTCCAGGCAAGTTTGGGGTGAGTTGCAGTTGCAATTAGTGTGTAACGGGGACAAAATTGAACATTTTCCAAATTTTTTTTGCAAATACTACAAGTTTTGAGAAAAATGCGCTCCAGCCCTAGATGACAACCCAATGATAAAACTCAGGGCTGGGTAACTCCAGCTAATCAACAAAGGCCTATTCCTAAACAGTTCTCACATGAAAGTATATTCTCTGAGGTACAAGATAAGCGAAAAAATGTCTTTTTTTCTGTTTCAAAAGTAGCATCAGGATGCAACATTCTTTCCGGTACATGCTATGCTTTTTCACGCATACGATGAAATGTTTATCGTTTATCGAAATATATCGTCAAATCAGCAAATCTTGATACCAAACTGGCTTATCTTGTCACAAAATTGGAAATGTTTCGCAGTCCCAGACAGGCCTACATGTCTTTTCAACATGTTTGCAATGACTAACGTTCATTGAGATATATATGATGAAAAAAGTGGAGTCAGGATGCAACATTTAAATTGGACTGTATGACTATGAAATTATGTATGTACGTACAGTCACAATTCAATTGTGTCAATACATTGACTTACCTGCTTGAACAGTGGTGCAGAGCGACACGAACACACCTACAAATAGCACCAATAATCTCATCTTTCCAGAGTTCTGTCTGCGACTGAAAAATCACCGAATCGATGCTTAATCCCTTCAAAATACAACTACCTTTAGGTCAAAAGTTGGGACCAAAACCAACGACCTAATTTAGATGACGAAGTAGAAATGTAGATTGCGAGAAAGATAGAGCACCGGGCCGGGATGATGAAGAATCGATCTACATCAAATAGTCTGATCCACAGACCTATTCTTGATGCAATGAAAAGAGGCCATGACCAGACCAGAACCTTGAAAGTCAGGTACCCACAGCGAAGCACAGTCATGACAGTATTGGAAGAGGATAGACAAGGTCACCTGCCTATGTAAATTTTATTAAACTGGTGTACTGCCCGAACATTAACAGCAACGGAAAAGTTTGACACTTCCCCCCCCCAAAAAAAAAAACCCGCAGTGGCAAAATTGCCCAAAGTAAGCATGATATAGGCCTGTGTTTCCACATTCGGAGGAAGTATTATGAAAATTATTTCTTGTATTTTAGCATTTTCCATGCTATGCGTTGAACGCATTACCAAAGACCCCAAAATTGATTAATTTGTGAGAACCGTAAAACTGGCAAAATTCATGCATCTCTATCTGTGTCAGGTTTTCACCTGTATTTTGTGTTTGTTTGTTTCATTTATTTATTCATCGAGAGTAAATGACACTCCCCCTCCCTCCCTCCCCCCCCCCCCCCCAAGGCCCGTCTTCTTTTTTCTTTGATCGTCATTAGTATACACATCATCTCTCCTTTTTTATAAGAGTTGTGTCTTTGGCACATTTCGATGAGCTTGGAACGATATAACTAAACTAGGATTTTTTTAAAATTAATTTATTCACTGATAGGCCTAAAAGATTGCCAACCAAAAACTTACACCCATAATTATGTTGCGAAGACTAGCTGATGAGGGCGCCCTGCATGGTTAACGGGTCCGGGTCCGGGTCGGTCTGGGCCGCGGTCGGGATGGGTTGTGTTACGTTTGGCCATCTACTAAGCTTACAGACTGGGATGATTTCGGGAAGCAAAAAAACCAAAACAAACAAACAAACAAAAACAGTGGCGGCGCCAGGCTCTAAAATTTTGGGGGGAAATTGGGGGGGGGGGCTATAAAAAATGCAAGTGTGGCGAGTTTTGTCATGAAGTACCAATGTTTGAATGCTTTCATTTGCCCCAAATTGTATGAATCTTAACAGCGAAGAAAATAAACATAATTAATCTGCTTGTGGATAAAGTGTTCGAAGAAAACTGGGGGGGGGGGGGGACTAAGGGGGGGGGGGCAAGGACAAAAGGGGGGGGACAAATACCCACACCCACACCCCCAGCGCCGCCGCGGAAAACAAACGACGGCCAGTCATAATTACAGGCACATTCGATTGCTCAGCATAACACAAGAGTACATGAATAGGAAACAACTTCCAACAAAATGAAAGCAATTAAACTAGGTACATGGACAACAATGAATGAAATGTTGAAGTGAGTCCCAACCATAGAACTGTATATCAGCTCTGTGGTCCCAACATAAATTGTGTTCCGTCATGGTGGGGTGTTCGTTGCCGGGCATTTAATTTATTTTGATTTCGGATAGCAATCATAATCCATTATTTTATGGACCGTCACAAAATTGCCATATGTCACGTCAATCACCAGTTTCTGATTATGTCTTCTGGTGTGACGTAGCTTATCTGGATGCATACCTGCAAATAAACTCCCATAGACATTAGTGCTAAATGCCCATACTTCAAAATTATTTTAAAAATACTCAAAACTCTCACAGGTATTCAAGCTACACAGAAAAATGATGATCAATGTGTCATCTTTCATTTTCTTTTCAATTTTTGGTGGGTTGACCATTGACTTTTCGAGATATTTTCACGCAAAGAAGACGACCCCTATTTTCCCCAAAGCGGAAAAGTAGCCATCTTGAAAAACGATCCCTCCACAGCATGGCAAAATAGCGCCACTTTCGAGCCCAATAGCATCCAAAATGCTCAGAATTGGAAGCCCCAAGTCCGGGCCAGAGGTTCATTACCATATCTCTTCAATTCCCCAATTTTACGGCGCTCAGAACTCTCTAATATAGAATATTTTGACTTTTATTCATGAGCTTGGCGGATCGATTTACCGGTGTGCACCCATCTGAACCAATGTCTGAACAGAAGTGATAATGGAGGCACTAACAGCAATTACATTTCATTAGTGCCCCGCGCGCGCCCAAAAGCTGCCAACCCCGGCTAAGCAGAGAAACTGACGAGGATATTGTTCACTGTTCATTTATTTGTTCATTTATTTTCCACAGTGTCACATTTTTTAATTATAGTAATCATGATACAAAAAGGTACTTTAGAGACAGATGGTGAAACTGTAGAGGAACCCACCAAGAAGCTAAGCTTGTAATCGTTGGCCCCTTAAATTTAAAGTTGCTTTTAAAACATAAAACACAGTTTTATAAAACAAGAAAACACATGTTTTGACATAAAACAAGAAGTTTTGTATTGCTTGTGAATTCAGTTTTGATGATTCTATTAAATAGGTTGCTCAGCAAATAAATTAGTTTTGTTTTTAGAGAAGATAAGATATTGACTGGAGCGGGGTTTGAACCTGCGACCTCAGGATTGCCGTTCCGGTGCTCTACCAACTGAGCTATCCAGCCGTAGTCAGTTTCAAGGCTTTGTGGTTCATTTGAAAACGAATACATTTATTTATTCATTACATTTCTTTACCCAGGGTATGCCCAAACAGTTCAAAACAAAAACTGGTTCCCATTGGGGTCCTGCATACAATAAAAAATGACTACAAACAAGTATACGAATACAATACATTACAAACACAATATACAAACGCAATACAATACAATACAATGGGATTTTAGTGCCAAATTAGTTAATTGAATACTAAATTGAATAATTTCTGTAGCTAACTTTGCCTAAAAGATTATGTTTCTGTGGCTTTATCTGGAATGGCAAAACAGACAAAATTTCAAGAAAAACAATGATTCGCAATTTAATTAAACGAAGGTGGTCCTAACCTAACTGACTTCCAATCTCATAATATAGCGCTTAAATGTTACTGGATATTTAAATTGTTAAACAATTAGCTTGGGAAATGGAAAATCATTTGCAATTTATGTTTAAACTCATGTTGCCCAGACCTTTCAGTCCTCAATATGAATTTAAAAAAAGCAAAGTGCTGTTCATGTAATACATTAAATCTTAAGTAAGATTTGAGGCTTTGCATGGTGGACATACTAAATAATGAAAGGTTTGCGGAAACACCATTAAATCTTGAACAATTTTATAAAGAGTTAATATTCTGTTGGCAGGAACTAAACTCAAAGACTGTACAAATCGATTTACAGCCAACTACTATAAAAGCACAAATACTCTGGGGTAATAATTATATTAAGTATAAAAACAAGCCATTGTATTTAAGCAACTGGATTAAATCCAACATCATTTACATTAATGACCTTCTGACCGAAAATGGTGAATTGTCAACTGAGTATATCAAACCGTTAAGAAACCATAACTGGTTAGCAGAAACATGAAAAAAAGTAAAACTGCTGCAAACTGCTTACTGACTGGATGGACCTGAAATATATAAATCTTAAAATTAATGTGGCCTGACGTTGCGAACTTAGCAAGTTCTTCTTCAGAGGCTAAAACAGAAATGACAGAGATACATTAACATGGGGGTGCACACAAACATGCAGGGCTGAAAGAAGAAACACAAAAGGAGGATTAGGAGGGAAAGGTGTGGAAAGATGCAGGGGAGGGTGGATGAGAGAACAAAGAAACAAAGGGAGATGGCAAACCACAAGGGGTCTGGTGTAAACAGGGGAGGGACCAGAAAGGGGAAGGATCAAAGGTCACAGGGAGTGGGAACGGACAAAAGAGTGTGAGAGTGAAGGGATGATGCGGGGGGAGGGGGGGGGGACAGTATAGAGGTGGAAAGGGATGAAAGATGGTGGGAGATGTGTTAACACAAACAAGGAAGACCAGATGGATTATCTGTAACAGAGGACAATGGAGGAAGAAAAGGATTAATCATTTCCAAGTTGGATGTTGAGACCATGTGGTTGAATAGTTCGAAGACGATTCATCCACACCTTCTCTCTGCTGAGGCGAACTGACTCTTTGCGATGGCCAAGAGATTCAATGCCCTGCAAAATCATATCAGAAATGGAGTGGTTAGGCAGGTTGAAGTGATGACCAACAGGGGTGTCTAGTTTCTTGGTGTTGACCGTTGACCGATGGGCATAGAAACGCTTCTTGAGCGTATTCTTAGTCTCACCTACATACTGGTTAGCAGAAATGTACACATTAAAGAAGGCCATACCAAAAGAATGGTTGAGAACCCTAGCAAATAATAAAAACAAAACTCCCTTTGAAAGGCAGGTCTACGTTAATGATGCTTTAAGCAGTTTAGAAAATATTACAACTAAAGAAATATATACAAGGTTTTAATTGATAAAAGGGGTAAAACGCCAGTTAGTCACAAGCGCTGGGAAGATATACCAAATGAAGAAATACAGTGGAATTCTGTGTGGAAACAAACAATTATAAATATAAAAGAAGCTAAGTTAAGAAACTTTAATTACAAATTTCTACACCGTATACTACCAACTAAAAACTTGTTGTATAAATGGAAAATTGTGAATAGTCCGTTGTGTTGCTTATGTAACGAGATTGACGACTACGACCATTGTTTTGTGACATGTGCACATAGATTAAAATTTTGGAATGAATCTGCACAGTGTCACCAAGTGATAACGAAACACTGTTTTAAATTGCCAAAAATGTTTAATTTAGTAACTAGCCTTGACTTCGATTTTGAAATAAAATTAATTATAACAATAGCAATGTATTCCATATTTAAAGTAAGATTAAAGACATATCAAGACAATAAGTGGATCAACACTTTTGACACTTTCATTCGAGAACTTTATTGGAGAGCTAAACTACAGAAGAAAAACAAAAACTTCTGGAAAAAGTTTCTGTAACATCTTATTTTGATTAATGTACTATAATGTAACTAAGTAATTCAGTAATTAATACGTATGTTTGCTTACAAATGTAAACAATGTTGCGAGAAATAAAAGCGCTAGACGCAATTAAAAAGAAAATATGTTTCTGTGGCGTACTTTGCCAAAAGGGCCATTACACAGGCTTTTCTCTATAAATAGGCCTAATAAGTATTTTTGCCAGTGAAAATTAAGTAAGGCTTGTATTTATTTATAAGTAACAAAGAATGAATTAACGGAACCACCTGGGTTATCGGTAAAAGTAATAATTAAATGCGACGTCACCGTAGCTCACCTAATGAATACATTGGTATTCATGTCTACGCATAACGGTGACAGCCATATACTCAAAACGGCAGTGAAATGCTTCACTGATCAGTGTAGTACAGTCATCTTTCTGGAATAAGACCATGTTGCGGAAACCCTTTTTTCTTGATGGATTTGACAAATAGGACCAATTTAAATTGACAAATAGGACCAATTTAAAGATTTAGCTCCTACACTTCCCCAAAGTGACGGCAAACTTTTTATAGCATTTTTTTTCAAAATGGCCGCCGACGCCATATTGAAATTGAAATACATAACAAGTGATATCTCGGGAACCCGATGAGCCATAACGATAAATGAGGTGTCGATTCCAACGTTTTCTGGCATGACAAATCTGCTAAAATGGTATTCATTACGTTTCGGAAAAATGGCGGCTGGTAGCCATCTTGAAAAAAAAACGGCATCTATTAGACATATAAGATATCATTTTTTAATTAATTGGAATGGTTCTTTTGACGTTCAGGGACTACCATGACCTGCTATTTGAAGATGACTGCTGTCTTTCAAAACGTCAATCTGCAATATTATCTCTTGCGCTAGAGGCTTTTGGTATGAGGAGCCATCCCATTCAAATCCACCATCTACCTAACTTATTTGAGAGGTTATTTGGAGTTTTATCTTGACACCCATTTCTTTCTGTTATAACTTCCTACAATTTGTTTTAAATTAATTTGTTTTACTGGTTTAAGTAAATTTGTTCTCTATTGCATGGTTTATTATTTACACATTTTGCCCTACATATAGTTGCCATTTGCTGAAAGAACGCACGCCTTTTTTTCTGATCCGTGGACAGAAATTTAAAACGGTGGTTGTGTTCAAAACTCCGTCACTTGAAAAGAACATAAGTGATTTGAACGATTCTAGTACTAAAAGAAAGCTTATATTTTGGGCTTTCATATCCTAGATTTTGAAAGTGCTACATGCAGAAGTTTACTAAAACAATAGTCCCGACATTTGGGTTTCGCTTTTTTGACTCACTTTGTATTCAACAAACACAAATTGGCAAAAACAAATTACACTACTTATACTGCATACAATATGTATTAATTGACCACTTCAGGGCCCCCCAAAAAAATTGGATTCTACATGCTCTGTTGTACGATCTGAGGCAATTTCTGACCACTTTGACCACATTTTTTTAGAAAAAGATGGTGTTTGCAGTGCCTGCCTTTATTACCGTCATTAAACAAAATGGTTTGGTTTGGGGGTGGGCCGGTGGGGGCCATTGCCCCCGTTGCCCCCCCCCCCCCCGACCCGCCCTTGAGCGAGTTCACGAAGGGACTTATTATTACGCCCAACCCCCCCCCCCCCAAAAAAAAAATCAAAATTCTTTTTTTGCAAAATCAGATAAATCAACGAAATCATGACAATCAATGTTGGGAAAATTTCACCTGAATCGTCTTCTGAGTTTTCACGAAGAGAGAAATTCGAACTTTATCACGTTTTCTATGGGGCAAAAACAGCGCGCGTGTGGGATTTTATATTTTCACAGAGAGATGAATTCGCGCAAACGGTATTGGCAATTTGCCGAAACAGGCGCGTGGGATTTTGAGTTTTTACGAACAGACAAATCTCTTATTCTGTAACTGCAGTACATCTTTGAAGTTTAAGATCTCAGTTTACTATCTGTATCAAAAAAAAGTCGGCATAGTAATTAGTCGGCTTGTTTTTTAAGTGAGTAATCAATGGGTATTTTTTTTAAATTAATCACTTTTATTGCATAGTGTCACAAGGTCCGCCATGATCGGGACGATGCGAGAGGATACAGTTAAGGAAAACCTCAGAAATGTACAACACCGACAAAGGAAAGCAAGACACGACCAAGTTATAACGAATTCAAAACATTTAATTTCAATAAACCAAACTTAAATAAACCAAACTTACAATTAACTTAATATAGTTTCAATTTACATTACACATCGAGAAATTAATACAATATAAATAAAATACCCATCACCAACTCCATCGCGGTACCGGGACAGACAAATGGAACGGGGACAGCAGCACACGGGAGCATCGGCGGCTTCCAGCGGGTGACGTCAGGTCCACTGATGCATGCTTGGACGGGGGTCGGCACAGCACTCCCGGCTTAGAATCACGGTGTCCCGATCCCAACCGAAAAAGCCCTGAAATTTCATGTGTTTATGCTAATAAATACACTCGTACAAATACAGTTCACTTTAGTGTCAGAAAACCGCAATTTTAGAAATATCTTAACACCAAGAAACCTCAAAATTCTAGCGAAAAGACATCTTTGACATAAACACCAAATCAATAGGTTTTTATGTGCATGCAGGCTATGTAAACCTGAAACAGTTCAGTTGCAACCACGCAAAATTTCACAAGTGTTCAATGATGATTTTAAATTAAAGAAATCACAACTTACAGAATAAATCTAGCTTTTAAGGCTCGTGACTTAGTGGCATTACGAGCTCCCTCGGAAAACCCACAGCCCAACGGGTGTCCTCAATCATCGGCATCGGCCGGCACCATAAACTTCCGTCGGCTTTCCCCAAAACTGGAGATCCAATTCAAAAAGGGCCTCTGTGCCCTAAGAGACTTCGAGCTGAGTTGCTTGCCACTAAGTGACGTGCCACTCCCTAAACCTTGCTTTTATACACCCACAAATATTTAATTGGAATGTGCCGCACCCATGCATGGGTACTGGGCGACCAATCCCATACATCACAATACGTGCGTGGTAGTCTGCGTGACAATTTACGCTTGAACTATTTGCATATTTAACCCAAATACTGGACATAGGCACGACGGCCGTACTAGTATGTCTAAAACTCTGTCAGGTGTGAAACTTTAACAAAATACTTTTTATCCGAATACCCCTGGTTTAAAGTGGCAACTCATACCTTTAGTTTCGCGTTTCACTTAAACCAATTTTGGATTTCCGAATATTGCTCAATATACACCGGGATGTTTTATACAATCATAAACGCCAGAATTATACAATTATCACAAATCGTCTTATACAATAATAATTTCCAAATACCACTTCAACTGAACTTAACCCATAAGATTATTACAAACAAAATTCGTCATCTGTGACACATAGAATATTAATATATAAATGCTTGAGCATTAAGAATCTTGTAAATGAGTCTCTTGAAGCGGGAAGCCAATGGAGCACTTTCCGGCGGGCAACCAGAAGGCGGGTCCCGACATTTAAATCATCTTCAGTAATATGTATGATATGCAACACCTTAATACAATCATCGCAGAGAGGGGTCTTGCGGAAGCATATCCTGCACCACTTGCTGAGCCTGTCGGCCATGTCGGCAATTGTTCCAATAGAAAATAAAACAGAAAAACTTTACCTTTAACAACTGAAACTTAAACTGAAGTTAACTGCAAAGATTTGCATGTTGAATGATCGTCATGATTTAGTCTTTTTGGAACTTTTTTTTTATTGACATTGGGCAGACATGTTGGACTTTTTCGGTGATATTTCTGAACACAACTGCTCATGGTTGCAAATGAGATGGATTTTTTTCCTCACCTCACAACAATAACATTAGATTTGGTATTACCTTTATATTTATTCATAGTGCCATATCTTCATTTGTTACAAACCATGTATTTCTATAGTTACCAAATTTGAAGCAGACTTATTTTCGAAACATCAGGTCAAAGTACATTTGATTACACATTTTCTCTGCGCTTCATGCTTTGTTTTGGGCTTTTTTCTGAAAAGGTCAATCAAAGATTATTAAAGTGATATATCACTTTGCCTTGTACGTGCCATACTTTTTGAGATAAGTGTTTAAAGTTTGATTTGAATTTTGAAATGCAAGTTTAAAATACTTGTATAAGTTTGCAAAAAAAGTACTTTCTCACAAGTATCTCAACACGTCCAGTTGTCCTCCAATGTTATGTACATGTACAAGTACACATGCATACTGCGTTCACGTATGGGTGCTTTCAGTCACATGACAGTGCTGTAACCATACGTCACTAGTGCAGCACTCGCTCCAACAGATTCCAACAAAACATGCAGTTGAATTTTGAAGGGTTGGGTGGTAAGGGTTAAGACAATAAACTTTAAGAAATGTTTCCAGTATATTTATTAGAAACATACGAAAGCCCTGTAGTGCCATCAAGTATATATTTTGAAAAAAATGAAGTATATTTTTTCAAAGTTCGTTTTTACGAGATATATTTTTTCCAAGTTCGTTTTTACGAGATATATTTTTCCCAAAGTTCGTTTTTATGAGATATATTTTTTCCACGTTCGTTTTTACGAGATATATTTTTTCCAAAGCTCGTTTTTACGAGATTTTCTTGTGTGCAAAGTGTCACGTGCGCGTTGGCGTTCATCACTTGTAATTCTGTGAGGACATGCGAGTTCTGGATCGATCCTAGGCCTAGCCCACAAATTAAACTTTGCTTCGTTCCCGCGTGCCTCAGGGGCCTGTACTGTGGGCTAGGCCTAGGCTAGGATCGATCCAGAACTCGCATGTCCTCACAAAATTACAAGTGATGAGCGCCAACGCACACGTGACACTTTGCACACAAGAAAATCTCGTAAAAACGAACTTTGGAAAAATATATCTCGTAAAAACGAACTTGGAAAAAATATATCTCGTAAAAACGAACTTGGAAAAACCACTCTTAAAAATCAACTTTGGAAAAAATGTATGTCGTAAAAACGAACTTTGAAAAAATATATCTCGTAAAAACGAACTTGGAAAAAATATACTTCACTTTTTCAAAATATATACTTGATGGCACTACAGGGCTTTCGTAGAAACAACACTCTTACGTACCTCTCACCCTCAACTGTATGGTATGCTGGACTGTTGTCACACTGCTCACTGCTGTGCATGTGTAGTTGCCAGTGTCGCTAAAGACCACGTTGGTCATATAAAGCACGGAGCCGATATCCCACTTGGATTTCCGGATCTCAAAGCGTCCCCCTTCGTCAACGTCGCTGACGACACGCACATTGTCGATCTTCCAAGAGAAGTCGGGTTCTGGATCCTCCCTTTCAAGAAAAGCAATGCACTCAAAGCGAGCACGTTCACCTTCAGTGAACTTGATGTAGTTAGGAGCCCTCAGTCTCAATACACCTGTCAGGAAAATAGTAATGAAATACCATCGTCAATCAAATGGTTACTTACATTACACTGTCATTACAAATTGTCTATATCACAATGAGCTGCATGTAAATAGTGCACCATGAAGTGACTTATATAATTTTTTTTGCTGCACCACCGAGTGATGCATCATCTACATGTAGGCCCTATATGTCATTTCGTGGTGCGGCAACTATCCATTACATTTCACTTCGTTGGGCGATTGACAAAGTATACAAATTAATCACCTTGTAAGATAAATCATAGAACCTTCTATTCAACAAACACAAATTGGCAGAAACAGGCAACCATGACCACGCAAATTACAATATCCCATCAAATAAATTGATGATAAAAATTAAACAAAAAACCTGATGATCTAGTTCAAAGAACTGCAAAAGGGCACTAAATTTGTGAAAATAAACCAGAATGAAAAAAATCCTGCTGTTTTTTTAACAGTAACTTTATATTTTTCTCCAAACATATTTAAAAATAAAAACAATTATATAACATATCACGGAAGACTGAGAGTGCTACTCTACGGAAGCCGGATAGTGCCAGTCCCTAAGGTATGGAATTCCATCTCTGCCAAGTTACACGGCGCATGTTTGGGAGATCCAAGCAAGTCCCAAACATGCGCCGTCGACGGCGCATTGTCGCGTCGTGCCGTCGCATAGTCGCGTCGTGCCGTCGCGTCGTGCCGTCGCATTGTTTTGTACTGTTAGAATTGGGCCGTCGCATAGTCGTGTCGTGCCGTCGCATAGTCGCGTCGTGCCGTTGCATAGTCGCGTCGTGCCGTCGCATAGTCGCATTGTCGCATAGTCGCATAGTCGCATAGTCGCATAGTCGCATAGTCGCATTGTCGCATTGTCGCATAGTCGCATAGTCGCATTGTCGCATAGTCGCATAGTCGCATAGTCGCATTGTCGCATTGTCGCATAGTCGCATAGTCGCATAGTCGCATTGTCGCATTGTCGCATAGTCGCATAGTCGCATTGTCGCATTGTCGCATAGTCGCATTGTCGCATAGTCGCATTGTCGCATTTTATAGGGGCCTATCTTGAGTTCAAATGAGGGTGCGCTCGATCGGCCTTGGTGTTTTTCTCTGCTTTCTAGCCTAAGCTGAGGCTGTGCTTCAATCATGGACGATATTTTACGTCAACTTGATCTTGATGAAACAGGATGCAACATTTAACATAGTTCTGAGAAGCTAAAATTTATTCTATTCTCTTCTGGATTCTAACCCTGATTATTCTAGTATTGAGTCGGTCGGAGCTGTTGAATTTGACAAGCTCACTCATAGTCATAGACATACCCAATGAAAACTTTCACTCAAGAGAGAAACATGGAGAAGCCAAACTGACCAATCAGGTGCCAGAATTCCATTTTGTGACATCACATCCGACCGATAATAGCAATAGTTACAACTACAACAAGTCAATTAAAAAATATGTATTCACAAATTAACAGTCGGAGGGGGCAGGCTATCGTTTGAATATGGAAATAAAAGTACGGTGGACCGTGTCCAATACTCTAGTAGTGTGTATCTAGTGTGATGGACGAACTTCAATCGGCCATCCAGGATTCAAGTTGACAATTTACTATGAAGGACTTGGTAAATTAAAGACGGTGAACACAGACTTTTTCCGTACTCAAATAATTTATTAATTAAACAGAACAAGACCGAATCCATAAATACACAAACTGCAGTCTACAGGGAGCTAGGGTGACCACACGCCTCTGGAACACGGACAACCAGCGTGGGGCTAGACCGTGGGTTTTATACAGAATTAATACAGCTGGGTTATAATCAAATTCCAAGGGATACAGTGAATTCGGATTAGGAAGCGCATGTACTCGTTCCGCAATTACGTAAGTAAATAATCAAATGAAGGCACTGTAAAATAATCAGGTGCATCACATACGCCCCTTTAAAATTGGCTCCTGCCAATTTCACATTAAAGGACAATCATTAAATAATGTTATACAACATAAATTAATATCAGTTATACAATATAAATCAATTAATATTTGTCAGTTGTCCAACACGTCTGCTGATATTTCATCATCCTTCGCGTATGGAAAATTCGATGCCGCGGTTCATCGGTTTCCAACGTCTAAGGTAGGACATCAGACACTGCTCCAGGCCGGGTCTTGTTGTAGTACTACGTGGAGCCGAGGCCTCGTGGACAATACGCAATCATAAAAATATACATACAACTTAATTATTGGGTTTACCCGTAATCCTTACTGGATTACTTCTCAAATAATCATGCAAAGTTTCGTTTAAGTTTTCAGCTGGTTCCCAAGTATTTTTACTTTTTGCGAAACCTTTCCATTTGATTAGATAGTACAATTTGTTATTTAGAAACTTTCCACGTAAAATCCTTTCGACTTCATACTCTTTTTGGACTTTAGTAGAACTTGGAATTCCTGGAATCTGATTATTATTAGCTTGAGTTTGGTTTGCTTTTAGAGGTGCAAAAGATGATTCTGGCAAATCTTTATCTTCCAAATCGTAAATTGGTTTTTGTTGTTCAAGATCTGGTGGTGTTTCTGCGTTGGTTGGTCGCTCAAATCTATCATAAGCAAATTTCATTAGGTTGACATGGATAGGGGTTTTGAGTGACTTGTTATTTTCAAGATTTCGAACTCTGAAATCAACAGGGCCAGTTTGTTCAACCAACAAACATGGGCCACACCAAAACTGAGAAAGTTTCCTAGACAGTCCTTTTTGAGTAGCAGGAATATACAAATATACTACATCACCAACTTGGTAAGGAACACTCTGGGTACGTTTAACATAACGTTGTTATCATAATCAGGTGCATCACACTAGTGACGGGCGGGTCCTGCCGCGGTCATCTATTGTATTAATTATTAGTTCTGGATAGGAGCTATACCCTCCAATTGTTTCGATCGATACATTCGGGCGATTGACTATATAGCGTTAGGCCTAAGGCTTGCGGGTACATGCATTTCAAAAGGATACTGTTCTCTTGGCAACGCATAAAAGGATTCATTAATGTATACTCTGAAGATGTAAGCCTATTCATCTTTTGGCACGATTTCTAACTCGAAAGCAACTGGAATATGGGGAGGACGATCAAATTAGTTGCACCCAAACACCGCACAACAGCGCCCTCTTGGTGAAGCCCTGGAAAATTAATGAATGAAAATGCGACAATGCGACAATGCGACAATGCGACAATGCGACAATGCGACTATGCGACTATGCGACAATGCGACTATGCGACTATGAGACAATGCGACAATGCGACAATGCGACTATGCGACTATGCGACAATGCGACTATGCGACTATGCGACAATGCGACTATGCGACAATGCGACTATGCGACTATGCGACTATGCGCCGTGATCTCCCAAATATGCGCCGTGTAACTTGGCAGAGATGGAATTCCATACTAAGGGATGAATATATTTTTTGCAAACACGTCAGAATTTTTTTGTACATCGCCGCCACTTAATATGCGGCGGCCGCAACTTATTATGTCGCGGCCGCAACTTATTATGTGGCGGCCGCAACTTATTATGTGGCGGCCGCAACTTATTATGTCGCGGCCGCAACTTATTATGTGGCGGCCGCAACTTATTATGTCGCGGCCGCAACTTATTATGTGGCGGCCGCAACTTAATATGTGGCGGCCGCAACTTAATAACTGGCGGCCGCAACTTAATATGTGGCGGCCGCAACTTATTATGTGGCGGCCGCAACTTATTATGTGGCGGCCGCAACTTAATATGTGGCGGCCGCAACTTAATAACTGGCGGCCGCAACTTAATATGTGGCGGCCGCAACTTATTATGTGGCGGCCGCAACTTATTATGTGGCGGCCGCAACTTATTATGTGGCGGCCGCAACTTATTATGTGGCGGCCGCAACTTATTATGTGGCGGCCGCAACTTATTATGTGGCGGCCGCAACTTATTATGTGGCGGCCGCAACTTATTATGTCGTGGCCGCAACTTATTATGTGGCGGCCGCAACTTATTATGTGGCGGCCGCAACTTATTATGTGGCGGCCGCAACTTATTATGTGGCGGCCGCAACTTATTATGTGGCGGCCGCAACTTATTATGTCGCGGCCCGCAACTTATTATGTGGCGGCCCGCAACTTAATATCTCGTGTTCACCACGTGGTCTCGACAGCCAGCGGGGACCGGGCGTGCACGGTCTTGTCTGTCTGTCCGATCGATCGTATTGATGCTACCACTTGTATGTAAAGGCGACACTGGGGACGCGTACATTTGCACTTGGTAGCAAGCCTCGTCAGGTGAGATCAAGCCCATAGTGTATGTTACTAACATTAACATCTTAAATTCGTTTTGTACCAGGCATTTTGGATGTGCCTTGTAAATGTACGTGTCATCAGTCAAATTGAGGCACTTGGCCTAGGTAGCTGTAGGCCTTCATTGCACATTGTTTTGCTCTTGTAATTATTGACAGCTAGGTTTCCTTTTTCTTTACCAAGTTTAAGTTGTAAACCTCTTTCGGCTTCCGGCCCTTATTTTGATTTTCATGACCTGAAATTTGTATCCTAGTGGAGACCCGGGTATAATATGGAACAAAAGATTGTAAAGGTCGACACAAGGAAATTTCTAAAGGTGACTAGGTATCCACCAGGATTTCACGAAATAGATTATTTTGATTTTACTCACAAACTAGGAATTTTCAAGTGTGTTGATCCGTCGCAAATTGAAGTATTTTATATATTAAAGGGACATTGGGTCGAAGTTTCAACCCAGGAGAGTGATTCTGGTTAGAACAGGAGCATTTTGAAATTCGATTTCCACACTATTTTCTATTTGTACACGAGAACAAACAAAGCAATGTCTCCACAAGGATACAAATTTAAGAATGCGAGTTTGCAAAATTAATTTTGTTTGCACATTTCAGCATGTCTGAGCGGCTGTGGGGTGTACTTAAAGCCCGAGGTGAGCAGCGTGACACATTGGAAAAAATGCAGAACGAAAAGGTAAGGGTGCTCAGCAGAATTCCTGGAGGGACCTAATCCAATTATCCAAGCGGTATAGATTTTACTTTAATACCTCCACTTTATTTCCTTATAACAAAAGTGAAATTCTAATGAGAAATCATGATATCAACGTGGAAAATATGTTACGTTTCTTAGGAAAACCTTTTTAGACGATATCCATAGGGTTTTTGTATATGGTCCTAAAAATGTGTGTGTGTGTGGGGGGGGGGGGGCATTAATTTCATTCAAATATACAGGGTGTCCCAAAATAAATGGTGCAAGTGCCAGTAGTTCACACATGGGTGATTTCTTCTCATGTGTGAACTACTAGCAGCGTTTGGGCTTAGAAGCATTCATACTCTAAAAGTGGCACAAACTTGATTTTAGGTGTTTGTGGTTAATCAAACATATCTCTACATGAACTAAAGCAAATACGATGAAAGAAGCGGCATTTCGAAGCTAATGAAGTAATCATGAAGATGATATAAACATCTGTAGCAAATATTGAATGGTTATTGGGTAACGTGGCGCGTTTCACTTGCACCATTTTTTTGGGACACCCTGTATGTTGTTTAATTGAGTCTTGATAAAAAAAAAGACGTTTCTTTTCCTCAACGGTGGCTCTTGAGAATTTTCTTAAAGCTGTCCTGACCGTTCTTCTTAATTCGTAAAGTGATCGGGTACGACCCGGTCGCAATTTTGAATGCCAATTCATATTAATTGTTGTCTAGGTTAAGGTCAAAGTTGGTCAACTATACTGTTTATGGTTGAAGTGAATTTCCACACATAAAAGTGTGACATTTTACATTTGGAATAACATCAAAGGATATTATATACCTGGCAGTTAAGACCGCCCAATCAGAAAAGCAAACCACCAGAGACCCTTTGCGCAAACTTTGACTATGACCTGACCTCAATTTAGTCCACCAAAACCTGACACCCAACTGCTGTCGATTATTTTGGACCCACAGCACACAATTTGTGCTTGAATTCCGCATGTCACATTTTTTTTCTTAAGTCACGGGACTAAGTCTTCCTTGTCAGTCCTTCTAGTCGGAGTATATCAATGCCTAGAAAAGATTCTTGTTTTTACTTTTTGTTTGTTTGTTTGTTTGTATGTTTCAGATTGACGAGGATGTCATTATTGAAATGACGGATGAAGAACTCAGCGAGTACATTCCTCGTAAGGGTGACCGAGTTGTCGTTAAGGCTTTCGTCCGGAAGGAGAACAGTGAAACTCAAACTCAGAAGAGGAAGTTTACACTGCTCGAGAGCTTGAGGTCCCGAATGGCAGGAAAGTCAGGGGAAAAAACAGGCAGACTTGTAAGTGACAGCGAGGAAGAATATGAGAGTTCTGCCCCCGGGCCAAGTGACGGCGGTCAGTCAAACAGCACGCAGAAATCAGCAGAAACAAAGAGGGGCCCGAGAGGCAAGAAAGCGAAAGAGGCATCAACAAGTTCAAGGTCCCTAATAGTCGGGTTCTCTGTTTACGAGGCTACAGAGTCCAGGTACAAGCAGGTACGCGCCCCCATGGGTGGGGGGATACGTCACATTACTGTCGACAAAAATACACCCAAAAGAAAATTGCTACATACCCTTTGCCCCTTGTTTTTTCAAGATGGAAAAAACTGTCATGGTTCGCTCGGGGACTTCCAGTTAGATGTCTCCACAGATGTGCATGGTAGCCAACCCGTTCACGAGAACGAGACTATTCAACATTTGATCGACAGACTTGGTCTAAAACACGTACGATGCTATCTCCTGGCCAAATCAGTAGACCTGGATGAAGATAAGTCAGCAAGTGACCCTGCAGAAGACAGCCTGGAAGATTTACCTGATATGTTTGCTCACAGACGTCGGAGAGGAGAGGAAAACCTCATGCCAACAGCCATTGATTCGAGCCAACAGGAGGTACCGAGAACAAGTGACGGCCACCACATTTCTCATGGGCAACCTAACTCGGAGCGATACCGTCCGTTGAATCAAGGTGATGAGATGACAGTTGACAATGAAGTCATCGTGCAGACTGCTGATGACTCATCGCCCTCCAACAACCCACTGTTGTCCGAAGCTGCTGAAGACCGCGTTGAATTAGATGTCCAGTCAGTATTTGCTGCAACGTTGGACTCGGATGCTGTGAATCTCACTCCACCAACCTATAACATTCCTGACGAATTCATTCAAGAGGACCAACTGGCTCGATTAAACGACGACGACTCCGGTATCATTCAGTTTGGCCCCTTCCCAGCAGCAGTGGAACTGGACTTAAATGCAACACAGCCATTGGTAAAAGAAATCCGTGGCAACGTTTGTCAAGAAATGGTAACATTTTTCTCGAAAGAGGAGAACGTCAACCTGAGAGGAACAACCTTCGAAGTGAAGATGCTGAAGTCAGATGGAAGCACAGAGATGGCTGAAGACAACGGAGGAGTCTTGAGGGATGCACTTACTGAGTTTTTCGACAGCTTTTATTTGCAGTACACAATCGGCAACTCGGTAGCCGTACCGGTATTACGCCATGACATGACCAAGGTCCATTGGTCGGCAGTGGGAGAAGTAATCCGCTTAGCATTCAGACAGGAGGGAATTTTGCCGGTCAGGCTTGCTCTGCCTTTCATGCAACTGGCATTTTTTGGGACACCCGATGACCCACTAGACGCGTTCATGCAGTTGCTCCCGGATGTCGACCGATTGCTGCTTGAAGATGCAATGAGGAGTGTTTCATCTGTCGATGCAGATGACTTGATGGATTTCATGGAACGACACGATGCCAGACGAAACCTTACAGACGAGAACATCGAGAAATCACTTACCGAGATGGCAAATAAGGAGATGCTTCAAGTACCACTATTTGTGGCGCTGTGTTGGCGACCAAAGCTGAAATCTCTCGGCCTCTCACGACTCCAGCTCCGTCAGATTTATGACAACCTGAAGCCATCAACCAGGAAGGTATTGAACATATTGGAATTTCCCAAACCAATGAACACAGAAGAAGGCGCCTTGAGATCCTCACTTAAGAGACTGGTGAGGGAGATGGATCAGAATCTGCTCGGCCTGTTCTTGCGATTTTGCACAGGGTCCGACCTCGCGGTCAGAGAGAAGATCACCACCAGGTTCACCGAGTCAGAGATTCGCTGCCCCACAGCACACACATGTGGGTGTGTTCTGAACATTCCGCGCTCGTATGCGGCACTGCCTTATATCACACAAGCTGATTTACCCGATCATAGATCGGGTAGGGCGTATTTGTGTTGGGGTTGAAAGTGTGGGGAGTTAAATGTAAATGGGGGATTTAGTTGAGAAGACATGTAGCTATAGAAAAGCAATTTACGGTGACGCGATCTGAGGCAATTTCTGACCACGTACGATAGTAAAACAAAAGATCATCTTTTAAACATCATTTCGAGTTTGGAGTCATTGAATCAGCTGTTCTGAGCAAAAGAATATTATAGTAGGCTACAATTTTTATTCGGGGAAGAAAAAGTGGGGGTAGGGAACCAAACGATATTGCCCGCTTTAAAATGTTGGGGTGGGGGTCCCCCGTCCCCCACCGATTGACGCCGCGCCCATGATAATTATGTACCATGGCATGTATAACTGTCTGTAAATTTTCCCGTTGGTCTGTTAAATTGCATTTTGTGAGGCAGTCGCGTTTGTTAATGTGGGAAAACTGAGTTGAAAGACTTACCGTATAGTACACAGGCGAAGGCTGATTGTACTGTTTTGACAATAAATCATAATGGAATAAAACGTAAAGGTGGCATTTGCAATAAAAATGTTGAGTGTGTTACCATAAAATTACATAGTCTGAATCATGGAGGAAGGTCATTATGAAGGTACAGTATTGGACTCTTCAACAAACGTAAACTTGAACTTCTTACAATTTGCGAGACCTGCGAGGAAAAAGTCGATTTAACTATTTTATTCAGGTTGGCATGGTTCAACCATAATATAAGCAAGGCCAAACAGCCAACAACCGCCAATATTATTATTTATGCACTCTTCGTTATTCCAACCCAACATAGTTCAAAGATCACAATATTTGAAGCAATGCATCGATCCCTCGTTGATTTACCCGATCATAGATCGGGTAGGGCGTAGAGTTGGGGATGAAAATTTGGGGAGATGAATGTAATTGGGGGATTTAGTTGAGAAGACGTGCAGTTATAGAAAAGCAATTTCTGTGGTGCGATCTGAGGCAATTTCTGACCACTAAAACAATTTTTTTTAGCAAAAGATCATCTTTTAAACATCATTTTTGAGTTTGGTGTCCTTAAAATGAGCTATTCTGAGTAATAGAATCATTATACATGTAGTAGCTACAATTTTTATTCGGGGAAGAAAAGTGGGGGGGGGGGGGGGGGAGGGGACCCAAAAAGTCTCCACCGCTTTAAAATGGGGGGGGGGTGGAGGGGTTCCCCGTCCCCCACCGATTGACGCCCATGATAATTATGTACCATGGCAACAGTCTGTAAATGTTCCCGTTGGTCTGTTAAATTGGCATTTTGTGAGGCAGTGGCATTTGTGAGAAAACGTACTTGAAAGGCTTGCCGTAGTACACAGGCGAAGGCTGATTAAGAAGGTCATAATTAAGTTTCAGTATATTGGACTCTTCAACAAACGTAAACTTGAACGTCTTACAATTTGCGAGACTGTCTGCGAGGAACTTGTCGAGTCAACTGTTATTCAACTTGGGGCAACCATCTTTATAAGAGCAAATTTTACTCGGCCTCCGAGAAATGTTTGCTCCTGAAACGATCTGAGACCGCGGTCTTTCGCGACGCCAAAATCGCTTCACGTCCGTGGAAAAATGTGGAGGGTGTCTTCCGCCGGATCGGACACATTTTCGTTGATTTTTTGTGTGACTGCGTTTAAGATCGCGATGTTTGAAGCAATGCATCGATCCTTCGTTGATCCCAGACAGGCCCCCGAAATTATAACGCAACACTGTGGCGGGCAGCGAACTCACAACGCTCAGCCTTGGTGGAAGCATGGAGCTGTATTAACACACGATGGAAGCAACAGAGCACTATACACGTCACTCACATGCTTGTGCTTCAAATCATGCAAATAGCGAGCACGGTAGACCCAACCTCGTTTCCAGGGTGTGGAGCAGGCTGCAGTACGCGTTGCCATCGACAGTTTTGCATAGCCCGGAAATACTACGCAGTGTAGACTTTCGATTGGTCAGACCGCGCAAGGCATACTTAATGTGAAGTCCTTCTGAGTATTCGTTGCACTCGGCGCAGGGGCGGCAAGCGAAGCATATGAAAGAATAGGGGCACTCGGTGGCCACGCACCATGGAGAAAAAATATTTTACCAAGGTCACCCCACACCACAATTTGGGGAACGCTTTTGCAGAACAGCTGAGTAGAACACGTAAACGAAACCCCTACGTTGACCTCGCTGACCTCGCACAGTCTAGACTCGCAGAAAAGCCAGCACAGGGGGCGGCCAGGCAGTCAACGTGAAAGCGCACACGACGGCAAATTCCTGCGCAAAATGCAGTCACGAAAAATAGACGAAAAGGATCGCCGGTCCGTACGGGAAAATCAGGACGACCCGAAGTGTCCGACCCGGCGGAAGACACCCTCCGTATTTTTCCACGGACGTGGAGCGATTTTGGCGCAGCGGGAGCCCGCGGTCTCGGATCCTTTCATGAGCAAACATCGTCTCGGAGGCCGAGTTAAACTCTCTCTTATATATATAGATTGAAGTCAGAATTCACCACCCTCCTTCGCAACAGATACTGGCAAATGGACATCATCTAAAAGCCGTGTCACTCTTCTTCTATTTCATTAACAGGCAACCTATATCAATCCCCATACATGCACTCTTGTTTCACTGCAGTAGTAGTAGTTAATTAGGTGATTTGGAAGTGTGCTTTATGTTATACATGATTTGTACATGTATATTGTAGTATGTACGTGCTTGAAACGAAAAGTCATTTTGTTCTTTTTGTATCATCATGAGGAGAAGTAACCTTCAGTATAACCTTCAGTAACAGTTGCATTGCCATAATTTTTGTTCATGATCTATTATGATGAGAAGTATCCATCAGTAACAGTTGTATTTTTTTCATTTGCGCTGCCATTTTGTTCATGATGTATTATGAGGAGATGTATCCTGCAGTAACAGTTGTATTTTTTTCATTTGCGCTGCCATTTTGGTTGAGGAGAAGTAACCTTCAGTATAACCTTCAGTCAGAGTTGTATTGCCATAATTTTGGTTCTTTTTTAAGTAGGCCTATCCTTCAGTAACAGTTGTATTTTTCATTTGCATTGCCATTTTGTTCTTTTATGTTTTAAGAGAAATATCCTTCAGTAACAGTTGTATTTTTCAATAGCGTTGCCATTTTGTTCTTTATGTGTTTTAACGAGGACAAGTATTCTTCATAAACAGTGACATTTCCCATTTGTATTGTAGTGAAATAACCTTTTTAAATCCCAAATTCTGTTCATGGGATATACATTCTTTTATGTGGTGTTCTGTAGTTGTAGTATTTTGAAATGATTTTTTTGTTACTGTATAAGATTCGCTAATCCCAAAGGCTGGCACTACTGTTATAATTTTTTTTCCTTTTTTCTCCATCCCACAAAACATACTTTGTTGATATTGCTTCTTTCCTACGATGCAAAGGTTTCCTTTGAATGATGTGTCCCTCATAAATAAGTTCATACGAGATTTAGTTGTAGATTCTACATACGTCACAAAATCCTAATTATAAAGCACTTTAATTTGGCGATGCATATTCCGCGTCCTGTACAAATTGTGCAAAGGTAACTCGCCCAAAATGTAAATTAGTTCCGTTGAAATACAAATTCAACAGGAAAAGCAAATCGTACCTTTTCGATTTTCCAAAGACGTTTTGCTCACACATTTAGATTATATTTGTCCCAAATTTCATTGCATAATTATATTGGTGACTGAGGTGTTACATTTGCAGGCAGTTGCTCGTGTTAGATATTGTTGAAGTTTTGATATAGCGTTTTGGTTTTGCTCGTTGAAATTATAAAAAAAGTGAAGTGTTTATTTAATCGTTTTTAATTAAAAAGTGACGTGGATTGTAATAAAAGTAGTTTTTGCCAGGCAATTAAACTGGGAATCACAGAAAATTTCCGTTAGAAATGTTGGTTTCACTCTGTATATTCATTTGTGGTTAGTTTGAACATTCTTTGAACAATGCAGTTTTCCAAAAGTGCTGCAATCAAATATATAAAAAAAAACCCTGAAAATAGACTTATACATAAACAAAACTAAGAAATAGGTAAGAATGTAATTAGTAGTGTAATCTACATAGATTTGTCTGTACGTCATTCATGGCATTCGAGTCTATGTTCTAAGAATGGGTCCAGGGGTGCAGACATGGTGTACTTCGCCTTATTTGCTGGGGTTGCTCAGCAGAAGGTCCCTCACCACCACCAACACACATGAAACCTGTTGCTTGATATTTTAATAACGTCTGGCTGGGCTGAGTGGGATATCGGCTATTTTTTTTTTGACGTTGGCTGTTTATCCTTGACGTTGGCTGTTTATCCTACTCAATTACTTCAATAATTCCATGTACTTGATTTCAGAAAACTGACAACTTAGTACACCAATTTCAACTTTAAGAGGTTCATTAATGGCCTTTTTGTAATTGATGTCTACTTCGTGACATGTGCTTCTTTTTTACAAATTGGAGGTTTTCATATAACATCAATAATTCATCTCATTACTGATCCACAAGTCGTTTCTGGGCAGCACGTATCACCGACACTGACAGTATTGTGAGAAACTATATAGGTCTATATATTACTGTTCCAGATCCTGTGGAATGGCATCACGCAGCGCGTGGTAAAGCTGCAGTGCCTGATCTACATTGCCAGGATGTTCCAAAGAATATTCAGTCATGTAAATAATGAAGAGTTCAAATAACTCCTCGTCACACGGAAGGCCATCCCTGAAGGTACACTCGGTGCAGCAGGCTTCGATATGTTCCTGGTCAACTGGCTTCAAGTAGTCACGTCGGCCAAACAATTCTGGCATGGAGAAGAGAACTACAGGTCTTCCGTTGGGAACGTTCTGATTCTTTGAACGTCGTATGCGATGGCAGTTCCAGACAGACGACATCCTATCAAGATCATTCTATTACAAAAAAATGACAAATAAGAAATTTAGGCTATATCACATCTTTTACTCACATTCGGTATGTTCGAGCATCATAACTTTTGATTGAATTATACATTAGAATTATAATTATAAAGTAGTCAAAATTGCAGCAGCCATACACATACTTAAGACTTTCACAATGACAATCAATAATTTTGGAACTCCATTTAGTGGTATTAAGTGGGTTTTCTATATTTATTTTCCTTTTTGAGAGAGAGAGAGGGATATCCAGTCATATGGAAAGGGTAAAGTGCACGGCATTACTTTACACCGTCCTCACAGTTAAGACAGGCTTTGCACCATATTAGATTTTTCCACATTGACCTAATTTCGGCATACATGCATGAGGATGACGAACAGCAAATTGAAATAATTCAACACACCTGGACCAAACTCATAAAGCAGAATTGGACAAGACCTGTGTCTAGAGAGTCTCCTGTGAAATCGCCAACATCCTTCAATGTCTTCAGAGCATCAATCCAAAATTGTGTGCATTCTTTACGCAGCATACACCAAAAAGCCTCTATTGTGAGTACTTTTCCCATATATGAAGCTATTCTGCTCCGACAAGAACTCTTGCATCATCGCCACACGCCCGTTCTCGGTTCCCATGTCTCCTCTGATCATACTTGGACATCCCTCCATACAGTGGCGTCACCAGACTTTTCAGTCTGGGGGGGCACAGGGGGGGCACCAGCATTTGATGGGGGGCACTTAGGTGGATACGGATCGCCGTCCTGGGGGAGGGGTCTAAGGGGTGCCCCCCTCCCCTTTGGAAAATTTTCGCATACGGAGGATGGGCTAGATGCAAAATGGTGCCACATTTGATGCTAAATTCGATCTGAAGATATCTCCAGAAATTGCTATTTAACCAACTCAGATGATGGGAGTTGAATATAACAAAATATATATATATTTTTTTACCAACCCAAATCTCAGATGGGGGGGCACTCGGGGGGGGCACTAGGTTTTCCAGGGGGGGCACGTGCCCCCCCCCCCCCCTGGCCCCCCTTGGCGACGCCACTGCCTCCATAGCGCTCACTGCTTCCATGTAATATCCAGCAATTACCTTAGGATCGCTGCTCGTGCGATATACGTTTAGCCAAACTATCTGACGCGAAAACCCATCAATGCACCCATTGATGCGCAACCCATACGTCTTAAGTTTGTCATAGGAGTCCAGGTGCCACAAGTAGTTGGGTCCCCTTGCAAAGTATTCCCTTCTTATGAGCCTGCCTCTTCTCCGAAGTTGCAGACCATCAGGATCTAGGATCTTCATAACGGCATAAACCGTGTCTCGTTGAACGACTTTGCCAGCTTGCAGACATTTCAAATGCATCCATCTGTATCCATGCATAATTCCACTTTCATTGATATGATCAAAAATGAAGTCAGCGACTTCCAGAATGTCAGTGAAGTGTTTGCGTCGAAACAGACGTTGCTGACGCAAGCGTCTTTTCAGTGTCCTAAGACTTATGACGATTCGGTGGTTTAAAGCAAGCGCATACAAAATTTCCGTGTAGCTGAGACCCAAATGGAAATACGTGGCTATAATATCTTGATCCATAGCTTATCTGTGTGAGCAAAATAATACAACATGTATACTACATACACATTTTGAACACCATACCGTGAAAATATTAGTGTTTAGTAGCAAAAATCAGCCGCTTTGTCATAATCACAGGCAGAGTCGAGATAATCAGGGGCCTCATGCGTTATGCATGATAACACTACGGTACTAAAGGCTATTAAAAGCAATACATCTCATCTGCCAAAAGCTTTGGCAATATTGGCCTACAGGGAGGGATTTTTCATTACCTGGCGTTATTAGAACTAAGCAAACCAAAAATTAAAGCGGGAACAGCGAGCTCACCTGTGAAGATTTCCTTCTCCAAAGCTTCGAGTCTTTGGTCTGACTGATAGCGTCAGATAATTCAGATGATTAAGTGGCGGCTGCGAGATATTAAGTTGCGGCCGCCAGTTATTAAGTTACGGCCGCCAGTTATTAAGTTGCGGCCGCCACATATTAAGTTGCGGCCGCCAGTTATTAAGTTGCGGCCGCCAGTTATTAAGTTGCGGCCGCCACATAATAAGTTGCGGCCGCCACATAATAAGTTGCGGCCGCCACATAATAAGTTGCGGCCGCGACATAATAAGTTGCGGCCGCGACATAATAAGTTGCGGCCGCGACATAATAAGTTGCGGCCGCCACATAATAAGTTGCGGCCGCCACATAATAAGTTGCGGCCGCCACATAATAAGTTGCGGCCGCCACATAATAAGTTGCGGCCGCCACATAATAAGTTGCGGCCGCCACATATTAAGTTGCGGCCGCCACATAATAAGTTGCGGCCGCCACATAATAAGTTGCGGCCGCCACATAATAAGTTGCGGCCGCCACATAATAAGTTGCGGCCGCCACATAATAAGTTGCGGCCGCCACATAATAAGTTGCGGCCGCCACATAATAAGTTGCGGCCGCCACATAATAAGTTGCGGCCGCCACATATTAAGTTGCGGCCGCCACATAATAAGTTGCGGCCGCCACATAATAAGTTGCGGCCGCCGCATATTAAGTGGCGGCGATGTACAAAAAAATTCTGACGTGTTTGCAAAATATATATTCATCCCTTAGAGACCTGGCACTATCCGGCTTCCGTACTACTCAATGAGTGTGAATATATATTTTTGGTGCGTGTGAA